AGCAGCAACTCATTTGGAACACCGGCAATGAACTGCTCCTCCAGACGGTGAGGGTGCGAGTGGAACGAGTGGGCGCGGGTCTGGCTCACAACAGGAGGCTCTTCGGGCAACACGGCTTCCACGGCACTTTTTTCTTCAACAGGAGAAGCGGTCTTGATAGGTGCGGGTTGAGGTTCGACGGTGGCAGAGACAGGAGGTTGAGTAGGATCGTGGACAAACAGGTCGACCTTATCCCGGTGCGACTGGTGAGCGAGGGCCACGGCATCCGTCAGATCCTGGTCTGTGGTGATCGAAACGGTGTCACCCTCGTTATCCAAGTAACTCAGGGCATATCCGGTGTTGCTGAGCCTGCCATCTTCACAGTCGGCCGCACCGCCAACTGCCTCAACTTCAGGACCCAACTTGGCAGTCACTTGAGTCACCATGTCGGCAAGACCAGCGGAGGGAAGGACGTTCACACGGTGCACCCGACCACTTGGCGCCTTGAACTTGAAGGGGAACGCATGCTCTTCTTCGTGATGGTGAGCCTCAATGATCTCAGAGTGGTCATCTCCCTGGTGCGACGCGGATTCGTTGGGCATTACACTGTCGCGATGGTCGAAACTGTGCTTGTGAGAGTCGGGGCTGAGTACGGAGCGATGCGCCGTGTGGGGATGGTGACTGCTGGAGATAACCTGACTGCCAGAGACCACCGAGTCGGATTCGTTGTCCATTGACAACCAGAACTTATTCCAAGCCGGGCCCTCATCATCCTGAGTGCCCATCGAGTTGATCTGATAGCGAATGGTCAGCTTATAGAATAATAGATCACCCAAGTGATACTAACTTGTTCCAGAGTGGCATATGTGAGTTTGAGGACATCCACCATTCCAACAATCTCACCAGATTCGTTCATCACGGGCAAGTTCAGGTAGTGACCATCTAATTTTTCATTAATGACAAATCCAATCGTTGTTGATCCTCCAGGTAATAACTAACCGTGCATCTTTCTGAGAGCCGCCTGGATACTCATATCGGACGGGGCAAAGTCGGGATGAGGGGTCATGACACGGACCACACTGCAAGTGGACGGGTCAAGTCCTGGAGCAATCACACGAAGGACGACATCCTTGCTGGTGAAGATACCAGTAATCGATCCCTGGTCCTGAACAAGCAGAGCGGTTGTGCGGTTCTCCTTCATCGCGGCGGCGGCATCCTTGACGGAAGTGCGGACAGAGACGGTGACCGGCGGCATACCGTCCAAGACAGTCTCTAAAGTTGGACCCGACATCTTCTGACGCAAAGCCTCCACATATTGGATGATCTGCTGGGGTTGGGAGGAGCCCAATTCACTCTGCACGCCCTCCAGTGCATCGTATAACTTCCGGGAAGAACTGTAGGCACGTTCGAGCTTCTCCATCGCATCGTAGAAGCACTTGGTGATATCAAGGACACCGGAGATATCCTGGTTCTCGTCCATAACCGGGAGATGTCGGAAACCCTTCCGAACCATCAGATCGAGCGCATCCGTCGCACTGGTATCGGTTCTCGCACACAAGGGGTTCTTCGTCATGATCTCGGAAACCGCGACCTCCCTGGCCTTGGAGCCAATTCCAACCACACGGAAAGCCAAGTCCTTAGCCGTGAAGATACCAGCAATTCGATCGTCATCGTCGGTAACCAGCACGCAGTCTTCCCTCTTGGCGGCCATCAACTGAGCGGCTTCGGAAATCGTGGTGTTGGGCTTGATCTGGAGAGCCTGGCTGGGCTTCAAGGCCAGCACCGTGCCGGGAGGGGCCTTACGAGACCGTTGTGCCCTTCCCGTTGTATGCCTCTTCTTGTTCAAGTCGGCCTCCAGCCTGCGTCGAATCGCCTAATCATAAGAGAGATAATCATGATTAGCATATGCAAGACAAAATAGAAAATTTAAAATAAAGACGCTTCGGGCCCTCTTGTGTATACTGATATCTCGGAGGCTTGTCACAGCATACCTCATCGCGCTTCGACTGGTTCTGTCTTTGCCTACTGCTAGCGGCACTCATACTGGTACTGCCAATATCGCTAGAAGCTGCGGGTGTTGCGGTAGAGTGAGGGCGCGGGATCTGAGAAGCTGAGATGACAGATGCGTTGTCGAAGTCCGGCGCTCTGCTTCGGCCGCTTGATCGGTGATTCTGGTTTCGAAAAGTACTGCTGCCAGTGGTCGACATATTATTTTTTTTTTCTAACCGGCAGACCGCTTTCTGCACAAGAGGGAGGTTCGAGCCCAACGAGAGGTGCGAGGAATGATACGTGGAGAAACAGGGAAAACAGGCCAAACACTCCGGTGGGGAGGGGTATGATAGGTGGCAGTAGACGCTAAGAAATTTGATATGTTCGTCTGTAAGTCTGTAAAGATACGTATGAGTACCGAATGAGTTGACCAGATCAACCCAGACAGTCTTCGATACTCGAAATAATTATATAGACAAGAGAATGAGAGAGTAGTAGAAAGGCACAGGAGAAAACACCCAGTTGTGCGAGGGAAAGCAAGGTGATCCGAACAGGGGGAGAGGCACCAAAAACAATAATACAAGTACGCAGCGTTACCGTTGGTCGGGTTGGATTCCTGACGGTACGGTAACTGTGGTACGGGCGGCCACTAAGCCATTTCGGGCTCGCGGATTCGCTGGTTCGTACTGTCAGGTGATCATGCTGTCTGAGGAATAATTTGCCTTATCCATCAGGCATAAAAAATGGCATTCATTCCTCAGGCATATATCCCGTGACCCAGCTCGCTTAAGGGCATAGGGCTTCGCACAAACCGGGGACACAACCACATCGCGAGCCTCCGTTTCATAGAGGTGTGTGCCTTTCGACAACCCACCCCCGACAGCCAACCTTTGTCCAGATAAATCCGACAAGATGGTCAAGAAGCGTGCGAGCAAGTAAGAACGATTCCTTTTCCTTTTTTTTCCTCCCCTTTTTCAGTTCAACACGCTGCCATTTCAACAACGTTATACGGTCCTCCGCCGAAGAAAAAACAGAATGACGGTCTACGGGTTACATATCGACCATCTCCCACCGTGTTCATGATGGCAGCAGAAAGGCGTTTTCGGTTTCGGCATAGATTTTTTTTTTTTTTTTTTTTTTTTTTAAATTAGGAAAACTGACTTGATTTGTTTCTCTCAATAGCGGTCGTAACAAGAACGGCCGCGGCCACGTCAAGCCCGTGCGCTGCTCCAACTGCGCCCGCTGCGTCCCCAAGGACAAGGCGATCAAGAGATTCACTATCCGCAACATGGTTGAGTCCGCTGCCATCCGTACGTTCGATCCTATAATCCCGAAGTTGAACCGGCAATGGAATGAATGCATGCAACGCGCTCTGGAAGAGGAGTTAGGACTTTAGAAGAGGAAGACATGGTGGATTATCGAGACGAGCTCCGCGATTGCTGCTGAGCAGTGCATGCATTCATACATTGGTGGTGGGAGAGTTTCGTCCATGAAAGTCCGACTGACCTGCGTTTCCACTCATGCAGGTGATATCTCTGACGCCTCCGTTTTCACCGACTATGCCGTCCCCAAGATGTACCTGAAGCTGCACTACTGTGTCTCCTGCGCTATTCACGGCAAGATCGTTCGGTACGACATCACTCCTTGAACTACATCGCGAAGGTTATAGAAACAGGCGACTGACTGAATTACAGTGTCCGCTCTCGGGAAGGCCGTCGCAACCGTGCTCCCCCGCCGAGGATCAGGTACAACAAGGATGGCAAGAAGCTGAGCCCCCCTCAGGCCGCTAAGGCTATGTAAGGAAAGGACACGAAAAGAAAAGAAATAAATGGATTTAGGCTGTCAATTTCTATTTTGTGTTTCCTAAAATAAACTTCTCTTGCATGGTTCCAATGGACAAAAATCGGGGTTTCTGTGCTCTTGGAGGTTTTGCGACAGGCGTCGTCCGCGCGATGATTTAATGGTTTACCGTGGGACAGGAGTCGACGACAATAATACTCAAAGAGAATGAATTGAAAAAAAATTTATGATATCGGCTTGTCCAGGGTCTTGGGATTGATTACGGGAAGAACTAAACTGGAAGGGAAATGTTTCTCCTTAGATCTCCAACCCTAGGTATAGACTACCACAATTGAGGGCAACGAACTGCCTCCACGTTTCTTAATCATTTTGCTTCTCGTAGCCTAAGACTTGTCCATCCTGCGGCTATCCTAGTGAGCCCTAATTGAATTTTGATATACTACCTGCACTTGCATTATAGTTGCTCCGAGCCTCCAATCGCTTCAAAATGAATCAACCTCCGCATCTCAAGTCAAGCCAGACCCGGTATGATGACGTGGTAGCATTTTACGAATTCGTGATTCGAGCTGCACGACGAAGTTGGACGTCAGCATGGAACCGAATGAAACCCAATCTCCACTGGGTCTGAGATGTTATAGAAAGGGAGAACGACAGCAATTGTCCGATGTGCTTTCGACACTCAGGAAGAAGGTGGGTCGATTTCGGGATGCCGTGAGTGCACTATACCCTCTCGGGTAGGATAGCTGGGGGAAAGCAGAAAGAGTATCGTAGACCATGTAAACGTGCTCAGCAGCCTCCACTATTTTGCCCGGGATCTCTTTGAAGAAAAGCGCGAAGCTATTGGAGCTCATATGCAATTCTTTGGGCAATGGCATGTGTCTCCGTTCCACTTCCGGTTTGACTTGCATGTTCGTGGGCGTGATATATCCAAGGCTCGGAAATAATTTAGGCCTTTCAGGCTGCCGTCCACGTACTTTTGCGATGGGATCGAGTTCGCCGTGGTCTGATGAAGGTTTTGTCGGAACTAGAATGCTCATACCCCACGATCGACAGCTAACCTTGATGTGCCCACAACATCAAACGAGACGATGGGTCTCAATTCGACAATAGCAATGTTGGCTTAGCCTTCACTTCTTCATATTACCAAGGCTGGTGAGTTTTCGTCGAACTCAGCGTTTAAATTATGAATCATACTGAAGTATGTGAGAATGCCGACATTACATGGCCGACGTTCTGCGGAATCATCTTCGCCACTGGTTAGCTTGGTTTTTTGTAATGCCAGGATGCTGAAGCCTTGAGCTTACGGTCTATCGTCACCAACTGTCTTTGACGAATCAAGGCAAAATCATTTGCTTCACAGCGGCGCACAGTAATGGTTTCCTCTGCGGTCTCTTTAACTCGACTATTGCTTGGATGTGCTTGTTCTGGGTTCCTGGGGCTCCGTCTGGGAAAGTTCAGCGAAGCATGCTCACATGCCGTAGTAACACAGGGATACTGGCTCCCATTTCTCTATAATGATCTTGGGCCGGCTACTAGGGATCGAGACGTGATCGCTACTTTAACCAGACCACCCGGTTTTACCAGCCATCTATTAAAGGCCGGAGAGCTTTCAAACAGCTATGTTAAGACTAGTAATCTTTATGTGTGTGTGTGTATTTTTATTTTTTTTATCGGTTCTTCCATGGTATATCCGCCTTCTAAGCCTAGGATAGAAGATTGCAAAGGCCCAAACAACTTTTCCACTTCAGACTCAGGATTTAAGTTGCTGACTTCGTGGACTGTCTTCTATTTGAAAAATTCCATACATATACCACTGGCACTTGATCTCGTCGGTGGTTCTGTATACTGAATCCTCTTAGACCTCGAGTCAACTTTGTGAGGTCGGCTTTATACAAACAGTAAGAGAACTCACCCATATCTCGCAACTGACTTGGCTGTTGGTTTTATAATGGCAACACGACCGAAGTAAAGCAAAAGGAGAAGTTGTGTTTGCCCACCAGATGATCAGATTCTGATACTGATGCACTCAGTTCTGTCATTGACTTCTGGATTGCAGACAGTGATGGGAAGTTGGAATAGATGGGTACCATGTTGTGTATATTGCTCAAGAGGTGAATTTCGCAGTTCTCAATGGTCCTTGAATCTATTGAGACATATGTATCGGTAAAAACGGCGCGCAATGGCTTCAATGCAAATAGCGCTTCTCTAACACGCAGCACCCATGAACAGCACGATCATTTTGCGAACGTAGCCACAAGACGGCGCCTTATATAGCTATACAACCATCGTAACAACACGATCTGAGGCAATACTGGCCGGGACTTCAGGGTTTCGGTTTCGATTCCTACTTTGTAGTCAAAATCCAGGTCAGCTAAAACAAAAGAGGATCAAGCAGATATAGAAACTATCACACACCGAAAATATAGATAGTAAATATCAATTTGTCCATTATTCCTTCAGTCCTTCCTACGCCCATCTTGTCCTCGATCCGACTTCCTCCTGGGCGAGATAAAAGACAGGCTGTGACGAGTGGTAGCTCAATGCTGTGTGGATAGCCAGACACCAAGCCTCCTAATATTGTCAGTCTCCAAGCCACTTTGCTTTTTCCTGGCTATTGTTTGTTCAAGTAGCTCAACTACCTGGTTCACCACAGAGTCTCCTGTTCGCCATTACGTGAATAAACGAGCGCTCTGGTGGTGGTGCTTCGCCTTAATAGAGGGTCCGTGGAGGAGAAGAATATAGTGTCAAATATTTGTGTAGCTGGATATATAAGGGCGACATTTCGTATATAGATAAAAGATTTGGCCCTGCCAAGTTTGTCGTGGTGAGCTCTGATACAGAGACGCTGCTGTTCGCCAAGTACAATGAAAAGCGGTGGAGTTAATGGAATTGGCAATGGGTTTGGGTATAGAACAAGATCCAGGGCAGGGCTAAAAGAGAACAGTAGATGTTATATATAGAGTTCATGTATACCATAACGACAGTCTTTTGTAAAGGGTCAGAATGGAGGTGGGAAAAAAATGAGGTGAGGAAAAGGTGAAAAATAGGATGTAGCTCAGTACAATGAGAGTTTGTATGTCTCGCGCGTTTGTAATCGGTATCACTATTTAGGAAGGCCTAAGTGCAACATATCAATATATAGAGATATATATTGTACAAATTCATCATCGATCTATATAACAAAAGTCCCAGCAAGCCATCACGGATACAAATACCCCTTCTCAAAATAATTCCCATACATATCCACGACCCCACTCCGACCCTTCGGCGCCGGATTCTTGACAATCTTCACCTCCCCTTTCCAATGCCCTTCAACATAATGTGCCATCGCCAAATGCGGTGCCGATACTGCACTGCCCGGGCCCGAGCCCGAGCTTGAAGACGGTGAACGGGAGCGAACGGTTGGGAATGACGGTGAGGGGGAGAGTAGGCCAGTGCCCGATCTTGCCCTTGTGTCTATGCCCGGGTTTGGGCTCATTCGAGACATGCTCTTTCGACTGAGACGGTCGCGTTGCAAGAGAGCATCGTATTCGGCTTTCTTGGTGCGTCGGAAGGAGGCTAGTTCTGCGACGAGGTCGACCATTGGAACTTCGACTGGACGTTGACTACATCCATCGTCTGCGCAGCTTGAGTCTGCAGTTGGGCTGCTGATGAGCGAATTAACTCGTGAGCGACCACTGCGTTGTGAATTATTCCGGCTCGGTGGCAGCAAAGTATCCCTCCCTAAGCTCCCGGGGGGCATAGCACCGTCATCCTCGGGCATCAACGTCACTTTCTCATTGAGAGCAGCCATGGGGAAGTACTTTCCCAGGTCATTTTCAGGGATTCCACACTCGGTTTCAAAGAAACTAAAATCATCCATTGCGGCTGACCACATATTCTCTAAGTCCTGGTCTCCTGTGCTGGAATTGAAAGCTCCGCTGCGATATCCAGCAGCCTTCCATGAGCGCTTCAACTCAGACAAGGGGGTGATTTCGAGAACCAAGCGGCGTAGTGCAAAGAGGGATCTGGACCGAGCTTGTTCGGCTCGAAGCCGTGCTTGACCAGGAGGCAGTGAATAATCAGACCCTGCCTGAAGCGATGCTAGTAATGCTTCATCAGAACAAGCGGTGATGAACCGACACAGAGATGAAAGTATTGGAGAATTGACTGGCACATGTGAAGGCACATCGGTCAAGACTAAAGTCTCGAGATGGGGGATATGGGATGGGTGTAGATAAGGATGCTTGCTGTCTTTGTGATCCTTTCGAGGAATAGAAATGTTCTTTGGTCTCTTGCTGAGCAAATCTTGAATCTTCTGGCCATAAGGCCCATCCACGGATGAGCGTGTGGTAGTACTAATGACCTCTGGAGCTTCGTCATCATTGTTTGTCGCCTGTGGAGGCTCGATTATTTCTGGTGCGAAAATTGATCCGCGCCTTAGCTCTGGTAGCGGCTCATCTGCATATATTCGTATTCCTTGAAGTCTCCCGGCAAAGGAAGAAGATTCTGTGGGCCACGAGACGGACGTATCCTCAAGTTCGGCGATAAAGTTTTCCCCTGAGGGCAGTTCATGAATCTCACGAGTACCACTCAATTCTGCGGGTGCATGATTCGGTTCAAGCTCAACCTCTGGACCTGAACCTGCAAGCTCAGGAAGAAAAACATTTGGTGAAGTGAAGTTTTTGGACGGTGCTTCAGCCGTGAGGACAGCATGGTGAGCCCGAATATATGTAAGGTTTTCTTTCGCGACAGAACCCAGAAGGGGTATCAACTTCTCAGAACCGGGGAGTTCCTCGTAGCTGGGCGAGAGATCCTGTGCCTGTCTATTCAAGGACTTGGCCGTATTTACCGTGCCTACATCCAGAGAATGAAGCCGTCTTGAGGCTAGTAGACTTGCGGCACCTTCAACCGTGATCTGGTTGTCGGCGAGATAGAGATGTGTTATCCCCACATGCGGTAAACTTTCAATCCAAGAACGGCCTGTAAGAGGGTGTGTGAGAGTTTCTATAAACTGTTCATCTAGATCTGACCGTCTGAAGAGGTGAGCAGAGGGGTCCGATAGAAACGGAGACGTATTATTTGCTTGCGGGCGCGGCAAGAAACATCCCTGCAGCAAAGATCGCACCCCCATATCAGTGAGGAAATTATTTCGCAAGTCTAAATACCGGACTCTAGTCCCAATGGCATTAGCCAGGAACTCAGCATGACTATCTCTCAACCTGATTCCTCGTAGTTTCAACACCTGCAAATGCTCGAGCTGAGATAGACAAGACAAGACGCTGCTGTCTCGAGCAGGTGTGGTCCAAGATAAATCCAGATATATCAGTTCTTGAAAATGTAACAGAGCCTCTGCAAGGCCTTGGGAAGTAGTATTCGGTTCGCGCTCTGCTAGCAATAGGCGCACATTACTATACACATCGGCTGGTTGTGCATATTTCACCGAGGTCTTCAGTGCTGTCATGGAATTGTGATCGAAGAACGGTAGTCTGGACACTATCAAGGATTGGAGACATGGCAGATATTCGAGGATATCTCTCAGCCACTCCGGTCTCGGGCCACCGTATATTTCCGATAGTGCAGGAGGGAGATGGAGCGTATGGGTCAGCATTCGCACCTCGACGCGGGCGTATTTCAGGGTTCTTCGGAACCTAGTCAGAGCGACTGTTCATATCAGCGAATGTGAGCTATATTTGGTGTGTTTAGATATGCTTACCGTAGACCGCATCATTATCCGTCCCAAAGTGCGAGGCCGGATTCCCCCAAAGAAAGGGCATAAAAAGCTTGTGCCACCTGCGACAGACTAGCGAAGCCGCGCAGAGATCAACCGAGGGGGTATACTGAGCGATGACAGCCCAGGCATCTCGGGCCGTGGCAGTCTCATAAGATGGAGGGACGACATCCATCTTATGCGGGGTAGTGTAGAAAAGGCATACGAGAGCAAGCCAGTTCGGAGAAGGTCATCACAGAGCGACAAAAGTGTGATTTCTTTCGTCGGCTGGACGCATGAAAATGTCGCATGTGGTGGACCTCGAAATCGTAGCTAGTGCAATCTGACATGAAGCTTCGCGTCGACGATCGCTGACGGGCGCAGAACCAGCCCCATCGTGTGCGCCCCGCCACATACCGTATCAGCAGGGGCAAAGAGACGAACACAACATTGGCTGGGAAGAGCGCTGTGGCTTTTATCCTATGCGGGTGACTGTTAAAAGACGGGGTCAAGGAGCCAAGGGTAGAGGGGAGAGAACGCTGTCGACCAGGAACCAGAACCACTCTGCGGACTGAGTGGAACGAAGTACTGCGTATATTAGCACAACACCAGGGCAACTGATAGACACCGGTTAACGTCTTTCTGCAGAAATTCAGACGAGGACCTTCCCTTTTCAGCAAACGTGAAGCTTTCGAGTCAAGTGATCAACCTCATCCGTGACGTCAGCCCTCGCTCCTCCTGTTCGGCGGCCGTTCTTCACCCCTGAAAAAGCCGAACTTCCCCAGATCCGCGAATCGCTGTTTGAAACATTGGCCATCTTAGCAGCTGTGCTAATATACTAGCTGCTCATACATGCATGAAAATGGACCCCTGGCAACGAAACCTCCGCATGATGCACCATCTCAACGAATTCCTCGATCTCGACTCGGCCGAATCCAACGTCGTCGATGAATTCGTTTCTCTCTTCAACGCGATTCGAGAAGGTCTCACGCACATTGACGATGATTTCCAGATCCCCGATTCACATATCAATATGCTCTTCCTGTCGAAATTGAAATCGCGACTGGAATGGGCCGATTGGGCGACGGCTTTGCTGCGCGATCCGCAGGTAAATGGTTCTGACTCGACGGCGCGGATCTCGTTTCAGGAATTGGCCCGCTGGGCTAGAGAAGAAGAGAATGCAATTCGGGTGCGAGAGAAAGAGGAAAATGAGGATGATCATGACTCGGGGATTGAGTTACCGGTTCAACCGCCGCCGTCAACGTTGCCGGCTGATCATGAGAGCGCGATTGATCCGATGGGTTGGGGTGGTGCTGCGCCGAGGATACAGAGCAGATCCCGCGCACTTACCCAGGATGAGATCAACGCATTTGTCGTCCAGAAGATGGACCAGGAAGGGCTCTACAGAAGCGCGAATACCAAAGGCCACCGCAAACGACCTAGTCAAGAGGAAATCAACCAATACGTGGCTGAGCAGATGCGCAAAGAACAGGATCGGGGAATGCGAGCGCGAAGCTACAGCCAGCCAGAGCCAAGTATTGCAAATCGTAACCACCAAGAGCAACACATGCGACGTCAGCAGTCGGCACGAGTCCCCCGTTGCAGGTTCTGCAGTGACCTCCATCCGTCGGATCGTTGTTGGCGCCGTTGGAGAGTTGCTGTCGAGGCACCCCAGGCTAACTTCTTCCCTAAGCGAGTGGAATACCGTACTGAAGTTCCTGGTCAACCGCCCATGTATCGCACTGGGTTCACTCTCTACTGAACGCATTTTCCTTTGTCTTTGCATTGTCCTCTTCTGTCCTTTCTTCTGCTTCCCTGCTGCCTTTTGCTTTCTTCTCTTTTACTTATTCTGCTAGCTGAGCATGGCGTTTTGGATCTGTTATATCTGTCTGCAAAAACACTGATATCCGGCTGCCGGACAGCCAACTTTTCTTTTGTATATCCATTCATCTATCTACCTATTCTCAATGATATTTAAGAACGAACTCAGAACATACCAGTGGCCCGATGGTACGGAAGTGTTGGGAACCCCAGGTGACGAGCTTCCAATTCTTGAAAAACTGCATCGTTTTCACGGGCCGCCGCCGAGGTCTCTCCCTTCGCATCCAGTTCCATCTTTCGCAGCCTCGCCTGGATCACCACGCAGCTCTCGGACCATGCGCACACGGGACCTGGCAAGCCCTCAGTTAGAGCATATGGGTTATCAGGCATACGGTAGTCACTGCAAGAGGCGTTGTAAGGAGCTGTCTCGCGCGCGTGGAGCAAAAGAGCCAGAGCCTTGGAAAGAAAGTAGTCTCCCGTAAGCTCTGGCTGCGCATTCGAGATATCAATTTGCGAGCGCTCTTGATAGTTGCGTTTCGCCTGCGCGGCCAGCTCGCTGTCATACTCGAAGCAATCGTGCATAAGCAGCACCGACCATGCATTGCCTGTAATGCCGTGGCATAATCCGCCGCCTTTCGAAAGCAGCCCTTCTTCCCATATCCGCTCCGTAGCCAACTGGATGGCCTGGTCCCATTCGGGCTGCCAGTGGTTGGCCATAAGATAGGCATTTCTCCTAGCACATGCCATCAAAAGTAGGAAACTCGGGCTACCGTGACAGACCTGGACCAGGGGTGAGGTAGGATTGCCAACCCGACGGGGAGGAATACACGTCGGAAGATGCCCATTCTCTGCAATAGCAATCTTGCATAGGCCTGTAATCGTCTCGGCTATCCAGGGGAAGTGATTGCGCGAGGCACCATCGTTGACTTCTTCCACGTTGCAGGCAAGCATGGTAGAAAGGATTCCGCCTATGTTTGGTTAGTTTGATGATTTGCTGTGATTCCATTTGTGTACATACCTGCTCCGTGGACGCTTGGATGAAGACATTAGTACTTATGCTCACATTATCGAAAGAAGTGGGGTACTCACGCTCCAAGACAGTAGTAACCTTCCATCCACATATACATCAATGGAAGAGTATCCTTGTCGCCATATAGCTTAGTACAATCATGCGCACCTTGCCTTCCTGCCTCGATGATCACATCGACCAGTTTCGGAATGGATTCATAAAGAGGTTTCAGTGCCTTCTCTGTGGCATCGTCAAATTTATGGGCGCGGATATTCAGAATCGACCACAACAGTCCTGCGCGTCCATATAAGATTTCATCGCCTCCCAGGTCATTGCCATCATGAGGTACAATATGACCATTCTTCAGGGCCAGCTCGACTGCCTGATAAAAGTGCTGAATGTCATCTTTGGAAACGGCACTGTTCGATGTGGCTGCAGCTAGTATACGGAGAACGGCTGCCGGTATCGGGGAAAGTGACCCCAAAGGAGACAATCTACTGGGCAACAGAGGCAAATCTGGACCAGAGTAGATCCTCTCATTGGTATCTTTTCGAAAGTCAGGCGGATTGGACTCGTTGTCCTTTTTTAAAGACGCAGCTTGATGGGCGAGTCGTAGGAAAGCCAACGTAATTCCTAGTAATAATGCAGCCGATCAGCTTAACCCTGTCACACTAAACTAGGTTTCAGATTCCCTGTATGTTTGTCATACCTGGATTCCCTAGGAAGAAGCCGCCGACTCCCCATTCGCCAGGAGGAGGACTGCCCTCCTTTACCATGTCAACTCCACGCCTGGCCGCATCACGTAATTCCTGCAGAGTCTGTTGCAATGACTCCTTGTTAATTTCAATTGGCTTAAGCGTATTTTGGTAGTACTGAGGATGTTCAGTCGCCATTGTGAATCAGGAACTGGTGCTTAGAACGGTATATGGTTGTTGGTGTTTGTATGTCCAGAATATCGGTGGTGAAGGTGCACACATAACATTAATATCTGTCCTCGGAGCGCAAAGAGGCTGGCTGAACCCATAGTGGGCAGCTCCAATCACAATGAAGCCTGAGGCCAGCCCCGGTGTATTGTAGCTCAGAGCTGCCATACAACTCAACTTCTAGTGTGCCTTCCGTGTTAGGAAAGGCGGGGGAGCAGATCACTCAGCCTCGGATGAATGATAATCCATGGCTGACTCAATTATGACTCAGCGACCGGGACGACGTGTTCTTCCGCTGCGTTCTCTCCATTCCGGACTCGAGAATACTCGCCGGTCCTCGAAGTGCCCTTACCAAACACGTTATTACTACTAAACGCGGCCTGATCGCCTCACGGGGAGAAACGTTATTGCTGCTGCTCCTCTGCAGAATGTCAGTACTGCTTCCTTTCGTCCAGATTCCCCCCAAACAAGCCCTTGCTCCACTCTCCCTGCCCATCTCATTTCTCTCCCCTTGGATTGAACTATAAAAAGCCAAGCATGGCGTTTGTTTCCTTTCGGAGATTCCGGATTTATTACATCCGATGTATAACATGTCTACCTGGAAGGAGAAGGGAATGAAGCACTATGATAGAACTCTATCACTATTCACACTCAATGTCTTCTGCTGCAGTGACTAATATGGTAAACAGTCTCGTGCCCCGTTGTGCTGGGCTAGGGCATCATCATGCCCGCAGTACATGGTGATTTGATGGCCCCAGTATTCCCTACTGAAGAGTACTTTCCAGACACCATCTTCCCACGGCAGATGACTCTCAGGGACCGAATCACCATTGCGACATTGGTCCCATTCCCGTCGTCAGACCTAGTTCCCAGATCCCTGCTGGGGTACCTGTCTGACCAATTGAACAAGGAAATCGAAAAAGGAGATACTTATGCTATGACCGATCCCATTCCGTTTAGTCTGTTTGGGCCATATTGGTTCTCCAATTTCGGTGCCATCATGCTCCTGGGTGATATCAAGAGCGTGGAAGAGGTTCAGGCATTGGACCAGGCAGGAACCAATTGGTCCAAAACTTGTCTGGGCAGCTTCAATATCAGACCGAACTATCCAGGCCGTAGTAATCATGTTTGCAATGGCATGTTTATCGTCACTGATGCTGCTCGAAACAAAGGTGTAGGTAGGCTTATGGGTGAGACGTATTTGGAGTGGGCTCCCCGAATGGTCAGTATCTTTTTGCAATTTGTGTCCATAAGTCATGAGATCTGACTGGGAAATAGGGGTACACGTATGCTGTGTTCAACTTGGTCTATGAGACCAATGTTGCCTCATGTCGGATTTGGGATGCCTTGGGCTTCAAACGAATCGGCAGAGTGCCAGGAGGTGGTAGACTCCTATCCAACCCGGGGCAATTTGTCGACGCAATAATCTATGGGCGGGACCTCAACCTTGAAGGTGATGATTCTGCTACTCAAGATCGTTTCGAGAAGATTAGATATTACCTCAAGCATGCCAAATACCCACGGGGAGCCGATCGGGCTGAAAAGAGTCGTCTTCGGAGTGCAGCGACCCATTATAAGCTTATTGGTGGCGACGATGGGGAACCTGAGAGGCTGATGCTGAAGGGCAAGGAAGTAGTATCCGATCCCCAACAGCAGTACGACATTGCTCAAAACATACACAATGAGCACCATGCGGGTATCAATAAGACCACTGCGGCCATCGCAGTCAAATATCATTGGGTCAGGATCAAGGAAACTGTCAGTCGAGTCATAAGGGATTGTCCTGAGTGCAAGGAGACTCTTAAAACAACTCCACTGGGACTCAGAGACGATGACCCACCCGAAAATGAAGAAAGAATCACCACTTTCCATCAACAGGAGAAGAATGAGCCGGGACTACCTTCACATGAAGTCTTGGACGCGAAACTGTACATGGACGAGTCGGCAGCCGGCTCATCCACTCAAACCCCAGGCTTCCAGAATACGAATCCCTTCGCTCCTACGCATACACATCCTATCCAAGAACCTCTCAACACAATAACCGACTACTCTACAATGCCTCTTGATCCGCAAATGATTGAAACCCACTCACACCTTTCTCGCTTTCCACAATATGACGCCATGGCAGACCCCTATTCCCACGGCTCCCACATTCTACAGCACACGAATTTTGACGACGAAGTACGACATCATGCAGCCAATGAGTATCAAATGATGGTTGATGACACAGATCCCAATGGCACAGGGCTTCAGGCAGAGACGCTGGGGCTAGTACATCCCCATGCGAATGAATTGCAGGACGCACATGAAATATTGAACAAATATGCATATGGAGGACGACCTGAAGATGATTTGGACTTTACATGACCTTCCTTTCTGACATTTTCCACTGGTTTCGGAGTTTTGATCTCTAGCGGTTCCGGGGGCCCATACTGTAAAGCACAAGGGGCATTAATTATTATTATACCTAATTATATACTATTGACAGGGAATATTACCTACTCTACTTAATAAATCAATTCCTCTCTAGAACTAGTAATGTATAAGTATCTAAACCGTTGAGGGGCACTTTGGTAGGGTTGCGGGGCGGCATGATTGGTCACCGCCTGTGCGTTTGGCGACGAGGAGCAGCTCTGGGAAATTTTGGTTCGAGATCATCGACCCCAGAGAACTGCCCGACACCCTTTTCTTTAGGCCACGTTTCGTCGAGCGACCTTATTCTCAGTTGGGGATATCTTCTTGTATTTGCATTTCACGCCTAATAAATAACTACTCACCATGGCCTTTGCCGGCCAAACACCCACGATCGTCGTGTTGAAGGAGGGTCCGTATCGCCCGCAATCTATCTGCAATCTGGACGTTTCGCTGACTTGGGATCATTGTTGCTTGATGGATAGGGACGGATACATCTCAAGGAAAGGGTCAAATTGTTTCGAACATTAACGCCTGCGTTGCGGTGCAATCCACGATCAAGAGCACGCTCGGTCCGTACGGAGGTGATCTGTTGCTTGTTGACAACAACGGCAGACAGACGATCACAAACGATGGAGCCACTGTTATGAAAGTGCGTGATTCAACAAGGATACTTAGATGAAACGAAATGAAGGAGAAGTATGAATGCTGATTACGTGTCTTGTTGGTTACAGCTCCTCGATATCGTCCACCCCGCCGCCCGCATCCTTACCGACATTGCACGATCCCAAGACGCCGAAGTGGGAGATGGAACAACTTCGGTTGTCGTTCTTGCTGGCGAGATCCTTAAGGAGGTTCGGGAGTTGGTCGAGCAGGGTGTCAGCCCACAGACTATCGTTAAGGGTCTGCGGAGGGGGAGCGCCATGGCCGTCAACAAGGTCAAGGAGATTGCAGTGGACATGGTCAATGCCGCTGGTGGCGAGGAGAAGAAGGTTCAGACTCTCCGGAGGTTGGCTGCGACGGCTATGAATAGCAAGTTAATCAAGCGGAATACGGAATTTTTCACCAAGAGTGAGTTGGCTTCTGTTTTTTTTTTTTTTTTGTCTCGCGTGGGTTGATACAGGGGAAATGGGCTGACTGGGAACTAGTGGTTGTCGATTCGGTCCTTACGCTGGACCAAGACGACCTCAACGAGAAGTTGATTGGTGTTAAGAAGGTTACCGGCGGTGGTCTCCAGGAATCACTTTTCGTCAACGGTGTTGCCTTCAAGAAGACTTTCTCGTACGCCGGGTTCGAGCAACAGCCTAAGTCGTTCAGAGACCCCAAGATCGTTTGCTTGAATGTCGAACTCGAGTTGAAGAGCGAAAAGGACAACGCCGAGGTCCGGGTCGAGCAGGTGTCTGAATACCAAGCCATTGTCGATGCCGAGTGGCAGATTATTTACAACAAGCTCGAGGCCATTTACAAGACGGGTGCCAAGGTTGTTCTCAGCAAACTGCCTATTGGTGATCTTGCTACACAGTACGTGAAAAACTTTCCCCTCCTCTTTCTCCTACTGAGAGGGGCGTTTTATTGACATTCGCAGATACTTCGCTGATCGTGACATTTTCTGCGCTGGTCGCGTTTCTTCCGACGATATGGACCGTGTCTGCCAGGCGACTGGTGCCGCAACGCAGTCGACATGCACCGACATCCAGGACCGCCACTTGGGTTCCTGCGGCTCGTTTGAGGAGAGCCAGATCGGTAGTGAACGTTTCAATTTCTTCTCGGAATGCCCGGGTGCTAAGACATGCACCCTGGTTCTGCGTGGTGGTGCGGAGCAGTTCATTGCTGAAGTCGAGCGGAGTTTGCACGATGCCATCATGATTGTCAAGCGCGCACTGCGCAACACAACCATTGTGGCTGGTGGTGGTGCCACCGAGATGGAGCTCTCGGGCTATATGCACGGATTCGCAGACCGCAACGTCCCCCACAAGCAACAGGCCGTCGTCAAGGCCTTCGCCAAGGCTCTGGAAGTCATTCCCCGTCAACTGTGCGACAACGCTGGCTTCGACGCTACCGATATCCTAAACCGCCTGCGTGTGGAGCACCGCAAAGGCAACGTCTGGGCGGGTGTTGACTTTGACCACGAAGGTGTCCGGGACAACATGGACGCATTCGTGTGGGAGCCCAGTCTGGTCAAGGTGAACGCCATTCAAGCAGCAGTGGAAGCTGCTTGCTTGATTCTGAGCGTGGATGAGACAATAAGTAAGTTGACTAATGATGCTCTTTCACCTGGATCAATCGCTAACGAAGCATTGCAGAGAACGAGGAGTCCGCCGCGCCACAGGCACCGGGTCGTGGTCTTCCCCCGGGTGCTGCTCAGCGCGCTCTGGGTGGACGGGGTCGAGGAATGCCTCGAAGACGGTAAAGGGACTATGTAATAGAATAAGAATGAGGTATGTAGATGTACGGAGATGATGGGGTGAAACTAGAGAACAGCCAAAAATGTCTTTCTTGGAGATGATGATAGGATGATTGAAAAGGAAGTTGTCTTGTCTGTTAGAATGGCATATATTGTGCTATAGGTATAATCTTGATTGTTCATCATATCCATAGTTTCATCATACTTGCTCTACTGGTGCCTTATCAATCTCAGCCAGCTCTCTCAGCCTCGACCGTAAGCATCTGATATGGGGCTCAGCCTCATGCTCTTGACGTTGGATGTCCTTTAGAGAGTAGAGTGGACAATTCCTGCATGTATGCAGCAATGTATAGAGTATTTCCGAAGTACATGCATTGGGCATCCATAGTAATCATAGAGCTTGTCCCTACCCCTCACAGTAGTACTACTAGTACTATTTTGCCATCAAACAAATATCAAGAAAAGGTAGATATCTTATTAAGCACTGCCTACCATTGCCACTCATTTTCATGGAACCTGATCTATAAGTAGAATCACCGCCACGAGTCGTTCACCCAGTTCGCTCAGAGTTTGAAATAAATTATAGGGCTGGTTCTGCGTTTCTCTTTGCTATATACATTGCATAATACACTGCACTGTACACCGTTCAGTTGTATAGTATCCGTATTTGCCGCCTTTCCGGCCGCCTGGATAATTTTCCCCGTCTCCACCCAATCTCGATCTGTCTTTCACTCTCCCTCGACCTTCCCATCTCCCATTTTGTCCCATAACACTCTGGTATACGGCTTACTCGTTGATTTTGTGATACCCTGCGATACCCTGTGGTACCTACTATCCTATATCTTCCTCGTCTTCATCCCCGACTTCATCGCTCGCACCAGTAATGTCTTACTATCCACCATATTCGGGCCCTCCGGGTTATCCCCCACAACAACAGTATCCTCCTCCCAATTATGGCTCCCAGCAACAATATCCGTGAGTCTTATCCGCTGTGCACAATTTCCTTGAATCCCGCGATACTTCCCATATTCTGAGCGACATGTTAACCCCCCCAGACCAATGCAGCAGTCCTCGTACGGCGGTTATCCTGGACAAGCCTACCACCACCACCAGCAGTCCAACCCCTACGGATATGGTCACTCTCCCCAGCCATCCTACGGATCATCGGCCCCCAATAACGGTTATGGAGTACGTTTCGCGTGGCATAGAAAGGAAAGAATACGTGGCTGACATGTGGATCCTAGCATGCACCATCGGGATATGGTCAACCTCCAGCCGCGCCGTCTGGAGGTTCGATGTATGGGCGACAACAATGTATGTTCCTCCATTTGCCACTGTGTATCCTGGGAAAACAACGCTGATCTAGTATTCCTTTATTAGATAGTGGTGGTGGTGGTGGTGGCCCGGCTCGGCCGCCGTCTGAGCCGGTCGCGTTCGGTCACGGCGCTCCGCAGGGTTACAACTTTCAGTACTCGCGCTGTACAGGAAAAAGAAAGGCACTGTTGATTGGAATCAACTACTTTGGACAGAAGGGGCAGCTGCGTGGCTGTATTAATGATGTTAAGAATGTGTCCACCTATCTGAACCAGAGCTTTGGCTATGCTAGGGAGGACATGGTCATCCTTACCGATGACCAGCAGAATCCTATGAGCCAGCCGACTAAGGTGAATATCTTGCGTGCTATGCACTGGCTAGTTAAGGATGCGCAGCCTAATGACTCTCTCTTTTTCCACTACTCCGGTATGCCCTTCGTCTAACCCTTCGACGTTTTGACCCTTTGGAAGGTTACTGATTATTGGTGGTAGGTCACGGAGGTCAGACACCAGACGAAGATGGGGACGAAGATGATGGATACGACGAAGTAATCTACCCCGTCGATTTCCGGGTGGCAGGACACATTGTGGATGATGAAATGCACCGGATCATGGTCAACTCCCTTCAGCCCGGTGTGCGACTGACGGCCATTTTTGACTCGTGTCACTCTGGCTCCGCCCTCGACTTGCCTTACGTCTACTCGACCTCGGGTGTCCTCAAGGAGCCCAACCTGGCCAAGGAAGCTGGTCAAGGTTTGCTGGGAGTTGTTTCCGCGTACGCACGCGGCGACATGGGCGGTATGATGTCGACTGCTGTCGGTTTCCTCAAGAAGGCGACCAAGGGCGACGACGCATACGAGCGAACCAAGCAGACCAAGACGAGCCCGGCGGATGTCATCATGTGGTCCGGCAGCAAGGACAGCCAGACCAGTGCGGATGCTTCCATCTCTGGCGAATCAACTGGTGCCATGTCCTGGGCTTTCATCACAGCACTGCGCAAGAATCCTCAACAGAGCTATGTGCAGTTGCTAAACAGCATTCGGGACGAACTGGCGACCAAGTATTCACAGAAACCGCAGCTGAGCAGCAGTCATCCTTTGGGTACGTAATTTGCCAACATATTTTATATTTGGTCAAGCTGTGAAGCTAACTCTTTGCAGACACCAACCTTCTTTATGTTATGTAGATAATAGTAACGCGATACCATCAATATTCTGATATGTTTTATGGCTGGGATATGGGACATGAAAATTAAACGAAATATTTACCTAGTATGTTGCTGCATGGACATTGCACTGTTTGAAAAAAAAAAAAAAAAATCGCAGGCTGTGGTTACTATACGAGAATTGGAGCTATTGATATATATTTGTTGTCATTACAGTGTAGATTGTGATAACCCTACATATATAAGCATAGCATAACGTGACATTGCTGATCCATCTATCCAGGATTCCATTCCCATAATGAATAACTTTTAAAGGCCCAACACCAAGGTACAAGAAAAAAATTTAGATCACCATCGCTTTGGCGCATCAACTACCGTCCTTGAAAACGATGCACTAATCGTCTCCTTCCCCTTTTTTCTCGACGAAGCAATAATCCCCGTCCGATCCGTAACAGGCGTCGCATTGATGATATTATCAAACGCCTCATCCTCGTCATCTTCACTCCCTGCCGAGCCTGATTCGGCATCTGAGTCTTCGCGCAGGACGGGTTGATCATCTGGACGGGAGACTTTCTCAGGTTGTTTTGTAGGGCTGTTATCGTCGTCGACAGAAGGATTCTGGAAGGACTTGGAGTTGAGGATTTTCTGGCGGATTTCGGCCATCTGGGCTTCGTCTTCGGAGTCGTCGGAGATGGCGAAGGGGTCTTTATCTTCCTGCCCTTCCTCTTCGTCGTCTGATCCGTTCTCGTCTTTCTTCTTCTTATTGCCCTCCTCGTCCTCTTCACCTGAGCCCTCGTCCGAATCCGAATCACCAACCTGCCGATTCGTATTCCCAACAGTCCACATATCATCCGCACCCACATCCCGATTCGCCGCATACTCCGCTTCAATCTTCGCCAGCCATTCCTCCTCCGTCTTTTTAACCTCTTCCTCCGTCGCGCACGCAGCGTATCTCTTCAGCAGCTTCGAATTAATCTCGAGAAATGCGTCGCCATAACGGAATGGTTTGAGCACGTCCTTAGCCCAGTCTTCGTGGCCGCAGATACAGAAGCAGGCGGCGAGCGCTTCGACGCAGTTCAGGCGCCAAGGTTTGCCGTAGTTGACTGTGTTTGCGGCGATGAGGTAGGGGAGGAGTCTTTCGCATTTGCCGCCGATGCGCGACCAGGGGACTTCTTGGACTCGGACCCAGGAGCATTCTACTACTGCTGCACCGTGTGTTTCGAGAAGTTCACGATCTGCGGGAGATATTATTTTTTTCGCATTTGGTCTGTAGCATTCCCTCGTCAGTATTGCGCAGTAGAAAAAAAGACTAAAAAAAAAAAAAAAAAAAAAAAAAAAAAAAAAAAAAAAAAAAAAAAAAAACCTACGAGACAATCACACCCGGGTGCTTCTGTCCAATCGAAAGCTCGCGCATCAACCCAAACTGCATCAATCTCTTCCCTGAGCATCGTCTCGGATCGCAATGGCCCAAGTCCCAGCAAGCGGCCTTGAACGGGGGTCTGGAGGAAGTCGAGGACTCGTTATCGTCGCGGGGTACAGGACGAGCACGGGGGCGGGGGTTGGGTTTCTTGCCTCCTCGGGAGAAGTTGTCTTTTTTGTGGCGGACCATGTTGTCAATTTTTTGCTGTAGTTGTTGTATATATGTATTGTATTATAGTGAGGTATAGAATGTTGTAATGTTAGTGAACGGAAAAGGTTGACTGTTGATCGATCGGACTAAACTAAGCGCCACACGTGGAGTAGCGACCGCCGCCTAAACCTCCAACTTGTCTATCTCCATACTCTATATCAACAGCAAGAGCTCCTTATTCCACCCACACTTGTGACTGTATAGCGTCGGTGTGGGAATCGCATTGGTTTTTTTTTTTTTTTTTTTTTTTTTCACCCCTACTTGGTTTATATCTTTGACTCTCTCCCGCCGTCACCCTGGAGGCAGCATCCGCACGCATGGCAGCGAGGGACCGGTTCGGTGCCTTTGCTGACCTGGGGCTCACGCCGGTCCAGCGCGCAGTCCGTACGTTTACAATCAAATGATGGAATGCCAATTCTAACGGTTATAGGTCATGCCTGCGATATCTCCCAATACGAGCCCAACCTCGCCCTGAACCTCGAGGTTGCGGACCTGATCAACTCCAAGAAAGGCAATGCGTGAGTGCTCGAATAGGATACGTGTTTACTACAAATTCTAATGGATGTTATGGATAGACCCCGAGAAGCGACCTTTGAAATTGTCTACCTGATCAACTCCCGGAACCAGAATGTATCGTTACTTGCGCTGGCGGTAGGTTAATCGAGCCCACCATACAACCATGCGGGGAACATAACTAAGAAACTCTTGTAATAATATAGCTGCTCGATATTTGTGTCAAGAACTGCGGATACCCTTTCCACCTCCAGATCAGCACCAAGGAGTTTCTAAATGAGCTGGTACGACGGTTCCCTGAGAGGCCACCTATGCGGCCGTCTCGGGTGCAGCATCGCATTCTCGAGTCGATTGAAGAGTGGCGGCAGACGATTTGCCAGACTTCGCGGTATAAGGAGGATCTGGGTCATATAAGGGACATGCACCGGCTGTTGCTTTACAAGGGTTATATGTTTCCGGAGATTCGTGCTGATGATGCAGCTGTTTTGAATCCTAGTGATGTAGGCCTTATCTGTGTGGGGTTATGTGCGCGGGTTACTGACAGTTGATAGAACCTTCGATCGGCCGAGGAAATGGAAGAGGAAGAAAGGGAGGCGCAATCGGCGAAATTGCAAGAGTTGATCCGACGCGGTACACCGGCGGACTTGCAGGAGGCCAATCGGTTGATGAAGGTCATGGCAGGATATGACAATCGGCACAAGACAGATTACCGGGCCAAGGCAGCCGAAGAGGTTGCCAGGGTTCAGCAAAAGGCCAAAATTCTGGAGGAAATGTTGGAGAGTCACAAGCCTGGGGATCCCATTGCGGAGGGTGATGTATTCGAGGTACGACCGGGACCCTGTACAAGTTATATAGGAGAGATACTGACATGTATAGGAACTCGCGAATGCGCTCATTAGTGCCCACCCGAAGATCCAGAAAATGTGCGAAGAAGAGTCGGATGATGCCGAGGCTGTTCGCAAGTTGTTGGAGATCAACGACAGCATCCACCGCACTATCGAACGGTATAGATTGGTCAAGAAGGGCGATGTTGACGGAGCGGCACGTATTCCGAAGGGTACGCTGGGTACGACGACGGGTGTGTCCAAGAATGCGAATAATGAGTTGTCTTTGATCGATTTCGACCCGGAGCCTAGCCCCAGTGCCGGTGGATCGCAGCAAGCCACGCCTGCCCAGGGAGGTAATTCATTGGAAAACGATTTGCTTGGACTGTCGTTGGACGACCAGGTGCCTTCAGGGGGTATCTCCTTGGGGCCTAGTAAGTTGTTCTTCATGATTAGTGTTGTAGGCGATTCTAACATGTTTTAGCTGTTCCACCGACCAACCCACTCAATCAGTCAACATCCCCGACACCACCAGTGCAGCAAGCCTCGCTATCTTCTAAGCCCAACTATGATATCCTGTCATCGTTGAGCTCTCCACAACCAACCACCCAGGCTCCACCATCCATCCCCGGGTTCTCACAGCCGCCACAGCCGCCACCCCAAAAACTGCAAGCACCAGCAGCAGCAGACCCATTCGCATCGCTGATATCCGGCAGCTCTCGAGGATCAAGTCCATTCTCCCCGGCCGTAAGCCAAACACCACCGGCAATGACTCGGAGCGGAACTCCCGCTCGGCCGGCAACACAGCCGACGGAAGAGGACGAATGGAACTTTACCTCATCGCTACCAGAGAGCAACAGCGCCCTCCCCAGCACAAGCAAAGTGGCCGTACTGGATTCGTCATTGCGAATTGAGTTTGTGGCACGGCGACATCCGTCTCAGCCACGATTGATTCATATAGTGGGATCATTTTCGAATCGCACGAGTCAACCGATACAAGAGCTTCACTTCCAGGTGGCTGTGGAGAAGGTGAGTGGCTATAATGGATGAAGCTTATCGGTATGAACTTAGACTGACGAACGCGTGTTACAGGCATATCGCTTACAACTCCGACCGCAAACTGGCCGGGAGATCTCCGCGTTGCAGCAGAACGGCGTCCAGCAGGAGATGTTAGTGGATGGGGTTGAGTCTGGGCAGGGTAGCTCGGTGAAGATGCGGTTCCGAGTATCGTACGTGGCAGGTGGACAAAGGAAGGAGGAGCAGGGGATGGTTCCGCCATTAGGAATATCCTAATCAGGGGAAGAAGATTCAAGAGAGCACGAACAGTCCGACGTGGAGTCAGAATCTAACCGGGACATTTCTCCGCTGGACGGCCATTTGTCCGAGTAAGCCATTGCCAATGATACGACTTACCGACGAAGCGCCGCAAAAGGGCACGGCTGAGCTAAGAGGGATGATGAATGGAGCGGAGAGTACATCGGACATGTCCGTGTGGAGACGGTGTAGTTAGTGGTTGGCTATTGATTTGCTTCATTTGTGTCAGTTGACAGGATACTAAGAAAATCCAAAGTAAGGGCCCGTCCCGTGGCATTTTACAGACCAAGAGCATATACGAACAGTGACAGACTTCACCCCACCCCCAGGGACCCATCAAAATAGCCTTCTCACAACATCGTTCCCTGGGACAGAGCGCTGGGACGCTCGTAGAGAGACCATACATATTGAATGGAGGAACGGAGCAGAGGCCGGTGGCGAAAAGAGGGGAGGAGAAGTAAAGTTTGGCACGAATGGCGAGACCTGTCAATTTGGCAGTGACAGGCCAGACCCTGCTAGAGCCATCCAGATCCCGCGTCTCGTTTAGATATGAGGGGTAGCGGAGAGGGGCGCGCTGTAGAGAGGGTACGAGTGTGGTAGGAAAATGCGAAAGATTTACCCAAGGTGGGTAGGGTTAGATGCTGACAGACACATGGGAGATTCTGCAACATAACAAAGAAAGAAAACTTGTAGAAACGACACGAAACAAGACCCTGAAGAACCCGATCGACTGGGTATTCTTTTCATCTTTGCTTCATAAGAAATTCCGTAGGTGTGGTAAGTACTAGTAAGTAGCATCCCGGAGAGGTGACTTTCCTAATCCGGCGACTTTGCAACGTGACTTCCTAGGTAACTTGCCCTTCCATCCGCCTTCCACTTCTTCTCCCCCGGACCAGTTTATTTATTTTTTTTTTTCCTATGTAACCTCCATATATTCCCCATATTCTTCAGGACACAGATATTCGCACGATACAACGGCCCCAGTCTAGATCAGTTCTCTTCTCGTTTTGGCCTTTCTCCGCCGTGGCAATCCGTACATACTGTTTCCATGGTTTCAGCCCTCACATCGACCTAACCTAGCCCTCTTTCCGTGGGTCTGTGCAGCCTGGGAATACAGTGGTACTTGGCACACCCTTTTTTTTTTTTTTTTTTTTTTTTTTTTTTTTTTTTTAATCCTCGGCTTGACAGCTAGCTGCCTTGTCGCCAGGCGGTCGTGCAGGGTTTATAAAGTTGCAGGGTTGCCTTTCTGCCTCTGTCTGCCCCTCCATTTTGGATACGCACATTCTGCATATTCTTCTTCTCTATATACTTCTCCTTCTACCTCGCCTTTTATTCGCACTATCATCATATGCATTTTCTTCAATAGCAGCATAAGAGATTCCATTATGCCTTCGTCTGACTTGGATTTGGATGTGTCTCCTATCCCCCGTTCGCGGGAGGAGAACCAGGAACGGTACGTCGTTGCACAAGCCGGGATGTGATATTTCCGGACCGTCTTGCTAATCCTTGTAGTGCTTTTATCGCGGCATCCCGACGCAAAGACCGCAGCCTCGATGCTAGGTTGGAATCGGCCAATCGTGCCTCCATGTTACACAAGAAGCGTACCGGGAAGAGCCTGCACATCACCAAAGATATTGTCGAGAAAGAGGCCATGTACGAAGAGGTCGACGAGCGGTACCAAGAGAAACGCATTCGTATGCTACAGGCTCAGAACATGCAAATCGAAGAACAGCTTAATCGCCAGCTTTTGACTGCATTGGCTGCTCGCAACCACCGGGGCTCGACATCGTCGGCCTCGTCAGCTACGACCAATTCTGTGACTTCTGCTTCTCCTAAGCCTCTTGCTCCGCATCAACATCTTAGACGGGCCACTAGCATGGCACCGCGGGCCTCGATTGATGGGGTGCGCAAGATGAGTTTGGACTTGTCGAGTGTGCGCTCGTCTTTTTCGGAGGGGATGCAGACGGGGGCATTGAACAGTCCTATGATTACGGAGAACAGGTACACGATGTCACCAGATTATAATACTATCGCGTCTCCGCAGCACACTCAGCCTGAGTGGTATAATCAGGTGCCCGCGTATGTTCAACAGATGCAGTGGCCTCAACAATGGACGGGATTCCAGCCCCAGCAAGAGCAGCCGCACGTCATGCAGGATTATGTCTCTCAGATGCCAATGAACGTTGCTGCGACACGGCCATTCAGAGATCGATTTGCATCTGCTCCAGAGATTCCATTGCACGGAATGCCTACGAATTCTTTCTCATTGATGTCCGCTCCAGCGCCAGTTCAGCAAGAGCAGCCACTGCAACAATCACAACATAGCCGCGTACAATCCGAACCAAACATGTCGATGGCGATGATGATGCACAACCTCCAGCAGCAGCAGGCACAATCTCAGCAGCCAATTTCCAAACCCGCATCGCCCAAAACGCAACCCACACCAGACGCCTACTCGTCGCCCAGCACACCACCGCAGTCACCCAAGACGACCAGTGTCGGTGTGGGAACGATGGGAGTACCGCAACCAGACGTGAAGACAATAGGCAAAAATGATGATGGGGTTTTATTTGCACAAGAACTGGACCCAGACTTTGATGAGTTCAGTCAGTTTGCATTAGGACTGGGGAATACCACGGAAATATCGGAGCGGGAGCCATTCGGGTTTGAAGACTTTGTAACCATGGATGATTTTACAGCTGCTGCATGATTTTGATTCTTTTCTTACGTTCTTTACGATGATTCATGCTTATGTTTATTGGCTATGATATGGCTGTATTATAGGACTATTGGATGGGATGGGAATAATACCCCTGGCGTTCTGATGTTATTATTATTATTATTACTTAACTTTTGCCGTGTATGTATTTACGAGCAACGAGAGAATAAAATTTAATTTAATGTTGCACTCGCGTCTGAAGAGAAAAGCCCCGCATTCTAACCTTGAGAATATGCATCGGCCATGGTTCGATGTCATGGTTTGTTTGTACAGCCCTATGGTTGCTGATTGGTCGGATATTCCATCCAGCAGGCCCAGTCGACCCACGTATAACTCATTGCGACAGTAGGATTGGCTAGAGGTAGCCCATCTGCCTATAATGGTTAAATCTTAGTTTATAATGAACCAATCATTCTACAAATCGCGCAAATCACCTGCAGCCTGATCCACAAATCAATAAACATTAGTACAGCTACGTACATCGCATGTGAGGGATATAACTTACTTACTGAGGCAAAATAACCCAGCCAAGAGGATAAAGTTAGTTTACTTGGCACCTGTCACTAGTCATGTTACTTTACTTTGTTTCTACTGATGTAGTTAGGGGCGTGCGGTGTGTGTGTGTATGTATAGTACAGCTGCATTCGGAAAGTCGGTCTGTGCTATCAGACAGTGTTGACATCTTCTAGATCTGTTCTATTTATTTATTTATCTAGCTACCAAAGCATTCCATGTCCTATCATAGACACCACAGATACAGAGTACATACAGTGGGACTACTTCGTGCACAATTCCAAATACTAAACCCACCAGTCGCTCATCATCTTACATAACCCCTCTCTGAACCGACGGTATTAGCCGATGGACACTGGTTCGGTCGTCCCCGGCGATAACAGCACCTACAGCAATCCCTGCCCGATACGTACCCTGCCACATCCCTCCATCGATCTGTGCGTGTGAATCACCCGAACCACTGGTCCGTGACGTTCCCACCGTCCGAGTGTGGATGGTCAACCATGGGTGGTAGAGCTGGAACCGTTGGGTAAGGCGGGCCAGACTGATCACTCAGCATGAGTAAGAGGGGAGGTTGGCGACCTGGGTGGGTGGGTGGCTGGCAGGCAGACAGGGTTGTTGGTGTGTAGGTGGCCCCGGTGTGAGAATTGGCTAGTAGCTGCGGTAGCTGCAGGGGTTTTAGGTCAGGTCATGTCAGGTACAAAGGTACAAAATATCGTGTAATGATCATTCTTAGCTATGCTATGTATATTTGTTGTATGTATGTGCTATGCGGGACTAGTGTTATCTCCACCGGTATCTGCCGAATTCTGCATCACTGGCCAAGATCGATCGATCGTGATCATCCCTTATCTGTACGTACAGACACGCACGCAACTTTATCATATCATCCGTGAAGAACTGAAGGGCAAAAGAAATGCAAATCAAAAACCTCGGCTAAACAACTCCCGCCCCAACTCTCCGCTCCGCCGGACACTCATGCTAGAACTACTGCTCCGTCGGCGATGCGCGCGGCTTTCCATAGGATCGGCCGGGCTTAACCCGCTGGCTCGTGCTTGTAGATTGAGAATATCCGTCAAGCTTACCACGCCCAGCAATCGGCCCGACAGGCGTGCTCCCGATAGTGCTGATGCGGGAATTGACGTTGCCAGTGTGGCTGATCCCGGCTGTGGTGATGTGTGGGGAATCGGCAAGTGTGGGTTGCTGCTAGGGTTTGTCAATTGATTCGGCTTTGGCGATGTGGGCGGAGACACTGCTGGGTTTGGTGCTGTGTTGGGCACAAGATGGGTTGCTGAATGTGACGGTGTCGAAGGTCCGGATGACGCTGGGGAGAGCGGGTCCGTCACCCATAATCTATATTGAATTAGATTTTGCATAGTTGGATAGGGATCGTGGATGCTTACCGATGTGATTTAGTAGCCACCATCTTCGCCACCGTATGTGCAAGGGTCGAACTAGGATCTACATGGAAGACCGGAAAAGAATCCTGGCCATCGATCAAACCTCTCGTAGACAAAACCACCGAGACAAAATTTGTGCATGTATTGTGCAATAGTGGAAGTGATGAGGATCGGGTCAAAAGCTACACTCGTTAGTCATCAAAAATATAAGAAAATATGCCACATACCTTGACGTCTGTCGCGGAGATATTGCCCACTACATTAAAATGGTTGTCAACCACTGCGACGGATGAGATGCCCTCCTCATACATCAGCCGCAGGGCTTCACTAAGCGGCCTATCTGCACTGTTTATAATTAGCACAGCCGTGCAGTATGTGAGAAAAGAAAACAGGACTCACTTAATTGAAAGCACGGCTCGCGACCCTATCCCCAAATCTCCCAGGGAATTCGGATACAGTTGATTGACTGCTGGAAACGTGCGACCATTCTCCCACAGAAACTTGACCAACCGAAACTGGCTAAAGATTCCCACCACCTCGTTATTACTATTCTCGTCCACCACTACGACACGATGCACGCCACCCCCAAACGTCTCCACGGCACTCATCACGTTAGCCGTCGCGGGCAGTGTCGTCATCGGCTCCTTCTTGCCTAGATCCTTCACATCTCGCAGTGGTATCTTGCTTCCTTCCTGAGCTTTCCGTGCTAACTCCCCATATAGTCCAAGTAACTCTTCGTCGGGTTGCGTCAGTCCCGCCGCTAGCAGAAGGTATGCGTTAAGGTCGGAAAAGTCGAATGTGCCCACGGCGGACTTGTGTTCAGGTGTCTCGCGAATCAGCAGTACCGCAATGTTGGAGTCGATCAACGCCTATCCAGATGCTGTCAGTTTCTCCCAGAGCAGAGGCCAAGAAGGATTGCTTACATCGGTTGCTTCCTCAATCCCCGTGTCAACCTCGACAAACTTTAGATCCTCTGGACTAACCAACTCCCCAATCGAAATGTGTCTCCAGTCACGACCAGCAAAGCTGGCATCTGGATTGTTTGGGACAGGCGGGTTATCAATAAGATTCAAGACTCCGGCGTTGGTGATCGACGGCTGACGGCGTGATCTCGGGGATCCAGGCGCGCGGAGAGTCTCGCTGAAGCTTTGTCGATGCGAATGGTTCGTGGAGATATGTGAGCGTCGAGCAGACTGGTTTCGTATGCCAGAAGCCCGCGAGTCAATGTTGGATGGCGGAGATACGACAGTGGAAGAGCCATTGGAACTGCCAGCAGCGGCAGCGTCGAGCGATTGGCGTGGACTCGCCATGGCAGTCTGTCTGCAAGAGAGAATAATTCAAGCCCAATCAGAGAATGATCTAGATAGCCTCAGTCGTTCACAATGCGCCAAACGGACAGCGGCGTAATGATTGAAGCCAAAAGGGAATCATGGGGGCGGTAGACAACGTTGCGGGGGGAGCTGCGGCGGTGGCTGATTGGTGGCTGTCCGCTGGCCAATAGACACGCGGCCAACACACCTCATCACGACGCAGCTGAGTGTCGCATAGCATATAATAGTATTGTTTTAAGCGCAAGCGTGATTTTTAGCTCTGATAAGGTGTTCTGAGCCAGTGGTCGAGACGTTGAAGAATCAAGGGCTGCTGTATGCTTGATCCGCCGACTTATGCCACCTTACGTCATAGAGCTAACAATCGTCATTGCTTACAGAAACTCCTGCAAGACACTGTCGAGGTTTCTCCCTTTATGCTCTCGCATTGTCGCTCTGCTGTGTTTTCCAGGTACTTTCTGTCTTTTGGCAGCAGGTTCGGGTGTCTCATGTTCCGGGTGACCTTGTCGTACCAAGTAAATAGTGTCAAACGATGGCGTATTGGTTGACCGGCGCATTTCCCGGCCGACCTGGAAGCTTAGGATAGGGACATCGGGTACTTTCATATCTTCATCCGTTGCGAAGCTAGCCCTGTAGCACCCGTAAAGCTTATCATGTGCTGCATTGGAATCATTCTCACCAACTAGAATGTCCGCCGGTTGCCACCCTTCGATTGCTTTGCTGCTCTTCTTAAAAAGACGGCCAATGTTCGGACAGTCGCATATGACAAGCAAACGCAAAGATGGAAACGATCTCAAGAACCGCAAGATAACCGGTGACACCTGCTTCTGATGTGAGATCCTCAAGACCCTCAGATGCGCAAATGCACCAGACGTTGCCAGCTCACTCCATGTCCGGACAATCCGATCGTTAAGCGCCGTCATTGGCAAATCAGTCTCATTGGAAAAAGTTTCCAGCTCGGATGATGTATTGAGCTCTAGCGCGACGAGATTCTTGACATTGGCGATCTCCACCAGTTCGGGGACACTCGCGAATGAGGTGAAGAGGGTCAATGTGACGCCCCAATGCAGAGTGTCACTCTTAACCTGGTCTAGATAATCTCGTATTGGCATACGAGGCCCTTCGATTTTCATGAGACGGTACCGAGAGATCTCTCGGAAATAGGATGGATATGCTGTCACCAATAATTTCCATATGTATAGTGTTCTCTTGTTGCTATAGACAAGTCAATGGATTGAACTGCGTTTATGTAAAACAGCTTACCTCTTTCCAAGACAGTCCCAGAGATACTTCGCAATTGTCCACGGAACATTGGCAAATAATTCCGGTGTCAAGATACTTTGGTCAGAGAGCGTCTGTCGCATTGCAGAATGTTTGAGCGATGGCGCACCAGATTCGCTGGTCTCCTCCCATCCTATTGTCAGGTAGGGATTCTCATGGACCCAGGAAGGGCCTTTCGGCCCTTTTGAAGGTGTTACTGATAAAGACATCGGGCATTTGCTATTCTAGCTATAATGTATAAAACTGTAAAAAGCCTCGCATTGGAGCTAGTTATACAGCAAAAAGCCTTGAATTCGTCTCGATTGTACAATCTCAATCTCACTCCCTTCGCGTTTGACAAATCGGGAAAATACGCGACGCGACACGTGATTGGTCGGATCTAGAATCCAGCATTTCTCTCGCTTTTTAACCTTTGTTCAATTCAAAGTTCTCTAGAAATTGATAGTCTAATTGAAAAAGGATATTTTAAGGTCAAAGGCCAATTGACATCGAGCGTTCCAATGCCCCATTACGTGAGTACAGTACAGAATTGACAAGACGCAACACAGATTCAATAAAACTGATGCGCATCAAACTTATGTCTTGAGTGTGGGCAACCGTCCTCCAATGAGAGCAGACCCGGCAGCCAAATGATGCTTCTCGAATCAAGAACTTTTGGTGCTTCGCGAGGTTGAAAGATATACTAATTTCGAGGTAACAACTTGGAGAGTTCCGGATTGTGACGTCCAGAAAAATATACGATGTAGTTCTCCATATTAGCTGCCACGACATAGGTCCCTTGATCGATCAAAAAGCTTATGTGTTCTTTCAATCTGTAACGGCGATTGTGCTTAGTATCAGCTAGCATACAAGCAGATATCATGAGTTCTTCGCTCTCGACTGAATGCTGAAAGGAGTGATCCAGGTCTAGCATAGTCTGCTCTCAGGCGTACTAAAAAAAAGACCCTACTAAAACGGCGAATGCTATTCAAATTTACCAAAGTATTTCAGAGAAGTCTCTCTTGAACCGTGTCGAACATACAGTCTTGTTTCCTGTTTAGGGAACTCGGTTCACGGAGCATCAAGGCGCACTGCTTGTTGATTCAATGCTGCCTCACTGATATATGGCATATATGCAATATCAACTGATACTGTTCCATGATTTTGAGTAGATAATGGCAGCTTAAAGAACAGTAACTCCGGTTCTTAGTTCTGTGATTGAGGACTGGCAGAGGGATGTCACTGCGCAGAGATCTAGTAGTGAATCATGGTGGCGGGAGGAATGCAATGCAGTATGAATGTATATAAATGGGCAAGTCATGGCTCTTGATAGAATGTTACTTTCAAGGCGAATGTTCTAATGCAGAAGAGAAAAGGACATTGGGCATTTCAATATCATGAGAAAGGTTTGCCATACATAATCTGGCTTGACTATATCCAAGCAACACAGAAGACAGGTAATTAGAGAACAAATGCGTAAAAATCATAACAATTATAGAAGCATATGCAGCTAATGCCATTCACAGGCGTGCCAGGTTCACGACTTCTCCCGGAGCATGGTAAGTAGGCACCCTCATCTCCAAAGCAGAGCCTGAGTAGCCCAGATCCTCCGCGGTGAGAACCGCACATTTCTCGCCGATGAGTAGAGCAGTCTGGTAGAGGATCAAGTCAGCCAAGTCCGAAGATAGGAAAACAAATAAGAAGATCAGGGGACGTACACTGAACGTATTGCAGCCTACGTTATCCGGACAGATAGACAGATCGCAGACCTTGAGACCTTTTACACCGTGAACGTTCAGACGATCGTCGACAACACCGTGCTTGACAATCGAGTTACCCTCCCTGGGTGCCATGCTGCAAGTGCCCAGCGAGTGCCATGTGGTTTCTACGTGACGTTGAACTACGAGAATTAGTATTGAACAACAAATTAAGCATAAAAAATTTTGGCAAGACTCACCCCATTTTTCAATCTGCTCGAGATCATCCGCGCTGTAATTAAGCGGTGCTCGGGTCTCCTGCTTGTGAGAATTGAGGAAAGTCGACGCAGGCTGCTCTCCCGGTCCCAGAGGGTGTGACCAGGAACCATGCTGAATACCAGCTGAATGGTGATTCGGTCCGGCATAGGCGTTGGTAGTCGCAAGGTCGAGGTCAAATGCGCGAGCCGGAGAATTGTATTTGAAGTGGGGGTGCATACCGGTCACCTCTCCAGCATACGCATTCATCCGGCGGGCCGTCTCTCGAGACTTGATGTAACCCCAGACCATGGGAGCCATGTCGCGTTTATCATTCATAAATCCAGCATCAAAGTCAGGGTTCTCGTATGGGTCTGAGGATTGGATATGGGTAAATCCACGAGAGAAAGGGTATTCCTGTGCCCTTGTTAACCAAAAAAGGTTCAAAGGTAGTCCTTTCACTTACCAAGAAATGGAACATGGTGAAGAACTTGCCCGGTGGCATGAGCATATGATCACCGAACCATCCAGAAATAATTGAATAATGCATAACAGGCTTGTCTGGCTTATCCTTAAAGTAGGACTCCCATCCTTTCACAAAATCAGACGTAGGCCACCTCTTCATTTCCTCCAATTCCTGCTGCGTCGGCCTAATCTTCACACCAGCATCAATGCCATTCGTGGCTAGAGGACCGGTGCCCTTCAAGTTCCACTCATCATACACCTTCTTCTGCACTTCAGGGTCTCCCCGGATGAAGTCATCAAACGACTCGGTTTCAGGCTTAGCCCGGTAGACAGAGAAAGTAAGGTAGTGATCCTGGAAGTTGCGGCCCACGCCAGGCAGGTCCACAATTGGCTTGACCCCAACTGCCCGGAGCTTCTCAGGATCACCAATTCCAGATCTTTGAAGGACGAGGGGAGAGCCCATAGTACCGCTGCTAACAATGATCTGCTTGCGGGCTCTGAAGATCTTGCGGGGTGGGTTACGGCCGTCCAAGGGCTTGGTTGGTATAGTTGCGACTCCGACTGCTCTGCCACCTTCGATAATGACCTTGTCCACTTTAGTGTTGCACTTCAAGTGTAGGTTGGAATGTCTGCTTCGAGTGCTGTGAACGTATGCGTGAGCAGCGTCACTTCGACGGCCTAGTGGAACGTTAACAAGATTTTCATGGGACAAAAAAAAAAAAAAAAAAAAAAAAAAAAAAAAAAAATAATGGAAACACATTACCAGTATCACGATTGATCCACTTCAACCAGTGCTCAGAGCCGTGCCTATACAGAAACAGTCAGTCAACCTAACAGTCAAGACACTCCTTATTGGTGTACCTTACCCAGTCTTCAAGTCTTGCAGGTCATCCGTGACTGGGATGTCAAGAGACTCTGCCGCTCGTAGAAAATCCTGCATAACAGGGTACGTATAGTTCCCAAATGAGACCTTGATGGGACCATCGAAACCGTGAAGTTCCCTGTTGTTGCATGCACGTTGGTAAGTTTCGTGCTTCCTCATCAATGGTAAAAGCTCCTTCGTACGCCAGCCCTTTGCCTGCCAGTCATCATAGTCCGAAGCAGAAGCCCGAGTATACATCTGCAGTTATACCAGTTAGTGGACTGGCCGAATTACTTTCTCTGCACAAAGATCTCTTACCATGAAATTTATCGAGCTCCCTCCTCCAAGAATATTCGCACATGGAACAATAGCCTTCCGACCGTCAAGGTGCTCCGATGGTCGTGAATGATAAAATGAAGCGGTCTTCGAGTCCAGCTTCATGTTCCGGGGATAGATACCGGGGCGGTAGATCCTAAGACACAGACAGCGGTTAACAAACGCCATTGCTAAAGACAATTGGTATATGCTAACCATGGATTGTTCAGGTTATCTTCACCAGCTTCGATCAAGAGAACCGAGAGGTTATGGTCGAGGTTGGCTAGACGGCCGGCTGGTACGCAGCCGGCACTGCCACCACCACAGATGATGATATCCACCTCTTCCGGGATGGTCATGGTGCTCGTGGTTACCTTTAGATTCGGGAAGTTGAAAGGAATGCAGTACAAGCGATGAGAGGCACTCAAGGACCGTTATATAGCCGTACTCATGGATTAAGGTACCCCGCGCGATAAGAGATGCAGAATGCGAAGAGATATTAACCAGGATGTCCAACCATAGACTGACAACTGGACAGCAGCCGGGGTCTAATAGAGGACGAGAGCGCTGAGTACGAATGTCTTTACTTGGCCGTTCTTTCCCCGCATTTCAGACGAGAAATCCGGGGCAAATCTACAATTAGAGTAATATACAGATTACTCGGCATAAAATCACCAGGGACGTGCAAATACGCAGTGGAAATTGTGCAGGTGGGTTGTGGTGTCACTGGTCTTGTTTGGGATGGCACACGGAGGTGAACTATAGTATAAGAATAGGATACAATACAATCAGGCTCCGTAGAAAGTAGCAAGAAGAAATATGAGTCTATCACGGCATGAATTGAGGATAGAAACATTCGGATTTCGAGGTGGAGCATTAGTCCGTATATGGATCGACAAGGCCAAAAGGACAAGACAGTTTTCAATGTGACGAATGACAAATCAAAATCGATAGTGCATACGTCTCCGTTGTCCGTAGTGTGAAGTTCCAGACATCCGCATGATTGGCATCGGCCGTATTCCATATTGCGGGGGAACAGCATAATGGACATCCGTCCCCGCACAAGAATTGTAGCTTTGGCCGAACTGGCAGCTCAACTCTTATTCGCTCTTTCCAAAGATAGACATGGTCACGTAGATCCAATACCTATATTCTCGTATACAGCGCGCCTTTTCTCGTCCCATATTCTCAAATTACCCTTCTCCGCGCGGACCGCCGGACGCATGCATCCTGCAGCTTCTAGAACTTCACCTATCCCATTGTGTCCTGATTTTTAAATCCATTGAATTTGCGGGGAGAGGACAAAGTACCGTGTCATGCTGTGCCACAACGGTACAAAGAAAAGCGACCAGGTGACATCCATCCAACGACACGGCACCTTGCCCGCAGATAAGTAAAGGACATGTTACGGGGCAGAGCATTTGCCAGTCTTGACAGCAGATCTCGTATCAACTCCGCACACGAAGTACTAATGCCAACTGTCATCATGACCGGGACTGTTTCTGGACAAACTGACGTCGCTGCTCCAAGATTTGCATCCGCAGACCCTCAGAAGCCAACTCCACATCGAGAATGGCTCCAACTCCACGCTTCCAGGATTCCTCTAGACCAATCAGCTCCCCTTTACTGGATTCCTGCGCGATCTTTCTCTGTTTGTTGACAGTCTCCGCAGCTTCCTTGGTTTCTGCCAATTCTTTCTCAATGCCACGCAGGATATCCTCCAACTGCGAGTTACCTATCAACCACGCATTCTTGCCATTTTCCTCAAGAAGGGCCAAGTTCTCGTGTCTCATAGACAGATGCGAACTGGCTGTGTAGGCCTTCTGTAGTGTCTGGCGCCATTCATTGAGGTCTGGGATAGAATTTCCTTCCGCGTCAGTCATTCGGGCAGGCGGCTCAGGAGCCTCGTAACGCGATAGGTCGATACCGCCAGTGAGTGGTAATCCGGCTGCCTTGCGGTCCAGCTCTTGTTGCATTAGAGGGGAAAATTGGGGTTCGGGGAAAGCGGGAATGGAGGAGTGGAGAGATGACACATGATCCGGCGAGAGTTCTGCGGAGATGAGCTTCTCTGCGCTTGCTCTGGCATGCGCAGAAGGCTCATGATCGATGTCTAAAAGAGATCGAAAATCGTTAGCAAAGGTGTCTACTTCGATGTGCATTCCGCAAACAAGCGTAACTCACAAGGAAGTGAATCGTGCGACTCGTTGATGAGTGCCATTTTTGTTTGAAGGTATAAATTCAGTTTATAAGAGCTTCAGCTTTCCCAATTGACAATAACGAAGAAAAGATGGCGACGATGGGCAATGCGATCTCGACGCGACTGGGCGACTGGGAGCTTTTCCTGGACGCTTTCGACGAAGGCGGTGAGATTCACTGACTAATATGGTTTCACGTGATTGTTCATAATCGGACATCGTCTGGATGACGACCACATTCTAAGCTGATCATCTTTTGCCGAGGATTACTCCTGGTAATGACATCGTTATATATTTTTAAAAAAGCATCAAAAAATTTCCATGACCTTGCTAACTATAGCACTGGACTAGCTTTAGCCTAAGTGTTGTTGTCAAGCCGCGGCCCTAATTCGCATTGTATACATCCCTCGGTTATACAGGAAATTTCACAAGAGATCGACTACTAGGGAGTATTTCTGACATGCGGGGTTTCTCTAATGTGTCTGATTGAGCATAAAATCTGAATAATGCTTCGGACATCAGCAACTTGTGCGAGGATGTCTAGTCTCAGGATAGGTGTGGTTTTATCCGGGGCGCTTATAGCAATATTCCTATTATTGCAACTAGTTTTAAGCATCCAAGACCTAAAGCTTCCGCTAAAGACTGGCGGAAGGAATTTTGCAGGGAACTTTAGCTCGGATGAGGATGTATTCCTCTTGGGTGCGGGCAAAGCAGATATCACAGGGTACAGCAGCATATCCTGAAACTCTCGCTTATTATTGCTAATGTCTCTTTAGGCCAACCGTTGAAGTGGTTTTTAATGGCTTTGCAAACACAAATCAAGTCGGATCTGGTCTCCGACAAAGGATCTACTCTCGTGCGTTTATTGTCGCTAATCCAAATCGTCTAGAAAACACATTTATCTATGTGGTTCTCGATGCATTGACAGGAGATACTGGTATTCGCCATGGTGTGCTCAAGGGTCTCGAGAGGCTTGGTCCAGATTATGCACGATACAATGAGCGCAATTTGGCATTTACTGGAACGCACTCTCACTCAGGGCCAGGGGCGTGGATGAACTATTTGCTCCCTCAGATTCCTTGTAGAGGGTTTGATAAGCAAAGCTACCAGGCTATTGTCGACGGTGCTTTATTATCTATTCAAAGAGCACACGAAAGCTTGGCTCCAGGGCGCCTCACATTTAACTCCATTGATCTAGATGCCAACGTCAATAGGAGCCCATACGCTTATGACGCCAATCCCGAAGAAGAAAAAGAACGATACTCGGACAATGTGGACAAAACTATGACGCTCCTGAGATTTGATCGCCAATCAGATGATAAAACCATGGCTATCCTGACTTTCTTTCCTGTGCACGGCACGTCAATGTATAGCAACAACACCCTAGTTACAGGAGATAATAAGGGTGTCGCAGCATGGCTTTTTGAGCGAAGCGCTCAGGACGACGATAGATTTGCCGATGACTTTGTTTCAGGATTTTCGCAATCGAATGTCGGCGACACCAGCCCGAATATCTTTGGTGCGTGGTGTGAGGACGGATCAGGAGAACGGTGTCGGTACGAAGATAGCACTTGCGGCGGAAAAAATGAACTATGCCAGGGCCGAGGACCATTCTTCCGCGAACAGGATGCGGGAGCCAAGAGCTGCTTTGAGATCGGAAGGCGTCAGTATGCCGCTGCTAGACAGGCATACGAGCAGACTGATGTTGATGCTACCAAGATCGTTAAGAGCTCCCAGGTCAACTATTTTCATATCTACCAGGATCTTTCAAACTATACTTTCCAGTCACCCTTTAATTCCAGCATTTTGTCCACGTGCCCAGCAGCAATGGGGTTTTCCTTCGCTGCTGGTACCACGGATGGATCAGGCCAGTTCGATTTTACGCAAAACAACAGCTCTCCAGCTGAATCCAACCCCCTGTGGCGCGTTGTGCGCAACTTTGTGCATCGACCGTCGGACGAACAAAAGGCTTGTCAAGCCTCCAAGGAGGTTCTCTTTGATATTGGGTCAATGGCTCAACCATATCCGTGGGGTCCGAATATTGTGGACATTCAAGTTCTCCGGGTGGGTCAACTTATGATCATTGTCTCGGCCAGTGAAGCCACCACCATGTCTGGTAGACGCTGGAAAGAAATTGTTGCGAAATCTTCAAGGGACATACTCTCTATTGCGGATCCCCTGGTGGTTCTCGGTGCTCCTTCGAACAGCTATGCCCACTATGTTACTACCGAGGAAGAATATGGCGTCCAACGCTATGAAGGCGCTTCTACTCTTTACGGACCAAACACACTCGCGGCCTACATTAACCTGACCCTTACGTATCTTCCGTACTTAGGAGGTTCGTCCCAAGTTACCGGATTGCCTGAGATTCCTTCTGGGCCTAGCCCGCCGGTTAACACTAATAAGTCCTTGAGTTTCATTCCGTCAGTGATGTTCGATAATGCGCCATTTGGGAAATCATTTGGAGACGTTATTTCATCACCGTTAGATATTGTTTATCGACCCGGTGACACAGTACGAACTTCCTTTGTTGGCGCTAACCCACGGAATAACCTTCGACTCGAGTCAACATTTGCAGCGGTTGAAAGGCGAAATTCTGAAACAGGCTCCTGGGAAGTCGTGCGCACTGACAGCGACTGGAATCTTCTTTTCCACTGGAAGAGAACAAATACCATTCTTGGCATTAGCGAAGTGAGCATCGAGTGGCAGATTGAGAATGACTACTACAATCTTGGAAGTCCTAAGCCCTTGGAGAATGGGACCTACCGTATGCGCTACTACGGGGATTCTAGAAGCGTACTGGGCAACATCAAAACATTCGAGGGATTTGGAGAACCGTTTACTGTGGTAGTTAATTAGTCTCTTGTTAGATGTCTGGAATAACACCTTCCTTCCGACGCTTCCGCACAATTTGACCTATTGAGCTATTTTGATATTGTATAGTTAATGAGCATAACCCCGATCCTCCTGTCGCAGTCACAATCGCTGGCAGCAATTTTTCACGTGCTATCGACGCATTCTTGCTGCACGGGTTCTTTGTGTTCGAATTTCAGCCATCAGATCATCTTACAAGTCTTTGTTCAACGACCCGCAGGATCTTGCGAGACGGTTTTTTCATTTTAACATCTTCAGCCCTGCGTTCTACTTGCATCATTCTTCAAAAGTCCGGTAATATTGTTCTTGTATGGTTTGATGTTTTTTTGTGCCTGACTTTCCTTTCTTCACATCTATTCAATTTCTGCGGACGAGTCTTCTTTCACGACCTCGCGTGTTTGTGCTACTTGATAGCCCAGCAGCTATTCAAAGAAAGCCCTGCTTGTGTCATAAGAGCATATTCTTTTCAGAATGTGCCTCTCGCGCAATGATCGTCTTTCCCTTTTATATCCACTCATTTGCCCCCAAGTGACAGCAGGATATCCCAATTGTGGTCTTTGATTCCCCATCAACCGAACAAGATGCACCTCGCTCACTTGGCTATGGCCGCCTTTCTATTCGCTCACCCATCTTCAGCTAGACCTGTCAACGAACCCTGGAGCACCCTCCTCTCTATCCCTTGGCCATACTGGAACAAAGTTACTGCCGATTACACTACAGTAGCCGCGAAGCAAGAAACTAAAACACCTACGAACCTTCCGCGAGACGGTCTAATTCCCGACTCTTACACTGTCGACAGCACCGCCTATTCCTATAATCCCTGGACACATCCCATTCGCGGCGTTGTCACCACTGGCGTCCCTAGTGTCCATGCTGAGGCCGATGCTGAGCACCTTACACCCACGAAGTTTCCACGAGACGACTTACGGCCCGAATCCTACACCGCCAGCGGCACCGTCTATTCGTTTGATATCCATACACACGCTATCCGCGATGCTATCCCGACTAACGCTCTGGATGTCGATTTTGAAGTCTATATCAACACTGACTACATTATATACGACATTCCTCTGCATGCTACTATCACAAAGCTTGGCGAGGTTGTTACGGTGGACAACTTCTTCACCCTCGGCGGCACCATCTACCCCTGGATCCCCTTCACGAACGCCATCCGCGACGTCGTCCCCACTAACATTCCCGAAGGCGAAGCTTATGCTGATGTCGGCACTGATGCGTCCCCCTCCGAGCCTATCTTCGCAGAAGCAAAACCCACACCTGAGGCTAAGGCCGAGGAAGCCCCTTCGGATGAAACCACCACGCAGACCAGTAAGTTCTTCCCTGAGATCGTGCTGGTGTCGCCTAGTGCCTCGTCTACGAGGAAAAATACTCTTCCTTCCGATTTCTTTGAAGTCCATAGCACTAGCACTGGTAGTGCGAAAAGCGTGATCACTCCGATTGACCTTACGCAGGAAACGGTGATTACGCCGATTGAGCCCTGGTGGACTACATCGTCGAACGATCCTGTTGGGACGACGCTCGTCAAGGTCGTTGTTACTCATGCTGATTACTATGACGAGGAACCTGCTACTACTTCTGCGCCTAGCACTAGTAGTGTATTGACTGATATTGGGACTTGGACTAAGACTGTTCCGGTCTAGGGAGGGTTTCTTGTTTTAAACATTGTTTCTTTGGTTATTGTTATTGGTTTTGTGTATTACGTTGTGTTTATGTTGCCCAGGAATTCAACACTAGATTTATTATATTGCTCCCAGTGCACTATTGGCAGATATTGTATACCATGCGTCTGAGGCCAGTATCTCCTAATCCAGTCCTACAAAATTCAGGCTAGGTATTTGAATCAATTGAATAATATGCATTACCTAGCTCAGAACCCACCCTAAGAGAATAATATAAAAACATAGCCAAGTCATCCATCATAATGCGAAAACAACAAATGAAAGTCGCAAATTAAAAACCAAGAAAAACCCCAACTCCATACCAACAAACCCCTTTAGAGCTCCGACAAAACACCTCCGGCCTCTGCAAACTTCTTCTGAAACTCTTTCACACTAGCCCACTGCCGTAACTCCTCTTCATCTCGATCATGGTCACTCAGATAACTCATGCTCCGTCCGTACTGCTGCGGACTACTTGCTGCCGTCGCGGGGGTGGATAGACCCTCGAGGCGCATGAGGGTGTCGATAAATGCGCGAAGATAGGTTTGCGTTTCGGCCATCGTTAGGGGGTGCGGGCCTGGTGCGGAGGAGTCGGTAGCTGTGGGACATGGGGAGTAGTCGTCGAAGGTGCCGGGGTAGTTTAGGAGGGTGGAGGCTACTTGGCGGATTTTGGATGTCTTTTGTTACTGGTTAGCTAGGATTCAGGGACTTGTAGGGGTGGGAGCTTACAATGCTGACACCATTAGGCTCCATGTTGATTTCGTTGACAGAGCGCAGCAAGACCATGAGATCGCGAATGACAAGTCGGCGTTCCTCCGCCATCATTCGGCCAATGAAATCAGCCTGTGCATGTGTATACTGCAGCATTGCAATATCCCCCGGTGATTCGCCCTCTAACTTCACTGTAGATCCCGGGGTCGCAGGAGACCCATGTTCTGACGGTTTCTGATGCATCATTTTCTGATGAGCTCCGTAAATGTTCCAGTATTTTTCCACCAAGTATGAGCGTGTGCCTAGTTGTGAAGCATAGATGTTCGCCTTCTGAATCTCGTACTGGATGGCGCGACGATCTTGCGCGTCCGGATCTTCCATGACGGTCCGGACAGGGTCAAACTTGCGCTGCTCTGGACTCACTGGCGTTGCCAGTGTCCACTGAAGGGATAGTTCGCGGGGTACATGGGCCAACGCATTTTTGCAATTCTGCAGACACTCCCAAAGTAAACTCCGTTGTCGTTCGTAATCGAAAATAAGGCCACTCCCGAATGCAAGTTCCCATGCGTGAAGCGAGTTGTACGAGTTGAAGACTCGGACGTTCGCGTTGAACCCCGTCAGACGCGAGACCGTGCTGGGTGGTTGCGGCCCTGCATGCGTCGAGAACAGGAATTCATCGTCAATCTCCATAGGCAGAGGGGGATACCGCTCCGTCGGAGTTTCAGGAGGAAAGTGAACGCTGATGTCCATGGAGCCCATTTGTTGTAACGTTCGAAACCCTACCAGGGTCGTGTAAAAGAGGCGCCGCCCCAGTTCTTGCTGAATAATATCGACTTGATAACCATCTGCGAGTGATGCACCTGCAGCCATTGGATCTACGGATGGGGGAGAGGCTGGGCTCGTGGGATTGCTGCCAGCTAATCCCGGGGACTGCCGACACAAATCATACACCTGCAACATCGTGCGGCATTCCGCTAGATATACACGGCAGCGTCGCATATTCCACACATAGCCTGCACAGAGTCCCAGGAAGTAGCTGATAGCGGCGTCGTAAACCGTGGCCGTCCGATCGAGGTATCCAGTTCCCCGTGCCTGCACGGCGACATCATGGCATCGCTTGACCAGGGCCATTGAGTGTGGAAAAGCAGCCTTCTCAAATTCTGTCCTTAAATGTTGCTTTGGCCGCCTGGGGAACGACGCGACCAGCGACCCGATCATGCCGGCCAGGAGGGCCAGAAAGGTAGGATTTGTAGCATCCTCGCGACGCTCGAATGCTGCGCGAAAGGTAGGTTCGTGTGGTACAGGGACTAACGGATGAATATAGGTGAAGAAATCGTCGATGAGCAATCGTACTGTAGGTAATGGGCATATCGATTCCGCAGACATCCAGGAGGTAGTGGTACTAGTAGGCGGCGGCGGAACGGGCGCTGACGCTATGTCGGAAACCGAGGGACTGGGCGACGCCGTTGGAGAGCCTACTGAAGCAGTGGCAGCGGATCCTGGGCTTGGTCCCAGCTTCTGTTTCTTAATAGCTTCAGCATGGCGATTTGGCGGACCGCGTCGCCGGCTCGGTCGTTCGTAGGTACACGGAATGTCCAGACTGGCACAGGAGCGACAGGGCGGGCCACTGGTGTCGCACTATGGCAATCAGATTATAACCATCAGAATAAGAGGAATAGAATAAGAGAGATACCTTGACCTTGCGGATACTGCAGGCATCGCAGGCCTTGCGCAGTCTGGTTTTGCTGTCCATGGAGACGATGACGCAATGGGGGCTATTCCATGCTTCAGGACATGATCAGGGCGATATACTGAGAAGAGATAAAGTAGAAGAGAGAAATAGCATAATAAGAAGGATTGAATGATTAGACAAGGACAGATCCGGAGAGACCGGGGTGAGGCTCAAGGGGATCAAGGGTTTCCCCAGAGACTTTTCGATTCTCCGGCGGGGGGGAAATGCGGAAGAGAGGCTGATCTCGGTACAATCAGGGGTACCGGCATATACGGGGTATACGACTATACCGGGATGCACTTGGCCTAGAATGTCAGATTAGCTGTTCTTTCATGTTCAAATTCCCTACATGATCATCCCTCCCCCGCCATGTCTCTGCTAAGAAACATCCGCTATATCATATATGAGCTAGAGGATACACTATGAACCGATTCAACGCTATCCGTCTAGGTGCGGTTTCAGTTCTTTGACTGCAAAAACCTTTGCAGAGTTTGGGAGGTGGTAATCCCGTGTCCACTATGCCTTCTATAAGGCTGCGGCCATGTTCACGTACCGTGAAAATCCTCCCCATATATAGGGGGCTTCCGAATGACTCGTGACGGCCGTCATGCCTGAACTCAAGACGCATGGCGATCTTATTGCTTGTCGGTAGTTAGGAATAACAAATTGCCGTGCTGGTTCTCGTGAAGGTCATCGTAACTGACCTTGAAGATATTCAGCGGCCAGGCGCCTAATGTATCCCTCTTGAGGGCAGCTCATGGGCAGCGAGTCTGGCCCTATCGACCTTTTGTTGCAGTGCATATGGTAGAATTGGTCTTATAAATATCGATGACCTCGCATCGCAGAGATCGAGCTGTTTTGAAAGACTCGAATAGTAATGGGAACTGCTCGATAGGGTTTACTCATTCTCTGATAGCCCGGTTTGTATCACTATAAATTGCTAATGTGGCAGCTACAATCAGCCAATGCTACTCTATTAACAGTTTCCAACCTCACCACTTATATTGAGCCTGTAGTGCAGGATGAATTTGGGCGTTTTTGCTAGGGTGCGCTTGAAAGGCATCTTCGCTCTCTGTCAACAGCCATTCTCCCATCCCAACTTCTTACTCCTTCCCATCACCCACACGCTTGTATATCGTGGATCACATTAATATTTCCCACATGAGTTGGTAACTACAACATAGGCAGTTGTCGAAAGGTTTTCGACTCTCTCTCTCTCTCTCTGGGCCATTTCTCGACTTGTTCACCTTCCACCAGCTACTTATCATTCACCACCGTATTTTCTACTGCATTCCTCTTCATCACGTTAGAATACCATCTACGAATATGGGGTAACTCAGAAACCATCCAATCAACAAACGCACTACACTGACACACCAAAGCTATCTAAACTATTATCACATCAACGCCGCCAGCCACCGCGCATGGAAGAAGGCCTGGTCACACAACACACCAAAAACATCAGACAGATTATGCGCGCCTCTGGAGCCCACAAGACCGATCTTGATAGTATCGTCGAGCACAGAATTGGATACAAAGGACACTGTGGGAGATTCCTCGCAACTGCTAATAAACCCTATGAGGCGAGGTTGTCCTTAACTGTGTCTTGCTCAGAGCCTTCACGTTGGTGCCGGATGCTTGTCAGATTTTGTGCGTCTTCTTATCTTCTGCTTCCTTTCTGGTTTGAGAGCCGTTCTGATTTAAAATATTAGTCCCGGTGATTGGGAGGACTAGGAGCCGACTCGGGCTCTTTACAAGGGTATCTGGGGAGAGGAACCTGTGTGCCCGTGGGACCGCGGTGACTATACGGGATCTAGTTTAGATTCTCGATCCCGGAGGCTGTGGAGCCGGTTTCGAGTGAAGAGCCGCGAGAGTTGACGCTTTTCTTAGTTTGGTCCAAACGATAGCGCACACGTTGATTATTCTATTGTTATTCGCGTGTTAGCGGCTCAGATTAACTACTGCATGAGCCCAGGTCGCAGACTAAGGCTCATATATTCTGCTTGGATTGACGCCAAATGCATTATACACATTAGTATAAGCAAAAATTTTTTTTTTTTTTTTTTTTTTTTTTTTTTTTTTTTTTTTTTTTTTCGTCTACCTTCCATCTGTTTAATATTTTATTCGCTCCCAGTTGTCAAAACGGGGTAGGTCAAACTAAATCATCGAAGACACACCAACACCAACAAGCTATATACACTACTATAACATCTGCACCTGTAACCGCGACTGGAAGAAAATCTGGCCCTGATTCGTAAAAGGCACCAGAGGTACCATCTCGTCTCCCGCATGCTAGTACCTAACCCCAGATACGAGTTGAAACCTGGTGGCAAGATCCCACGCCCCATAGCCAGCCAGAAGAACGGAATCGGCATTAGTGGAATTGGCGATGAAGGACACAGATTATTCACTATCAACTGCAGAGGTTGGATGCCTATGGGGTTCGCAAAGACTGCGCGCAAGCCTTATGATTAGGTGCTCACGTATGGGATATCGAGGGCGTATATGATCGCGCCGAATGTTGTTGTTGTTGAGGTCTCGTCTTTCTATCGTTATATCTGAGAATCAGGCTGATAATATACTTTGAAACTCTGATGGGAACTAGGAGGACTGGCTACTAGCTTAGATGACCTATAGGCGTCTTTTTTCGTAAGGAGTACCTGTGTCCGTGGAAAGAACTGTGTGAGCCTTGAGACCATGGTAACGGGTCGAGAGTCGGGGCATGGTAATTTAATGCTCTATGGTCAACTTTGATGCGCTTATAACGTACAGAGTGGCGATAAGGCCAAAGCAAGCAGCCAAACTATCACGTGAATTTGTTCCATTGCAAAGGCCGCAAAGCCAGTAAATAACCTCCAATGTAACAAGCCAAACAGTACATCATATCACATAAACATGGCATTGGTATATTCAGTTTCATCAATCGTAAGTATCGGTAGTATCTCTTCGCCCACCTGGTGCAGGTGGTATGTACACGTTTAGGCCGCTTCCTCGTCGTTATATCTCGGAATCGCTGGCTCACGTCTTTGCTCCAACAGACCACGTCTGTTTTCCAACTCCGAAGCCCAAAGAGCAGAGCCAACAGCTGTCGTCATCAGGAAGAACATTGAAAAAATTGGAACCAGCTGTAGCAGCAAAGCCACCGTTCCAAACCTGACATCGTTAACAACCCGAACCAAAGAAATGAAGAGCAAGAAAACTTACGAAGTATAATGAAGCTGCCTCTGGCGAATCCGCTCCTTCCTCTGCTTTTTCGGTACATTCAACAACTGAAAGTACCGCCAGTGGTGAAACGGCCCAGCACGATATCCCGTCAAGAGCAGGAACATCGGCACACCCGCAACGGGAACCAAGTTCAGCGGTAGCAAGATCACAAACTCAACGATCTGTCTCAGGGAAAACGGCGCATACACCGCCCCCTTCGTAGGTTTTCCAAGTCGCTGCACGATATTATCTCCCTGGGGATATAGTACCCGAGACGTCGTGACCAGTTCCCCATGACCCTCGTTAACCAACACCGCATCGAATATATCCACCAGTGTCTCGTCGACGAAGAAGGCTTCGAATAGCGCAGCAACGATGGCTGCACCTTCGCCTAGGACCAAAAAGGCACCGCTGATCCATGCGGTTCTGCCTTGGAAAATGGCGAGGAACGCAACCTGGGGTATGTATGTGAAAAGGAAAAGGAGTACGTAGATAAATGTGGAAAGGAGGATAATCGGGATTAATCGAGCTTTGAATAAGGGCCAGAGGAAGCGATGCGTAGAATAGTATAGGATTCCCTGTTAGGCGTCAGCATTCAGTCTTTCTTGAGGCAATGCCAGGTATCGTTGTCAGGACGTACTCGAAAAGGAAATAGCCAAGCAGCGCTATTTACATTCAACGATCGGGCCATAATGGATATGTTTCTATACCAACACAGTGGTATTGTCCCTGTTTAGATGACGAGGCATAAAACGACGTCGGTTGTTGGATGCCAAGACAACACTACCTTATCGATAAGTGCTCACCGCCCGCGTGCATATAAAATGCCGAAATTTTTCTCACCCTCCGAACTTTTTTTTTTTTTTTACCAAAACTGAAACTCCTTTCTATTCACTCTGAAATCCCACATCGCTCAATGGATATCTGGAGGGGAAATGAAAGGATAGAATGAATTTGCTTGCTTACCCCGGATTCTTCTTGCGTGGAGCGTTCGGAAATACAACTCGCAATACATCTCACTCAACAATCTCAACTAGTATTGCTTAAACTCAACGTGTAACATGACGGTTCAATTCGTCTTTATAATGATGAGTAATCGTCTGGATAATGTCTTCCAAGCTGTGCAGAACTGCCGTGGGCTCCAGACTCGGCTCAGCTCTGTCGGTCCATCCTGTCAAACTCCGGTCGATCCAGATGGCTTTGAGACCTGCGTTGCGCGCGCCATTGATGTCGAATGGATTGGCACTGATCACCCAAATGTCTTCCTTTTGGGATACTAATCCCACCATCTTCGCTAAGTGGTCGTACACTGCCGGCGCTGGCTTGAATTGCTTGACATCTTCGACGGTGACAATGTCTTGGAAGACTGCCGAGTATGGTGCAAGGTCTTTTGATTTGGACAATGAATGGGATACCATTGTCTTGGTTCCGTTGGTGAACACCACCGGTATGACACCGGGGGTCACTGCCAGTCGACTCAACGTTGGTCCAACATCCGGGAATGTGCCCATGTTCTCGAAGGCGGCCATGATTCTGTTGATGTGCTGCTCTGCCAGATCGGCTCCGGGGGTTTCTGCCAAGGTGTGGGACAGGGCGTTACGAGTTACTTCGGAGAAGGGTAGGAAGCGTCCTAGTCAACGGTTTAGTGGGGTGAACGGTATCGTTGAAACACAGTCACGCACCCAAACTGTTTAATCTCCAAGTATACGCCAGCTGGTGTTGTCTCCATGTTTTTAGTATAGTCTCAGCGTTGGCTTTGGGGAAGTGCTTCTCCAGCTCTTGGACGATGGTCTCCATAGTGAGGACAGTCCCGTAGATGTCCATGGCTATGACGACTTTCTTGGTCATTTTGTAGATTCTATGATTGGCAATTCTTCAGCGTTTGAATTGGTTCAATTCAACTGGATATATACAGAGGGAAGTCCCTTCATACCCCTGGGGTTAGACGCGGGGACGAAAGCTACTTACTAATGATGACATCAATCCATGATCTTCTTGCATCGCGTCGATTTCCACCACCACCGCAGAAAGCACTATGAACTCCCCCAACTATGAAGTCTTCCGCGATATTCTGTCTGGAATCCTAGTCGCAAAATCCGATGAGAGGCCTCGCGAGCCATCAAAGCGCAAAGCAAATAAGGCGCGCAGAAATAACAATTCGAGCAGCAATAACAATGTGAAGGCCACGCCCGTCGTCAAAACAGAACCCATTCAGAGGGCTAATCCCGAGGATTTGGCCGAGTTTGTTGATGTATTTACCATCTCCCCCTTTGCGGTTGGAGACAGATACTAAAACATTGCAGTTCCTCGCCTCCGAGATTTTCACGCACCTCCCCGACACTCTCCAAACCCTCACCTACAGCACCACCCAACAAGACCCCTCCCTCCGAACAGACACCTACCCAACCCCCCTTCCAACCCCCCTCATCGACACCCTCTCCTCAACCCTTCCATCAACAGTAACCGAAACCCTCACCGTCTACGGCCTAATCCCGGACTCCACCGACATCCCCGAAACCCTCCTCTCCCCACTCCTAAACGAGTACGTCTCCAGCGTAACGGCGGGACCGCCGATTTGGGCATCTACACGGACAGAAGCATGTGAGATCTGTGAACGGGATTGGATACCATTGTCGTATCATCATTTAATTCCGCGGGCTGTGCATGAGAAGGTGCGCAAGAGGGGGTGGCATGAGGAGTGGATGTTGAATAGTGTTGCGTGGCTGTGCCGCGCGTGTCATAGCTTTGTGCATCGGATGGCGGGGAATGAGGAGTTGGCGAGGGAATGGTATACTGTTGAGAGGATACTGGAGAGAGAAGATGTGCAGGATTGGGCGAGGTGGGTTAGTAGGATTCGGTGGAAGAAGGCATGACATGGCATTATTCTTGAATAGAAAGATAGAGGCATAGAGCTCGTGGCATCACATTATATCTGTCGACATATGTATTGTACATAAAGTCATCATTTCTGAACCCCCCGCCCGAAACACGTTTGTCATAAAACACCCGTTCTATATGCGTTAATATGCAAGCTCCCAAGACCCGAATAAAAATACATTGATCCAAAGGATCACAAGAATGGAAAGAGAGGGGGAAAGGGTATATCACAGATATCTCTTCTCGTAGATATCCTCGTAGCACTGGACATGATCGCCGGGAGCGAACTCCGTCCAGCCTTCGAAGCTGATACCACATTCGGTATCTTTGCGCATTTCAACCACGTCCTTCTTGACGTTCTTGAGAGAAGTCATCGAGCCTGAAAACATAGTTAGCGAATGCTATTTAAACAAAACATGAGAAAAGCAACTCACCATCGTAAATAATATCCTGACCCCTCAGAACCCGGACCTTCTTGGTCTTTTGGATAATTCCATTGCGAACCCTACAACCAGCAATGGCAGTCGTCTCCCGTTTCTTGACGGTGATATCGAAGACCTGACTGATCTCCGCCTCTCCTGTCACGCGCTGAGTCACATTGGGTGGCAACTGCTCACTGAGGATCTCCTTGACATCGTCCATAAGTTTGTAGATGACGTTATGGTCCATGATCCTCACGCCTCGCTGCTCTGCCATTCGCAGCATGGCGTGATCGACTGTTGTGTTGAATGTGATGATGTTTCCATGGGCAGCGGCAGCATGCTCGATATCAAACTCTCCCACTGGTCCGACAGCAGAACGGAGGACATTCGGATAGACCTCGTTATTTCCAATCGCAGTGACTGAGTTCAGGACAGCCTCGACGGATCCATCAACATCCGCCTTGATGATGAAATGCACCGGTTTGGGACCGGAAATAGACTGTTCAACTTCTGCATGATGACCGGCTTGTTCCAGTTCTTCCTGCCGGCGTTTGTCGAGAAGCCCACGACGAGCCTCGTTGATGGCCGTGGCATCTTCACCGAGTTTCTGAGTCTCTGCCTGCTCTAACCGCCACTCAACCACATCCTTGGCTCTCTGTTCGGAAGGTGCTTGGATCATCTCCGTGCCGGCGTTTGGCTGCTCCCTCCAGCCGTCGATTTCAACGGGCATACCTGGCGTTGCTTCATTGATTGTAACACCAGCTTCGTTACGGAGAGTGCGCACACGAGCCCATGCATCGCCTGCAACGACGATATCACCCACACGTAGGGTACCACGCTTGACGAGCGCGGTGGTCACTCGACCGTAGCTCTTTGTAGTACTCTCAATTACCCAGCCTTCAACATTACCTTCCGTGTCGGCTCGGTGATCCTGCATGTCAGAAAGAGCCAGAATGGCTTCTTCGAGTTCCACCATTCCTAGGCCCGTCTTACCGCTCACACCAATAGCCTGGACGTCGCCGCCGTACTCCTCAACGTAGACATTGTTGGCTGCGAGGTCTTGTTTCACCTTGTCGACATTAATGTCCTCCTTGTCAATCTTGCTGATAGCAACGACGATGGGAACCTTGGCTCCAGTGGCATGTCTAATGGCTTCGATAGTCTGGGGTTTGACACTGTCGTCTGCAGCTACCACAAGAACGACAATATCTGTAACATCTGCTCCTCGACGACGCATCTCCAAGAAGGCTGCGTGACCGGGGGTATCTAAGAAAGTAATAGTCTGCCCGGAAGGCATGGCGACACTGAACGCACCAATGTGCTGCGTAATACCTCCATGTTCTCCAGCAGCAATCGATGACTTGCGAAGCCAATCCAGGATGGTGGTTTTGCCATGGTCGACATGGCCCATGATGGTGACCACAGGCGGCCTGGGAGGCAACGAGGACGGGTCCTCTGGTTCCGGGGCAGCAGTCAAATCGAACCCTTCCTCGGGCTGATCAAAAATGGGCTCAAAGTTGTACTCAATCGCGATTAGACCAGCTGTTTCCGCGTCCAAGACATGGCTGTATGTAACACCCTCAAAGCCCATTTGTTCCATCCGTTGTACGAATTGGGCTGGCCGTACTCCAATGACGTCCGCAAGATTGCTGACGCTAATGAACTCGGGCAGGAAAATAGGACTTGGGGCGACGTGCACTTCCTTTCGCCTTGTCCTTTCTTTCTTCGCGCGCTTCCGATCTTCTCGACGACGTCGGGTTTCCTCCTGGTCGTAACCTTCCTCTTCTTCGTTATTTTTCCGTTGTTTCCGGCCATCACGACGCTTATAGTCCTTTCGGCGCTGTATCACTTGTTCCTCCTCCTCCTCCTCCAGACCCCATTGCCGCGAGTCCTGCTGGTTTTCCTCGATATCCTGGGACTGAAGTTCTGCAAGTTTCTCTCTGTCAATCTCCTCAATCGGATCGACGGCAACCACGTCGTCTGTCTTGGAGATTGGCTCTCCAGCATTTTCGCCACCTAGTAAGTCACCTATGTCTTCTGACCACGCTGAATATTTCTTGCTTCTCCGGGCTGCGGCTTGCTCTGCATTGGCACGATGTCGCACCTCTTTAACCCTCCTTGGTCTTGACGGATCCGTTTCAGGCTCAGGTCCCGGACAGCTACAACGGGGGCAAAATGAATATTTCCCAAAACAGTTGAATCCGCAGTTCGGGCAGTGCCAGTCAGATTTGAAATGCTTCCTGGGCTTATCGGCGCCGGCCCCAGCGTCCTTAGAATATACAGGGCGGTGAGTTAGTCGTTGTCTCTGATCCCGGGGGCCTGCACCACGAGTGTCGCTATTCCCCTGCTCTCTTTGTTTCCGTTGTGCCGCCATCCTCTCGCGCATCGTTTGCTCGGCTGGACTCAAAGTAATCGACTGTCGAGCACCACCCCATGGTCGTTTCTGAATTGGCGAATCATTGATACGCGGCCTTGTAGTCTCTTGCTCTTTTTTATCTTCTTCTTTCTTGGGTTGCTGCGCCCTCATCTTGTCGCGAATCGCCTGTTCCGCTGGGCTCAGGGCAACAGGTCGTTGAGTTGACTGCCCGCTGCCCCATCGTGATGTAAACTTGGGCGGTGAAAACGAAGGACGAGGTTTGCTTCCATCTTTGCCATCATTGTTCGAACCCAACGAATCGAGCGCTATGGGGGAAGAATGAAATGTCCGTCGGAGACCGTAGTTCGTCGGCGTTATTCTATGTGCGGCCGCAAACGAAAGATTCGCAACATCTTGACGGCGGGACAACTGCAGTTCTGTCAGCACAGCGAAACTAGTAAAATATAAAGCAACTCACCTCTAATACCACCCGCCTCTGCATCATGACCAACAATTGCGCTTGTCGTTTCCCTCGGAGAGCGCTTCACGGCGTCTTTTCCTCCGTTTCCCGCGCCGGTGTCACGTGCCATTCGGTGCCCCCGCCCAATCATAGTTGGCTGACATAACCCCGTCCCACCTCGCGCCATCGCGATAAGAACGAGAGCACATCGGCCTGCTTCTTTTTGCACTTTCTTTCTTTCCGTGGGTGTTTACGTTTTCTGTGTGGTCTTAGCGATATTGTTCAATTGGGCATTCAATTCTGCCCGTAATTTCTTTTTCGTTTCGGTCAATTCCTGCAGGGTTGTCAGTAACCGCAGCGGTACCGCATCAATATGGAGTCGGAGGCATTTGAAGATATGCAAAAGGGGGGAGGAGCCCTCCGGGCTGTGAAGGATTTGGCTGCTGGTGCAGTTGGTGGTATTGCGCAGGTTCTTATTGGTATGTGCCAATTGATACTGGATATCTAAGGAGCATTGTGGGTGGTTGGAAGTACTATCATCGGCGACACCCCACAATGCTTCTTCTACCGTTCCGATTGAGGAAATGCATGATTATATATGCTTTCTCTCTGCTGGGTATCAATGGGCTAACATGATACAGGACAACCATTCGGTACGTATGCCAAAGTGTTGCATAGACTGCATCGTTATCTGACTACTAGCAGATATCGTCAAGGTACGGCTGCAAACGACGACACAATATGCCAATGCCCTTGACTGTGCCAGTCAAATATTCAAGAATGAGGGTCCTGCGGCTTTCTACAAGGGTACATTGACCCCGTTGATTGGAATTGGTGCTTGCGTAAGTGGCATTTACACATAGCCGACTGTCCATGATCTGACAATTACCAGGTCAGTGTGCAATTTGGTGCCTTCCACGAAGCCCGTAGGCGCCTGGAAGAGCTCAACAAGAAGAAATACGCTGACCCCGCCCTCTCGTACGGCCAATACTACCTTGCTGGTGGTTTTGCCGGTATCACCAACTCCGTTCTCTCCGGACCTATCGAGCACGTCCGTATCCGTCTGCAAACCCAGCCTCACGGCGCAGATAGACTATACAGTGGCCCCATCGACTGCATCAAGAAGCTTTCTGCCCACGAGGGCGTAACGCGGGGCCTTTTCAGAGGTCAGACTGTGACCTACCTCCGTGAAATTCAGGCCTACGGTATGTGGTTCTTGTCATTTGAAATCCTCATGAACCAGGACGCCAAGCGCAACAACATCAAGCGCGAGGATATATCCAGCTTGAAGGTCGCCTCGTATGGTGGTTTGGCCGGTGAGGCGCTCTGGCTGAGCAGCTACCCGCTGGATGTTGTCAAGAGTAAGATGCAGTGCGATGGATTCGGTGCTGAGCGGCAGTTTAGTAGCATGAGGGACTGCTTTAAGAAGACCTATGCTGTTGAGGGATTGGCTGGTTTCTGGAAGGGCATTGGCCCGACTTTGCTGAGGGCTATGCCTGTGTCTGCTGGAACCTTTGCTGTGTACGTCTTCACTCGTCCTCCAGGCATATAAGCCTTGGGAAATGGTTACTGACTTTATTCTAGTGTCGAATTTACCATGAGAGCTCTGGGTTAAAAGGTCTACTTCACAGATGGTTGCGCTTGTCTACTTATGAACATAGATGCCTTGATATCCAATGTACTTTACGCTTCGTAATCAACATGGTCAAAAAAGCAGGTTGAAATCTGTCTATACCTTCAGCACCCGGCCCCTTTTTTTGGACATTTTCGATATATATAGCAAATGCAGCTGAAACGAATGAAAACAAACCGAATCAAATCGTCAACGAAAAATCCCCAAAGAAATCATGCCACGCAATCGGAAAATAAAACAAATTCAGCCCCGGAAACTCCCACTCAGACACAAACTGTTCTGGTACAAACGACTGCAAATCTGTTTGCACATCGAACAGTTCCCAAAACGGACCTGTGGTCTCTGTACCTGTTTCCGTACGTATCTGATTATCGTCTTGCAATATCCGCCTATATTTCTCAATACTCATCTTCAGAATCCGTAAATAAACAGTATTCCCAGATCCAGCCTTTGACAATTCCTCAAGTAGCGTCTCGCCCTTTCTCAGCAATTCCCTATGCTCTTCTTCCCGTTCAGGAAGGAGTCGTGATAACTTGAGCAGAAGGAGGAAACAAAATGCGCACTTTGCCCAGACAAAGTCCATCGCGTAACGCAGTTGGGCAAGGTAGTGGTCTGGCTCTGTGATTATAAGGGCGAGGTGCTTTTTGGCGGCGGCTTTCGCTGTTAGGAGGATGGATTGTTCTGTGGGAGATATTGCTCTACAACGCATTGGTGGGTTAGGATATTGTTGTAAAAATGATGGGGAAAGGCGCGTACGCGACATTCTCGACGCCCATGGATTGTAGGGCTTTGCAATGGAGAGTGAGCTCGGCCCAGCATTTCTGTACGCGTAGGGCGGCTAGAAGGAAGGGTTTTTCTTCGGTTGCGGTGGGTGAGCTCTCTGCATACATCAGTTATCGATATGGTTTAAGATATAATAATGGTAACATACCGATAATTCGCAGCCAGTCAATGCACGGTCGTTAGCCATCATTCGTTCAAGAGCAGTGGAAAGAACTCACTCAAACCACAGATCAAGATCTATCTTGGTCTCGTGTACAAAGCTCGTGATGTCCAACCTGTCGAGTGTTTTCGAGCCTAACGTGTCATTGATGTTTGCTAGATGTGTCAGTATACGAAAATCTGGGGTATCTCCAAATTTTTACCTCTCATGATATTTAACTGTCCAGATATAATCAGCAAGTTTGAAGATCATATAACAGTTTATGACATACCTCAACCTGCGCAAAAAGACGCAAGTCCAAAACAGTAGACAACGTATGGCTGAGCAGAACCCTGCATCGACGCGCGCTCCCTCCGAATTGAATCCCAGGTGGTTTACCTCCATCAACACGGAATCTACCAAAAGCGCCCACATCAGACCAATACCCTAACGAGGAAATTGATATACGCACATATGCTCCAAAACCAAAAGGCCAAACCAAGTCCTAGATTCTCGCATTAGAGAACGATCTTCCTCGGGACCATGATACACATTCGTTTCTCTCATAGCGAAACGCTGTACGATCTTCTCGAAAGCCTTGTCCATATTCAAATCTAGGGCCATCCGGGTTGCGAATGAGAGGAGCAAAGAGCGTTCAGCGGAGTAACAGGCCGCGATTAGCATCGCTTGGACGGATTCGAGAGAGTTCAGATTCTTGTTTTGGATTATGACACTGATTGATTTCTTGAGCTCTGCATGTAAGATGTCTGAGGTCTGGGATTGGGATTCTTGAAATCGTTAGTACTGTCGGTATGTCTTCGTCTAGGCAATGCTCACTCATCTTGACCCGGTAACCTATTGTGCAGATGGCGTTAAAGAGGATCATGCTTCGAGAGCGCACTGAAACAAAAGTGTCATATTCCGGATCAAAAACTGGGATGTACCGATCCTGGTCCATGTAAGTTCAAACCGTAACTCCATTCACCAGCATACAACAGTAACTCACACATCCATTGAAGAACCTGCAATGCTTGTATATTAACAGCTCAACAATCTAAAATCCAAGCTATAGCAAACTCACGTCCGAAAACATAACATAGCACATTCAACAGTGATCAACCCCTTTGAAACGAAATCCATAATCGGTTCGTTCAAAATCTGTATCTCAGCCTCAGAGCGTTTCCGCTTCGTTCTATGAACGATCTCTGGCTGCCCGGGTGCCCGAAGCAGAGGGTCTGAAACATCTTGTAAAGTGGATGTACTCTGCTGCTGCCCTTGGTCGACGATATTCAACAAAGTAGGGGTCGGTTGCGAGTTACGCCGAAAAAGAAGCTGATGCATTTCATCAAGTTGCTCCCGGAGATGCTGCACTTCAGATTCGACCGTCTCCAGCCTCCTGCACCATTGTTAGAGTTCCATGGCTAGCAAATACCTAGCTTGTACACACGCTGTGATGGGGTCTTTAGGGGCTTCAAAAACTACGCATCTCTTTTTTAATTTATCACATCTGCAAGGGTTAATCTTCACCTAATATTCCGCTTCCGGGCCCTGACCTTGTACACGGCTTCTTTCCATCACATTTCACCTGTTCCAGTTAGCCAATGACCAGAGAACTGGCTATATCGTCCTTACTTTTGATTGTCTACAGGAACTGCATGCTTTCTGTTAATCCATCAGTCAGAGAATATCCGATGTTTTGCCGTGCCTTGATAGATGTACCGGGATTCGCTTGGTCCCTGTTGAACACGGAGCTGATATGATACATGCAGATTCATCCGATGACATACTGCAATTTAATGAAATTATAAGATTTAGCTTGGTGTGATAGTTTTAAGTGTCGATATCAGTGTCATATCCCAGACAATGGGGATAATGCGGGGAAGCCGGAGTTCACCCGCTTAGTCCATAATATTCCTACTACGTACAAACCTATCCAAGCCTAAACAAAGACACAGGACAAAAATCAGTATACATAGACAAAATCCTCATTAACCAAATCTGTCAGATCTCTGAGTGCATTATCATCAACACCCTCCTGCTGGACTTTGCCCTCCTCTTCTTTAAACACTGTTCCGATGGCAGCCATGGATTTATCGACGATTCTGGCGCTTTTGCCCACGGAGACTCGCTTATTCTTGTGTTTCTTGTTTAGGAGGAAGAGGTATGCCGTATTCAATCTATACCGGTGGAGCATTTTCTGTCAGTCGAGAACGCGATAAATGGTATAGAATAAACGACGGCCGAAACTTACAAACTGAGCAAGATTAGAACGCAGAACATCGCAAGGCTCGAGATTAAGCCTCGTCTATAGAGTGGTGCATCGGCGGTCGTGTATAGATTAGGACCAACGACCTACATTATCTGCGCTTAATAACTCGAGTCGTCGCAAATGGTCGATTTCTACTTACATTACCAGTGCATTGACCGATTAACAGAAGACTGGTCGTGACCTTCTTCTTTGTTTCGCCTGCTGTGTTACCGGCGGACCATGAATATATCAGTGGTGCTGAACGGGAACAAGATTGCTTAGCCCTAAGCGTTATAAGAGTACATGTTTTGACTTACTTATGCCTGGATAGACAGATATCTATATCACCGTTAGCAAATGATCCCTTCGCAAGCTACGTCTGGTCTCTTACAATATAATACCCTGCCAATAAAGGTCCCTTATGAGCAGCATCATGTGCGATGCGCAACAACATCACACAACCAGCAATCGAGAACAGACATAGTAAGGCAATAACAGGTCCCTTCATTTTCAGTACAGTGGCTAGCCATGCTCCCCCCATGGTCGCGATGAGCTGAACTGCGCCAAAGGGGATATTGAAGAGGATCGTCTTGAATTGGTCAAAACCGAAGGACTCGATAATTAGGGGACCGAAGGTGGATATGCCACCGCTTGGGAGTCTAGCTTGTGAGCATGACACCACCACCTATATCCGAGTGATTGGAGAAACGTACGATATAGCAAACATCAGCACGAACCAAAACCATGTTTTTAGGTCTAGACAGGCTTCCTTAACGTGGTCCCATTTCCATTGATTGTTTTCGACACCCTGTTGATTCATTCGGAGCCTGCATCATGTTAGTATATACCCTTGGATATGTGAGATAACCCCGGAGGACGCACCTCTCAATTGCAACAAGCTTATCCTCTTCCTTGAGAAACTTGGCTCGCACCGGAGAGTCCGGCATAAAGCACCTGAAAACGTCAGCTTTGGCAATAGTGTCCGTTTGACTGGGCCAATCTCACAGTACAACTGCAGAAAATGTGACCGTAATGAGACCGAAGAACAAGAAGATTATCTTTTCACGTCAGTTTTTACACTATCAAGGGCAATGACCAGGACCCACCTGGTAGGACTCAAAAATGTGAGACTGAATATGACCAAGGCCATATGTTATCAAACTCCCAAACTATCCATATCTTTTTCAGTATTTGATCCAGCAAGTCTCTAGGGGTCCAGCTTACCATATTGACAACACCGTTCATCGCGTACCAAGAGCCCAGTCTAACAGGTTGTTCAAGACGTCGATACCACATCTGCGTAACCGCAATAAAAGCCGGTGCTATCAAGGGTCAGTCTCAACCCAAGCCACGAACGTATGGGCAACCCACGAATTCCCGCCTCAAAAGCACCCAAGAACAACCGACAAACCAACAGCTTCGCAAATGTGTCCGATGGTGTCATGCATGTTAACGCAATTCCCCAAAGCAACATAGTAATGGCTAAGAATTTCCCCAGCGGCACCTTGACCAGAATATACGCGACGAGCGGCTGGACGACCAGTTGAGAGAGATAGACAACCGAGCCGAGCCAGGAGTATTGCTGACCGTGGAGGTTTGCATCTTCAATTAGCCCGAACACAGATGCGTAGGATAAAGTAGTCTTATCAATTTGCTGTAGGAAGTAGACGCCTAGAAGAATTGGGAGGAGTCGCAGATCGATCATCCGGAGGACGTGGGTGTTGGTCTCCTTTGTGAGGATGGGGGAGCATCCTAGGTCATTTATGGGGCCGGCAACATCATTTTCTTTTGGTTTATCGGTTGATCGGTGCTGTGGATGGGTTTCTGGCTCGATGGATTCGACATGTCGTTCTTCAGTTTTGGAGATCTCTGCTTCCCGAGACATCTTTTACCGTAAGTAGACTGGTAGATGAGAAACAATAAGCCCCCTCAGCTATTAAGAGTATAAACAAAATAGGGGGACTAATCCCATTTATACAGAACTACTTGATGACATAGCGTGGCCATCCTCAACCCCATGGGGAGGGGAAGAGATTAATGCGAAGCCACAGGAACCAATACCGTCTATCATACCAGCATACCCCAGTCCATTCGCAGAATCGACTTTCTTTGATGTTCTCGTATCCCAGTATTTCTTTTCAGCGGCCCAAGTCCGGTGTCATGCAAGTATGGCGGGGCGTGGGAATAATGCACCCCGGACTATCGGCTTTCGGTCAGAATATCCGATGGCTTGATCGAACACAGGACCCACAAACTGTGCAGCTTGCCGTATTCATTGCTTGGTAGTTAATTCAAGTGAAATTTATATATCCATTACTGTGCATTATTTTATGCTGGGGAATTGTGCTGGAAGTGTCTCCGGCACCTGCGTGTAAGAATAGTAGTTGAACTAAGCATCGAGTTCCTCCTTGAGACTGCCCAGGTAGCCCTATTTATACATTTTAGCAATTCAAAGATTTATTAATATGTTTAATCTGCATATTGCCTTCCTGTATTCTAGTTCTTTATCTGATTCAATCCTCTCCTTCTATTAGATTCTCTTTCGTATATACCATCCGGCATACTTCTTTCAATGTTCATCAAAAATCATATAAGCTACACCGGACGCATCAAGAAATCAAGTACAACATATCAAGGTGTAGGCTGTATTTGTTGCACAATCTTAATGCTCAGTGTTGGTAGTCGCAATGGCCTTGGACCGTCGCGCTGCACGATGCTATTTGTACAAGTAGAAGTAGTAAGTCCCAACATTTCCAAAACTCTTGGTATCCATTGCCCCAGTAATTAAATCGTTACTGACTCGTCGAAAGTGGTGAATGATGGGATAATTATCATAGATCATCGTGGTTGACTGAACACCCCGGAATTCAATCTGACGAAGCTGCTCAACATCAGTCAGGCATTTTGAAACGTAAATTATTTGTATTGGGTGCAGCTGAGAATACTTACACGTGCATGCCCCCAATCCTCATCGCAGGCTCTTCTGCCACCTTTGTCAATGACGATAGGGTCGACAGATTTAGTAGAATGGAATGTCTTTCCTAGCCAATTCATGCCTTTGAATTGTGCATAAGCTGGGTGGCCAGTGTCGAGACCACCACCTTTCCATTCTCCGATCAACGCATCGGGCTTGACTGGCTGTATTTTGTCAAAGGCAGCCTTGATGTCAGGTTCCGTTAAAGTGCCATCTTGTTAAGTGAACTCAGTGAAAGTTTCTTCTGGGGTGCTGAAATAGAACAAATTAGCGGAGCCTTTGGGCAGGAGAAAGCTATCTGAGTGTCATACATCGCCATGGTAAAAATAATGTGACTCGTTTCTTGAGTCGATGAAGACTTCTCTCGTGTTAGAACCAGCCCGCTTCGAAAGATGTTTCTCGGGGAGGATTACAGGATGAGGGAAACTTTTTGAATGGTTTAAGTAGATAGCATCATCAACCATGTCATGTTGTTCTCCAGGTCTGATACCGGCCCACGGGATAGGGGCACCGCGGGATAGAGGCCCGTGAAATCCGGAAACACTTATCAAAGAGCTAATCCAAATCGTAGGGTATTCTTGCCTTTCGGGAATATTCAATTGGAATACTGCGAGAGTGACATTTCCGACGATTGTGAATTATGAAAACTCATTAATGCCATACACGTTTTTTTAATCCGTGCCGACACTGTAACTTGTAGACCATATAAATCAATTCTTTTCTTTTCTTTTCTTTTCTTTTCTTTTCTTTTTTTTTTCTTTTCTTTTTCTTTTTTGTAGTCAAATAAGCCAAGCCCAATAACTTACAGCAGGCCCAGACCTAAATGTCGTTTGGTGGGATATCAATGTTTAACTATTTGAAGCCATCCAAAAAGCCCAAGAATTTGTAATATATGTGAATCATTTATTGGAATGCTCAGGGCAACTAGTAATTTTATGACCCTAATTGCTACACCTTGATGAACAAGAAGAAATGACTGAGAAGGCGCCGGCTATCTATTGAATGCATCTGTGATAATTGAGGTAAAAAAGCCAATAAAAGTCTTGAATATACTTCGTTCATGAGTACCCTTCATGGTAGCCGTCTATGGAAACCCAGAAACGGCCCAACTCCGATATCATGCAGCATATGATGTAGGAGTAATCCAATCCAGCGTTTATCAAATAGACCGAGTACATGTGGGTGGTACCGTGGAAAGACTAGCAATAATCTGGGGTATCTGGGGATGGAGAGGAGAAATCGGAGATGAGCCCCGAAATCCGATATACAACCATGCAACACAACCCCTCAATGTAAATGGGAGGGGTTAGAAAATAATTCAAATAAAGTTATAAATTTGTCTAACTACCTCCTGTAGACTCAAATCCCAAGCAGTAATCTATTGGAATATCATTGACAATCAACATGCCTCAGAAAGAGTACTCCCCCCGGGACTACAAACAAGTCCCTACCAAGGACTCCCAAGTCCACCTCTCATCCAAAGATAAAAACAACCAGACTTATGATTTTACCTTCGAGCCCATCCGCAAGAATCTCTTCCGGGTTACCTTCACCTCCCCCGACCATCCTACTCCGCCCTTCCCCAGCGTGACCAAACCCCAAACCGATCTCGCCAATTTAAAGCTAGCTGTGAAGGACACCACACGAACCACCAAAACCCTTGAATTCGGCGACGTAACTGCCTCATTCGACTGGAGCCACACCCCTGTTCTCACATTATCCTGGACCGGGGACGATATCAAACCCGGCACCGGCCAAAAAGCCCTATACAAGGATCTACCCCTCCGTTCCTACGTGGTAGATGGAACCGGCATTGCGCATTACACCGAACATGACCGTGACGCGCTTCACGTGGGATTAGGTGAGAAACGAGCTCCAATGGACCTAAGCGGCCGCAACTTCCAACTCTCCGCGACAGACTCCTTCGGGTACGACGTGTACAATAGCGATCCGCTGTACAAGCATATCCCGCTGCTCATCAAGGCGACCCCCAATGGCTGCGTTGCGATTTTCTCAACCACACATGGACGGGGTTCGTGGTCGGTAGGCTCTGAGATCGATGGTCTCTGGGGCCACTTCAAAGTCTACCGGCAGGACTACGGTGGTCTAGAGCAGTACCTACTCGTCGGCAAGACACTTAAGGAAGTCGTACATTCCTACGCAGAGCTAGTAGGATTCCCCCTCCTCGTACCCCGCTGGGCATACGGGTACATCTCCGGCGGGTACAAATACACCATGCTCGACGAGCCCCCCGCGCATGAAGCCCTCATCGAATTCGCAGAGAAGCTCAAGAAACACGACATCCCGTGTTCCGCGCACCAGATGAGCTCAGGGTATTCGATTTCTCAAACGGAGCCAAAGGTCCGAAACGTGTTTACGTGGAATCGGTATCGGTTTCCGGACCCTGAGAAGTGGATTGCCAAGTATCATGGGTATGGGATTCGGTTGATTACGAATATCAAGCCATTTCTTTTACAGTCGCATCCTGATTTTAAGCGGCTTGTTGAAGGGGGTTCCTTTTTTAGGAATGGGGAAACGAAGGAGCCTGGGTTTATGCGTCTTTGGAGTGCTGGAGGTGCGACTGGGGGGGATGGGTGCCATATTGATTTTACGTCGGATTTTGGGTTTAAGTGGTGGTATAGGGGTGTGCAGAGTCTGAAACGTGCGGGAATCGACGGCATGTGGAACGATAACAACGAGTATACGTTGCCAAATGATGACTGGGAACATGCCCTAGACCACCCAGCTGTTCTTGACGCTGCGCAGAAACACCCCAATGCTGTTGGGCTCTGGGGGCGGGCGCTGCATACAGAGCTCATGGGTAAGGCTTCGCATGATGCGCTGCTGAATCTGGAGCCAAATTATAGGCCGTTTGTGCTGACGAGGAGTGCCACGGCTGGTACGATGCGATATGCGGCGAGTACGTGGAGTGGTGATAATGTGACGAGTTGGGAGGGGATGAAGGGGGCGAATTCGTTGTCGTTGAATGCAGGGATTTCTCTTCTTCAGGTAGCCCTACCTCTCCAGAGGATAAGCAATGTGCTAACGAAACCAGTGCGAAGGACATGATATCGGTGGCTTCGAAGGTACCCTTCCATCCTCTCATCCACAAAAGCAACCCGGCTAACGCAATAGGCCCCCAACCCTCCCCCGAGCTCCTCCTCCGCTGGATCCAACTAGGAACCCACTCCCCCCGCTTCGCCATAAACTGTTTCAAAACTTCCCCCACAAACAACCAAGTCGGCGAAGTCATCGAACCATGGATGTACCCCGAAATCACACCGCACATCCGCGCAGCCATAAAGCGTCGCTACGAGATCCTCCCCTACATATACTCGCTAGGATTGGAGAGTCATACCACTGCATCCCCGCCGCAGAGGTGGATTGGGTGGGGGTATGAGAGTGATCCGGAGGTTTGGGGGAAGAAGCTCAAGGATGGGGAGGAGGAATTCTGGTTAGGTGACAGTCTTCTTGTTGGTGGGGTTTATGAAGCTGGGGTTGATAGTGCGAGGGTTTATCTCCCGCGGAAAGAAGAGGGTGGGGAGTTTGATTATGGTTATGTCAACTTGAATGAGCCATGTACTTACCTTGCGGCTGGGCAGTGGGTTGATATCCCCTCGCACTGGAAGACAAGTATCCCGCTCCTTGCGCGGATTGGGGGCGCGATCCCCGTCGGGAAGGATGTCCAGACCCGCGTGCCCGGTGATGACACTGAGGCTTCAGTAGCCGTCCAGGAAATCGATGACTACCGAGGCGTGGAAATTTTCCCGCCGAAGGGAAGCTCGCACGGGCGTGTATTTAGAAACAGCTGGCTCGAGGATGATGGAATCTCGAAGAAGCCGGGTATCTCGCGGTTCATTGTCAAGTATAGCTCGACTGAGGAAAAGGTGGTTGTTGGGTTTGAGCGGGAGGAAGGAGAGTTTGTGCCGGTTTGGAAGGATTTGGATATTATTTTGCATCATGGGGATGAGAGGAGGGTTTTTTCGGATGTTGGGGGTGTGGTTGAGTATAAGGGGATGGATAGAAGGGGACGGATAGTGTACACTCTCAAGGCATGAGGTTGAGAACAGGTGCAATGACAGTGATGGTGAAGTGATAGTGACAAGACAAGCGAGTGTGAATAATCCATAATTCATTCATTGATAATACACATTTTTAGCACCAACCCTTTGCAAAATCTATACAGTACAGTCCCATAAATGCTTTCATAACGGGGTAATAAAAATAGATAAAAAGATTAAAAAAAAAAAAAAAAAAAAAACATCTGCTCACTGGTTGGCGGCAGCTTCCGCTGCCCAAATTTCCTGGTTCTCGGGCTGAGGCTGAGGCTGGTGCTCAGGCTCAGGCTCAGGCTGGGATTCCGATGCCCTCTTGTTCAGACCAAGCTCCTTCGGGTCAACAGGTTCGTATGTGAATCGGCCCTCGTGGGCATATTCCAACCGTCTCTTCTGACCAGCCTCACCTGCCCGACCCAACACACCAGCGATAACACCAACAGACCGCAAACTGTCATCGTTGGCGGGAATAGGGTATGTAACACGGGCAGGGTTGGCATCGGTATCGATGATACCAATGGTAGGCACGTTGTTAAGGCCGCACTCGTGCAGCAGGACCTCATTCTCAACAGGGTTAAAGCAAACCACCAAATCCGGCTTAAGAGCAGCATGCTCCTCCAAATTCGACTTCAACTCGGTAATCTCCTCGTCCAACGCATTGACAACCTTGGTCTCACATTGCCCCAGAATCTGCTGTCCATTGGTCAGAGCACCCGGAATCCAGCGCTCAAAGATATGGTAGCCTTTGGCCAGTTCCGCGGCACGCACAACCGTCCTCTTCTGATCCTTCCGGGTACCCGCAAACAGAATTAAACCACCCCGGGCTGCAACTTCTTCCACGACCTTTGCTGCACGGCGTAGGTATGCTGCAGTCTGATCAAGGGCGATGATGTGAATACCGTCTCGGATACCGAAGATGTACCGTGAATTTTGGGGATTCCAGCGCGATGTCGAGTGGCCGAGATGTGTCTGAGAGGCAAGAAGTAGTTCGAGGGTGATGTCTTTGGGCTCAGGGGGGTTTTTGATGAGTTCATCGGGGTCATAAGCGTCTTCAATGACACTACCAAAGCTGCGGCGTTTTTGTCCTAGTCCAGGTCAGTTGGCTGCTCTTCCGAATGACGGAAAGGAATCTGCTCCAGCGTACTCCTTAATTGTCTCTTCCTGAATGTCTCCTGGGCCGAAATCCTCAGTTCTTCGAAACTCTGAAATTCCACAGGTCGTTCCGGTTGCACGGGTTGCTTTTGGGTAGGCGTCTCAACTGCGGTCTGGACGGGGGTTTCGGTCGAGTAGAATCGGCTGAGCATGCGAGCTGGTCGGTTAAGAGCCAGGAAGCGGCCTGGGGCAGGGCACAAAGCGGTTAGTGACATTGGAATATCAATTGAATAACTGATACTCACTCTGCCGCACACATAACTGCCGGACAATCATGGCGAACTCTGTGGTTTGTTTGTCGATTCTCGGGGATTCACAGCGAGGAAATCAAATGTCCGCGCGAACTTTTGATGTCGGGCTTGGCATTGCCTGAGGCAGAAATACAACTGCTCTAGTCCCGTGACAGATCGGCGGCGGGGTTGTCAACACCACATTCTGGAGACAACACAGAAAATACGATCGTCTACAAAAGCAATTATTCTTAGACTTATAGAGTAGACATTGAGTAGACCGCGACAGAACGAAATTCGTATCGGTATCGTTAACTAAGTCATGACATGCTCATGGTAATAACAATGATGGAACCTTAAGCGATAAAAGCAGAAACAAAACCCAACCCAGCAACCATGTAGAGATAATAAGAAAAATCATGCAATAGTGTATCAAATCACAAAACAATCAACTGCGACCGTCTATTTCTTAAAGAAACCACCGAGCTGGTCCATCATGCCAGAACCGCCCTGGGAACCGCCGTGCGAGGAACCACCGTACTGCGAAGGGGGACCGTAGCCCGGAGGCTGTTGATGGCCCTCGTCCTTGTTCTTGTGCTTCTTGACGGCGTCTTCAGCGATACTACCCATGATGGCACCACCGATTGTTCCGAGGAAACCGTGGTTGGCCTTGTGACCAGCAAAACCACCGGCAGCACCGCCTGCAAGAGCACCGGCAAGACCACGCTCGCCGTCCTGGGCGCCGTCGGGAGCTTGTTCGTGAGATCTATCAAGACAGCATTAGTACATCTGTGGATTGAATGGATACGGTTGTTTTGGTGGAGACTTACCCCTGCTGGCCGTACTGGTGCTGGTCATAGGGTTGCTGGCCGTAGTAGCCCTGCTGGTGGTGTTGCTGCTGGCCGTAATGCTCATGACCGTGCTGCTGGTGACCATAGCCCTGGCCCTGAGGCTGGCCGTATCCCTGTTGAGGGGGGTAGCCACCCTGGCCGTAGCCCTGACCACCGTAGCCCTGACCACCGTAGCCGCCCTGCTGGTAGCCGCCGTGGCCGCCGTGGCCGTATTGACCTTGGTTGTAGGGATCGTAGCCAGACATGATGTTGGTAGAGTAGTAAAAGTTTAGAGAGAGTAAGAGGTTGAAGAGATGGAGAGTAAAGGATGAAGATGGATGAAAATGGAGAACAAGGAAAGCGGGAGGATCTCTTCCTTTTATAATGACCAAGTGGCCACCTGATCGGAGGGGAAGTCAAATCACAGGGCTGAGCAGACCCCACCACCGAGGGCGCCTCGATATTCGTACATTGTCATTATTATTCATTTGCACTGCCCAACGCGCCTACATGATCAACCCCGTCATGTGCTGTCACTGCATTCTTTCTACTGGTCAATTGTACTATGACTCTTCTACAGAACAGTTCAAATATACCAGAATGTTACTCCATACAGTCCTAGTGACTGACCGGAATACAGAATAGCATTGTCGGAGTACGCGATTACTCAGCGGTTCGGCCATCCCGCTGGGGAACGGTTCTTGTGCCGCAGGGCTGAGCATATTACAATACAGATACATTGCCAAGATCTGGGCAATGGCTTCTATTGGACCAAAATAGTATTCGCGAATCTTTCTGTGCCTAGGGTCGTTGCCTAGGCCCACTGTCACTGCAAGAGAGGTGTAGCGCCGTATGGCCGATACGATATTTTACACAGCCACTGTGGCTCGGCCGGGCTATGGCGATGATCATGATGGAATGACATATAGGATATCTTCTAGAATTCCACAGTTATTCCATGGTATTCCCGAGGAGATATGTGAATTGCAAGGCTAAATATACCTGCAGCGAAGATTGAAGAAATGAATCATCCTTGGCGAGGAACCGAATATCCGGCGACCGTGAAGCCAAGCAACAGGCAGCCATATTTCGGGTCATTACAGAGTACCATTCACGAGAATTTATGCTCGATGCTGACTGAGCATTCATCATTAGATATGAATGCACAATATGTAGGGATAGTCGTCAATACAAACTCCTGTTCGTGCTGTATACTCCGCTTGAGTTTATACTCCGCTTAAGATCAACGGAGATCTTATGCCGTTCGTCTGCGATAAGGATATTATGCTATTATGATAAGGACAGGGGCCAGGGACAGTTACATCATAACAAGGATGCAATTGATTATGGTTAACCTCAGCGGTAGATCCGACGCGAGGATCAAAATGACTTTTTTTTTTCTTATTCGAATCTTACTTCTTATCTGTGCGTTTCACCGATTACAGTTGAAGATCATCATTGAAGCTGATCACCTGAACACACCGAGTGATTGCTGCGGGTCATTCGATGCTTGAATAGCTCAATAGCGCCTGAACGTAAACTTGTTTCTCCTCTTCTCCTGTTCTATCTACTAGTACTCTTCGCTGGCTTGAGTTCTTCACCAGGCCAGATCATAATGAAAGACGACTAGACGACCACTTGAGTAGTGCTTTTCACCTACACAACTTCTACGACCGTCAAACTAATCTACTTTACACCTACAAAGGAGTAACACCACCAACATGTTGTTCTCTCATGTCCTCTCCCTATCCTCTTTTCTGGCTCTCACCCTCTCCGTTTCTTCTTCGGCCATACCAAACCACCACCCCCGCAACCGCCCAACAGTCTACCTCCTCCGACACGGCGAGAAACCCGCAGACCGAAACAACCACGAGCTGAACAAGGATGGCTACAAGCGAGCAGAGTGTCTGCGCACGGTATTCGGAGAAGACTCTCCATTTGATATTGGATATATCCTCGCGCCCCGTGTAAAGAAGAGTATGTCTCTATCTCTCTTTGCTTTTTTATCCCTGCATGTCTAACACGGTCCTCGCAGACGGCGACCACAGACGCTCCTTCGATACCGTCCACCCTCTCGCTAAAGACCTCGGCCTTCCTATTGATTCTTCCTGCAAACGCAACCATGCCAAGTGTGTAGAGAAGCATATCAAACGGTACGACGGCGAAGGGGACATTCTCGTTTCGTGGCGGCACGGAAAGATGACAGATATCGCTGAGAGACTGGGAGTCGAGAAGCCGCCTGAGTATCCTTATCATCGGTGAGTTCACACACACACACATACACACACACACTCTCTCTCTCTCTCTCTCTCTCTCTCTCTCTTCGGTCACATTGCTCTTGCTTATGTCTGCGGAATAGATACGATCTCGTTTGGACGATCCCGTATCCATATGACAAAGTCACGGAGGTCTGGAGTGAGGAGTGTCCTGGATTGGATGAGAAGAGCCATTTGTCGCCATTGAAGATCCAAGCATAAAGGTATGCTGGCGTACGGCTTGTATTTACGAGTGTCATGGTGGATTCGGTTGCTATATTGGTAGTCTCGATTTATGGTAGCGATGATACATCTGAGTCTTGCTTTACCTTGCCGTCCAGCGTAATTCTGTAGTGTGCATTTCCACCACCAGCAAGACCAATTGAGGGCAATTCGTATTCCAAAGTCTAGAAATGGAGTAAACAGCACATACCAATGTGCGGGCGGTGAACCAGCCGAGCGGAGAAAAAGTGAACGCCAAGATTTCACCCAAATTTTTCCCAAAAGATCTATCGCGCTTCAACCACCTTAAGGAACACCGCTCACCCACACACTCCTTCGCATATATAATACTAGGTGGATTGCTCTATTGTGTCGCAGTCTGGCAAGAAAAGGCAGAGCACAATGGACGACATCGAGGTAGGTGGTGTCTTTCCACCCCCGCCTACGGTGTCGGGGAGTTGACGAACCCTTTTTTTGCTATATCAGGATCGGTTACGGAGTCATGCGCAGGCCTTTAATGGGCTATTGTCTTTAATACCGGCGAAGTACTATTACGGTGAAGATGGCAGTGTACGTCTTTTACCTGATCTCTATGCGTTAGCGCTAGAGCGCTTTTCTTCTTGCCTTGCCTTCCCTTCCCTGGAAAAACCCAGTTAATCATTGAAATCCGGACAGGACCAATGGAAGCGAAAGAAACAGACCAAGGAAGAAGCCCGCGAGGCCAAACGGGCCAAGTTGGATCCCGACACTGCCAAAACGGCCAAGGACGTCATGGACGAGAGCGCCCGGAAGCGTAAGCGCGACGAAAAAGAGGCCGGGTCTGGGTCCGGAGACGATGAGGAATCGTCGCCGTCTGACGATGAGAACGCTGAGAAGCCCAAGGAGGGCTTGAAACGAGCGGATGGCGTTAAGAAACAGAAATCGGACGAGGAATCGGGAAAGCAGGGCAAGTCGGCGGAGGAGGTAGAGGCGCGCAAGAAACAGAAGGAAGAGAAGAAGGCGCAGAAGAAGGTTGCTCAGAAGGAGAAGAAGAAGGCCAAGGATGCTGCTAAGAAGGACAAGCAACCGGAAGAGCAGAACAAGGACCCGCAACAGAATGGAGCCAAATCCGATGACACTAAGAAAGAGAAAAAGCCGGAGCCTAAGCAACAGGTAAACGACGATGACGATGGTAGTGATGACGAAGAACATGAGACTGAGGGACTCTCCCTCGACTTCAATGAACAACCAGAACAGACATCGACCGCTTCCTCGACATCCGGCTCTTCCGCCTCGAATCCTCAATCTGGCAGTTCGTCCGTATCGTCCATCGCTCCCCCAAATAACGAGTCCACCAAACAAGAAACTTCCGAGCCCAAGGCTCCTAAGCCAACATCAGAGGAGTTGAAGCAACGGTTACAGAAGCGCCTGGATGAGCTCCGCGCAAAACGCCACGCAGATGGCCTGAATGGCAGACCCGCACGAAACCGTCAAGAACTTATCGAAGCCCGCCGCCAAAAGGCAGAGCAACGCAAAGCGCACAAGAAACTGCTCCGCCAAAAGGCCAAGGAAGAAGAAGAACAAAAGAACGACGAAGCCCTTGCCCGCCGTTTCTCCCCAGGAGGCTCCGGCTCCCTCCTTGCTTCCCCACGCTCCCCCGCTGAATCAGTCGACAACGCCAGCTATTCTTTTGGCCGCGTCGTCTTTGCAGATGGCCAACATGCCGACCCCTCTCTGTCCACTCTTCGCGACAAGCCCAAGAAACACGGTGCTCAAGACCCCGCCTCGGCTCTCCGCGCAGCAGAGGCCAAGAAGATCCGCCTCGCCGAGATGGACGAAACCAAGCGCGACGATATCGAGCAGAAGGACATGTGGCTCAACGCCAAAAAGCGGGCGCACGGCGAGCGCGTGCGCGACGATACCTCCCTCCTCAAGAAGGCGCTGAAGCGCAAGGAATCCGCGAAGCGCAAGTCTGAGCGGGAGTGGAAGGAGCGTGTTGACACTGTCAAGAAGAGTCAAGATATGAAGCAGCAAAAGCGCGATGCTAACCTGCGCAAGCGCCGTGACGAAAAAGGTGGTAATAAGGGGAAGAAGCCCGCCGGGGAATCAAAGAAGAAGGCCAGACCTGGGTTTGAGGGTAGCTTCAAGGCCAAGGTTGGTGGGAAGAAGAAATAAATCAAGTCTGGGGTAGGTTGATGTGCGTACATATACACTTGTCAAAAAGAATGCGTTTGGAGGATCAAAACAAAAAGCTGGATAATAGGTGTTTGAGGTGTTTCTACTTCTGTACTGTTTTACTGTCTTTTTTTTTTTTTTTTTTTTGAGTGCCCAGGGGGTTATCTGCTTTTTGATATGTTACATGTATGCATAGGGAGCGATTTATATGTTGATATCAATCAATCTATTGTTCTTGGTGGTTCTCTAGTAGCTTCATGTTATATGGAAGTCATAGTAGAACGGCTTAAGAGACAGCTTGGTACAAAGTTCATGATGAATAGAAGTTCATTTCGTTGACCCTAGACTAAGCTACCAAACCTACCCAGAACAAACCTAACAAAGAGAGCCAGTACTGCAACAGTAACAGAAATTACCATCCCAGAACAACAACATCACTCTCTCAACCCCCGAACACTACATACAAAATCCCAATACATATCCTCTAAATCCAATGGCAGCCCCTCCCCAAACACTTCCATCCCCATCCCTTTCCTCAACCACCCTTCCCAACACCCAAGCACCATCCTCACCAACCTCACATACTGATCCCGATCTATCTGCCCTAACCCCAAATCGCCCATTGTCAAAAAATCAGCATGTACATTCGCAATCCTCACGAACCTCGGAAACCCCCGTGTCCCTTCCTGATACTTAATCCTATACAGATTCACAAACTCGTATTTGATGATGGCCATGTCTATTACTAGTTAGCAGCCATTAGCGAAGGGGTCGCGGTGTTGGGGGGTCAGGATTTAGGGCTGGATATGCGAAGTCGAGGAAGATTGAGGTGGGGGATTCGTAGACTTTCGTCTGTGCATGGGGCGAGCATGCAGACGAAATAGTCAAAGCGGGAGGATAGGTAGTCGTACTGGGACTTGAGTTGTTTTATTTCAGAGGGTGTTGGCATGGCTTCTGTGGTGCTGGGGAGATGGGGTTGATGGGAAAGGGCATGGTGGTGGTTTGTTGGAGGTTTATGGATGTTGAAGGTGAGACAATGACAGATTTTTGAAGAGGTTGATGCCTGTTATCGTAACTAAACATACTAATCTAAATAATACTTCAACAGTTACAGATGGCGTATAGTTCAAACCTTGCCATTGCTAGTCTATTTGTGGCTTTTCCCTGTTTCGAAAAGAGATCGACCGGAGCAACCGAGCACCGCAGAGCAATCTAATAATGGTAACCCTCAAACACCACACCCCCAATTCAGCAGACTGCTTATCCCAATACCTCATCCACCCATCCATAATCACCTCATTCATCCCCTTATACCCATTCTCCATCTCCCCCAACCTCAGTATCAACCGTACATCGTTTGCAGATCCAAATTCAATACCGTAGAAGTCATAGAGCCCGTCTGGCAGGTCTTGCGCTTTTGAGGGGTTTTGTTGGGCCTCAGATTCAATTATCGGGATGTCGGTTTGGATTCGGCTGACTGTAGCTAGAATGTTTGTTATTATTTCGTTTGGAGTGTTGGTAAGGCCGTAGTGGTTGGAGAAGATTTGGAGAAACATTCGGCTTAGGTATATTTGGTTATGTATGGCTGTGAGGGGGTGAGTATATTGCTGGTTGTAATATTAATGTAGAGTTGAGGATGTTCGTTCTTGATATTCCATATTACTAGAGTCCTAGTAGGCAGCAGTTGAGATGACAAGGATACTTCCTCTATGCCTGGCCATAGTCTGATCGATTGTTGCCTGTTAGGTAGGTGCTAAGAATCTATGACCAACTAAACAAAGACTGCAATGGATCTTAGAGAGGCCGAGTATAGCGTTGTTCAGCCCTGGCTGCTTTTTGTTTACCATAGATTGTGTTGAATACTACGGCCTAGGGTTAAGTCGGACATTATATATGTTCTTAATCTTTGTCGAGGCGCAAACCAGAAATCCAAGGCAGATGGCCATAAAGCATAATATTCCATATCACCGCTGCATAATGTATGAATAGACCAGATAATAAAACACCACCCTACCCACACCAATCAACCGCAAGTTGGAGTCTTCACTATACCGCAGTGCTCTAAAATGGCAATGCGCTCTCCCAGGAGACTAATTTATCTGTAAATTGGAAACTCTGATCGTCATTTTCCTTTATTTATTGTTCACCTTTGTGGTCAGAATCAACAATGACTTTTTTCTCTTGGCACAGTAAACCACTTCATCCAGATCTGCATTCCTGATATACTCTGTGGAATAATATTGGTTATAGCAGTCTTCGACCTCAAGTAGCTCGTCTTCAAGTTTAGGCATCACGAGGTCCATTTTGCGATGGTTAGAATGGATGGAGTGTGTCTGTGGACGGAGTTGCATTTCTACCACACTCTCCTTTCATTTTGATATCGTCCAATGTCATCGGTTCGTCACGCATAACCTGAACATAGATATGAATCCTCAAGTCTCCTGGATGCGCCTTGATTATGACATGGAAGTCATCCTCTTGTGTCTGGTCAGTTGCCATGTCCGTGGTCGTGTCATGGAAGAAACCCCTGAAAGAAATTTAGCATATTGGAGCCAATCATAGATGGTATGGTATCGTACATTATCCTACCCTGTCTTTACCGGATCCTGTCACACGGTTATAGCCCAGGTGTTCGGTGGCAGCTTTAAAGTGATTTGACCCTCCCCACTGTGGCATAATTGTCAGCCTGCCTCTTATATCATCAGCCCACTCCAGGGTGATGCCTTTGACAACGCCCTGGTACAAATTAGTGGGAAGAGAATTGGGATAGGCGGCCATTGTTCAGGACTTTCAGGCGGAACGACGTAGGAGTCTAGCTCCGTGGCACTGAAAAGAACAGGGAACTGGGTAATATAGTATTTGAAATAGATGGGAGGAAAAGAATGGCAAGAGATTAGGAACGGGAGTGATCACAGGCCTTTGTATTCAACCTAGATGTTCTGGAGGTATAAGCTGGCTCATCTAGAATAATAGTCAGTAACACGTTCAAGAATTTAGGATTGGGAAGGCAACGCTGAGACTATGTCGGTTTCCTAGGTACCTATTAGATGACATTAACGAAGATGAAAGAGAGTTAGTCAATATGAATTTGTTCGATTCACTGATAGGTTCATGGCCATTTACATCCAAGGGTCAACGGCCGTTTGAAGATGAGTGAATTCAATACTAGCACATCTGACTGAATACCTGCAGTTGATTCAAACGAGATTGAATTGGACTTCGTAACAGAGTACAGAAAGATTTGAACCGAGATCCTCCCTGGCGCGACTAGTACAGTTTGCTAATACGACAGACTGAAGTGATATGTATGTACAAGATGAAAACAGAAAAGATTTTCTAGATCCTTTTCCTTCTTTTGGTGGTTGCTTTTCGCAAGGAGAACCAGGAACTGGGTATTCGAATTGAATTGTATTATGGTATCGGTCTGGTTTTACCGGTAGGGAGCATCAGCTCTGGCGGCAGCGGCAATTTCGGGCTCCCACTTGTCACCGTTAGCCAGCAGCTTCTCCTTGTTGTACAGCAGTTCTTCACGAGTCTCGGTGGCATATTCAGCGTTGGAGGCTAGGAAGTAAATTTGTCAGCCATGCCATCATCCTCAATTGGCGTGTATGTCACTTACTCTCGACAATCGCGTCAACTGGGCAACTCTCCTGGCAGAAGCCACAGTAGATACACTTGGTCATGTCGATATCATATCTTGTCGTCCGGCGACTTCCGTCCTCACGTTCCTCGGCTTCAATGGTAATGGCCTGGGCCGGGCAAATAGCTTCGCAAAGCTTGCAGGCGATGCAACGCTCTTCACCGGTGGGGTAACGACGAAGGGCATGCTCACCACGGAAACGAGGCGAGATGGGACCCTTTTCGAAGGGGTAGTAAATGGTGTATCTACAAGAAACCATGTCAGTTCGACATTCTTTTCTCTATTGTATTGCCACTGGGTATGAGGGACACTTACGGTGGTCTGAAGAACTGTTCCAACACCACGTACATACCCCGGAACATCTCTGCCAGCAAAAAGTACTTACTGGCCTTATCCACCGAGGTTTCAGCGCCCTGATCCCATCGCTGGGGAGCGGGCAATCGGAAGCCAGGTTGAGGGGGGCCGTAAGGCGTAGCTGCCCGGGACACCGAGGACGAGAAGTTTGCGGTCGAACCCACGGGCCGGAGGGAAGAAGTCAAAAGGTAAGGCGATGGCCGGCGGTATGCGACCAGCCTTGCAATAGGCTTAGTGGATGCCATTGCGGATTGATCAGAAATGAATCCGAGGATTGGAGATAAGGAGGGTGGTAGGAGGGCCGGAGGTTATCGAGAGTTGAAGGGATGCAATAATGGAGGTTCGCCATGAGCGGCTTAGGTCATTTCTTTCCGAGCGGCGCTGATTGGCTGGTGCGGCGGCCTCCCCCGAGCCGCAAAAACGGCAAAAACGCAAGTCACAACCGGAACTTCCTCCACGCCTCGACTCTCTCTTGCGCTTCACCTGTCTGCGTTCTTGTTACTTGACTCCTTCCTCTATATCGGAAGTCGACATCTTATTCTCCTCTTCCGCATACCTTCTTCCCTTCTAACTCAGCACCATGCTCCGTTCCGCCATCGTCCGCTCGCTGAGAGCTTCCGTGCCTCGTGCTGTCAGAACCCCGGCATCTTTCCAGATCCGTAGCTCCCCCATTGCTCGCCCGGCTCAATTCACCCCTCGCTTCGCCTACCAGGGTGTCCGTCTCTACTCTGCCCCCGCTGGCCTGAACAAGGAGGAGGCTGAGGGCCGGATAGTCAACCTCTTGAAGAACTTTGACAAGGTTCGTTTCGGCAAATCTAGGAGGGGATATATGGGTAGAGGTACAATTCAGCTAACAGAATCTTGGTATGGCAGGTTAACGACGCTAGCAAGGTCAGTCCTAAGTTCTGGTGCCAGGTGGTGCCGTCATGATTCAAGGAGGGGAATTTGGAGCTATATAAGGGATTCATAAAAAGAAGAGACATCATTCTAAAGACTTCTGCATCCTACAGATCAACGGCACCTCCCACTTCTCGAATGACCTCGGATTGGACAGCTTGGACACTGTTGAGGTTGTGATGGCTATTGAAGAGGTATGACACTAATATCATCGGATTAGCGAGAAAGTGATTTTGATACTGACATGGTGCCAACAGGAGTTCAGCATTGAGATCCCCGACAAGGAGGCCGATGCTATCCACAGCAGTAAGTACCAGAATTGTATTGTTCGAAGTCGAGTGTATACTAATTCCCCGGACAGTCGACAAGGCGGTCGAGTACATCCTTGCTCAGCCTGACGGTTAGTACCTTTCCTTTGACCGGGAAAATATGAACTGCTTGCTGACTGCATCCTAGCCCACTAAATGCTATATTAATGAAGGATCCGGTGTAGGTGGGGTAAAGGTTGGATAGAGAGAAGCAAAAAAAGAATATTGGCGCGATACTCATCCAGGATACTCTCGAGAATCCTGGCAAGAATCGACGTCTCTGTATGCTGGTACAAGCCGGTTGTTTGTTTCATCCTACTATATCGTGTATATCACTCTGAAATGTCGTTCTGATCTCCTCTCTTCTCTTGGACTCGATTCTCTGAGCTGCATCTATCAATATATTTAAGAGCAGTAGAGCAACCCGCATGGTTTCTAATCAGCGTCGTGCACTACATATCATGATTCGATTTTGTGTGCGGGGGACGGTATCATTGCGATATCCGGATGCGAACACCATCGGAGAACCTCACCACCAGCAGAGAAACTACTCGGAGCAGTAGGCACACTCAATCCCACACAGATCAACAATTCAATCTTTCAATCTATTACTAGTAATTGTATACCTCACGTGTCCAGTACCTTTTTTTTTTTTTTTCCGCCCTCACGAGAAGCTCGGCTCAGCCAGCGTTGATCCCGTTCGGGCACGAGAGCCTCTTAATCGCTCCTCCGGCTCTACTCAGCCTCTCTGTTTCTTCCTTCTTTGATATTTCTCATCAGTCCTTTCTCTTGCGGGGAAGTTCTCTTGTGTGTTGTTCTTTGTATTCTATTCTTTATTCTATTCTTTTCTCTTTCGTCGAAGACTCGAATTCTGTTGGAAGTTCTTCAGCTCCCCCTGACCTGACCATAATAATTTCCTTCCCGCCTAAAACGCCAGACTTTCGGTCTACGCAACTCTCTTTCAACCTCACCCTCGAATTCCGCCTCCAGCGACAATTCGTGTCGCACTCAATAGCAACTCTGGATTGATTGATTAATAAAAATTTACTCTGGTTATACAACCCTCCTTCGTTCTATCGCGCGCGCCCTCCCTACTCACATATCCTCCGATCTTTCGCCCGCACAACAACACACTTGTTATCTATCCCCCATGTCCTCAGCCGGGGGCTTGACTCGCCGGAGAGGCGGTGGTCGGGCCGGTGGCGCAGACGACAACGATGACAGCAGGGTTTCTTCGCCCATATCCCGGAATGGCTCTGCATTGGATCATCGAGGACCGGAGACGTCGTTCACGAGCGGGGAAAATGGCCATAAGATCGTGTTCGACCCCAGAGATCTCAGTGAGACCGAAGAACGAAGCAAGCAACCGAAGTTGACTTTGATGGAGGATATACTCTTACTAGGATTGAAGGATAAACAGGTGGGCTTTTCTCTTTTCTCCTTATCTACCGCCCCTGTTTGGGAACGAGTAGCATGCGCATGCGACAGTCACTGACACCTGGGATTCTCTTGCTTTTTAGGGGTATCTATCGTTCTGGAATGAAAACATCTCCTACGCCTTGCGAGGATGCATTGTCATTGAGCTGGCGCTCCGCGGTCGGATAAGCATGCAAAAGGATTCCTCCCGACGACGGTTCCCACTCGCCGATCGGGTCATCGAGGTCGTTGATGATACATTGACCGGGGAAGTCTTGCTGGACGAGGCCCTGAAGATGATGAAATCAAGTGAAAAGATGAGCGTCAATGAATGGATCGATCTGATGAGCGGTATGGACACCCAAGCAGCTACCGGAATTGAAGCGTGCGCTAACGCGACAGCCAGGTGAAACATGGAACTTGATGAAGATTGGTTATCAGCTGAAGCAGGTGCGCGAGCGGCTCGCAAAGGGTCTGGTCGACAAGGGCATCCTCCGTACCGAAAAGCGCAACTTCCTCCTCTTCGATATGGCCACGCATCCGGTCGCCGACGGAGGCGCCAAAGATGACCTCCACCGTCGCGTGCGCGCCATCTGCAGCAACCGCACAGTGATCCTTCCTGCCAACACGTGGTTACCCGAGGATGCCGAGTACCGTTATCTCCGCTCGATTATCATGGTATGTGCGGCGTATGCGGCCAACGTGCTGGAGAACGCTCTGGTCACGATGAGCCACGAGGCTCGCGAAAGAGCCTTTGCGCAGGTAGACGAGCTGTTGGCAGAATATTCTCAATGGCCATTTGCCCGGAGGGCTGGTGGCTCGCAAGCTATTGGTGCCAACTTGGCCCAGGCCATCAATGATGAAGTGAACAAGAGCGCGGATCGAGAGCTTCAGATGGAGGTGCGTCCACCTTCCTTACTATTCATGAGTTTTTGATACTGACAATGGTCTAGATTGTTGCTGCATGTTTGAGCGTGTTTACAAGACTTGATTCCTTACTGTAGCGGTTGTAGTACCGCTGTTTTAATATACTCCCGTTTATCTTTCTCATTCTCGACTTTTTAATCTTTTTGATCTACCATGCCTTCGAACTCGGCAAGGTAATCCTTGGCTCCCTTTCTTGATGTAGTTCGACAGCATACGGGTTGGAACTGGGGCAGAGCATGCATTACTTTCTATCTGGTGTACAAAATCTTCCTTTCTGATTTCAATCTGTTTTCTTACGATCCGTCTGTTTTCTCAGTACCCCATACCCTTTGTTTCCAAGAAGATCTACATTGACGAAAGGGGATATGTATGTGTGTTTGATAGAGTGCATACATGAAACAGAGCTATGTCTTGATATTAATTTGACTAACTCAATTCATTTCTTGACATCCAAATGTGTTTCAAATTAATTGGTAGTACGTAGTATGCTGACATTCAACAATCTGTAATAGTCTAACACGTCGTGTGCAACCTTTTCGTCTCAAAGCATTCAATTAACCTTCATAACAAACATTCCCCCCCGTCTCGCCCCAGCCGCCCCCGCCGCCCCAGCATCCAAAAGATCCGCCCCGTTAACCAAATCCACAATACTCTCCGTCCTCCCCCGCGGCGCTTGTTCCTCCTCGACCAATCTCGCAATCCGTCCAAGCGCGTGTCCATCCGGTTCGACCGCGATAAACCGGCTAAACAGGTCCCGTTCACTATTGTCGTCCTTTTCCAAATGCTGCTGCGTCTGCGCAGGTGTTGAGTCGACGGCTGTCAAGACGGCGCCGTGGTCTTTGACGACGTGTGAGGAGTGTGCTTGGCGGAACATTAGCCCGTCTGCGCAGTCGAGGACGATGTCGACGGGGTCCCAGCGATTGCTGCGGAAGGGGGTTGCGAGGTCGAAGGAGGGGTCTATTGGGAGGGGGGCGACGATGGTCTCATCGACGTCATGGTTTTCGCGGAGGGCCATCTCTTGTTCTGGGGAGGAGCAAGTCACGCAGATCCAGGGACGGCGCTGGTTTGGGAAGAGAGATTTGGATCGGAGGAGTTGCACGGCTTGCATCCCGACTTCGTTGTCGTAGGCGTTTGTGACCAGCACGCGGAGGTGCTTGTGCTTTCCGTTGCTCGCATTCCGGTCTAGATTATCGTCCAGCCCAGCATATGTGAAAATAGCCTGCCACGCCGTAAGAGAAGGCAGAGGAATTGTAGCAGCCTCTGCAGCACTAATATTCTGCGGCTTAAATGCCAACTCATCTTCATACGCAAGCACATAATCTGCCGCGGCCCCATCCCTCGAATAACTCACCAGCCCAAAAACCACATCATCGACCTTAAACTTCGGCCCCTCCGCATTCCAATGATCCTCGCTCGGCGTGCTAATCACCGTCCCGCAGAGGTTATGCAGCGGGATCTGCGGCATCGACTGGGTGGGGTTTAGCAGCCCGGCTAGACGCACTTCATCGTGTGAGAAGGCTGTTGTTTGCACTTTGATTAGATATTGTGCTGGGGAGGGCTTAGGGACGGGGAAATCGGTGTCGAATGTTATGGAAGTTTGGCTGGAGACGGCGGTTGGGTCGTTGGGGGTTGTGGGGAGGGGAGTGTAGTAGAGGGCTCGCATTGTTGGGGGGATGAAGGTTTGTTCATCCATGGTGGCTGAGAAGGGCTTTGCGGGTTTCATGTTGCATTTCCTAGGTTGTGGATGCGATGTAGTTTAGTTGATATACTTTGAGTATAATAAGACTTCCCTGATAAAACAGCAAGTAACCTCAGAAATAATAGTTTGAGATACCTAGAGTTCCTCCAAGACGTTTTTGGGTCGGAGGGATATAAGATATAAGATAGTGGTAGTGAAGACCGTAATGCCCATGTCCTAATGTTGACGTATGTATAATTCCCCATAAGGTTCCACGCCACAGTACGCCATCCGCAAAACTTGCTTAATTTTATTCATCATCTGTTCAGGACAAATATTTTAAGGTTTTATTCTGCAGTATGATGCTGCAAGACAGGGATCTTGGTGTTGTTATTGGTTGCTGCATTGCGGGGGATATATGGATGTTGGTGCAGGCTGAAAATCATCTCGGGGAGAGGTTTCTGTATGCATAGCTAAATGGATATTCGCTGCATACTTTTGTCGTTCAAGGTCTTTTCTGAAAGAGTCAGATGAGAATGTCCGTGAAGGATTGCGTGTTTCTGCAGGAAATAAATCATGTTAGGCCGTCCCTGACACAATGGGTGTCCTCAACCAAAAGGAATGCAAGGGCATCCGACTCCATAGCCAAAACGTCGGATGGCATGATTTGCGCGGTAGCTTGGATGCTCAGAGAAGGTCAACATTTCACTATAAGGAGGTCGAGGGTGCTATTCTCACTCGATGATTCTCAAGTCATTAGCTTCCTTGAGGGAGTAGAGCGTTCTTATGCTATCCTAGTCCAACCCAGTGTCTCAAAAGGATTTGGTAAGCCTGTCTTGTAAGTGTATTCGATGTTCTATCACTTTGTATTTGTAGTGGCTGCAATACCGAATACACAATATATATCTTGAACTGTGAGACACAGCCAGCTTGGTAGTATCTTTGGCTTATTCGTATTACATTGTATACTTGGAATTGTATCCAGTAAGAATAGAATACCCTGGCCATTCCTGATGGCAAGAAAGTAATCAAGAGAAACTCCCGATTACCAGAACAAATGCATTTACAGGATTCCTAATCGAGTTAGTCATGAATCCTGACAGCGGAAGCTAGCCCGAAAAGGAATAAACTCGTCTGGTGATGCGAACTGCTTCTATGTACAGTTCCAGGTCGGTTGTGAGACACAGCAGCACCAGCGTGGGCAATCCCAATTACTTGATAAATCGAATGATGTATGAATGCATTCTCAAGAGGTGCTATACAAATACACCGCGGTAACGCAACCAATTTGTCCCTGCGGATTACGTCGCCTAGGCTTCGATGCAAATTTCTCCATCAAGCGCTAACCTGGGCCATGTGTACAATCCCGTTCACCCAGGCCAAGCTGAGGCGACCCTGATTGAAACATTTGAGGCTCTCAGTTGGCCTCGTACTTTCTGCTTAGATCAGGATGAGAGAAAGCCGCTTGACATTGGAAGATTTGTTACTCTTAGGGATAGCTACTTCGGAGTCTTGTCTTACTAAATTAGATACCTCTCAATACTATTTTGATCTTTGTATGCACTTAGTTGGTATCCATAGAATACATGGTGTTTTCATTAGGAAGTCATCCAACGTTTCATCCCCTTTGCAATCCCCAATCACGCATCTTTGGCGACATTGCGATTCCACGCTTCCACCTCTTTACACATCCCATCCAGCGTGTTAATGGGCGCAGAATACCCCAATCCACCCTGTTCCGGCTTCAACCGTGCATGCGAATCATCCGCAATAGTGTGCACATTAGATACAGAAAACAAAGCAGGCTGCAATTGCGCCAGGTCCCAGGACAGGGATGGTAGCAGCCACGACAAATAACGGTAATGAATGAGGGCATATAGCTCAACAGCATACGATATGAGGAATAGTGGGACCGCGGAGACGTAAGTGAAGTTCATGGGCGTTTTGGAGAGCGTGGTGAGCAGGAGATAGACGTCGCTGAAGGTGACAGGAGGGTTGGGGTCTGTAACAACGAAATACTGGCCCCCGATGTCAATGTCCTCTGAAATTGGAGAAACGAGCTGCTGTTCGTAGAGGAGATGGGCGATGGAGACGTTTTCGGCGTTGACGAAGTTCTGGATGATGGGGGCTGTCCATCTATTTCCTGTATTAGCTTGTAACTCGCGGGGTTTATGTATGAGACTTACGTAGGATTACCACCACTTCGCAAGTAAAGTCCAATAATACTGCCACTGCCATCCGCACCAATGCCGTAGATACCATTCGCAGGACGAATACAGCCCGTCCTGAGACCCGACTCCACGCCATCCGCAGCACGAACCAAATTCTCCGCTTGGTACTTGGACGCAGCGTAGTTTCCAAAGAATTGGTCGTGCTCCTTGGGCTGATCACCGGCTTTAACACTCAACACCTGAACCAGACGCTTTGGCGTGCTAATCCATGGCGGAATCCAGAATGACGCTCGTCGCAGTCCCGCAGAGCCGGACGACGTGGCGATGAAGCAACTCGCGCCAGTGGCATTTGCAGCTTCAAGTACATTGCGGGTTCCGTCAACGTTGACTGTAGTACAGAGGTGAAGTAGGGCCTTGTGGCGCTCTGCTGGGCGGATGACGGCTGCAGTGTGGTAGACGGTTAGTGGGAGCTGCTCAATGTCTTTGCTGGGCCAGGATTGCGTGAAGGCGTTAAACACAGCTATCTTGTCTGTGATGTTGGTCTTGATGAAGGCAGCACCCTGGTCTAGGGCTTGTTGGCGAGGTGCTTGGAGGTCCAGGATGCGGATTGCTGCTGGGGTTTCACCACGGGCTAGGAGATGAGTGACGATCCAGTTGCCCACGAGGCCTGCTGTAGTTAGCATTGTGCTTCTCTTTTCAAGGGAGAGGTAATTACCTGATCCACCAACAACGACATAGCGACGATTTTGTCTGGGGGGCAGATGCTGGGTCACGTCGACGGAAGTGTCAGTGTTTCGCTCATAGGCTTTCCTGACTTCTTCAGCGGTCCAGCGATGAGGTGAGAATTTGAGTGCCTCGTCAGGAACTAGGGTCATTCCACGATTGACATGGTAGAGATAGAGGGCCAAAATCAGGGCCACGATGGCGACCACGATGAGAAACATATTGTCTGGTTCAGGATAGCAGCGTGAAGGTTAGAGAGGGGAATGGAGGTTATGACAATGACAGCGATAGTTTGACCGTCATTTATCAGCATTCACCGTCTCTATACCCTACACTGTGTCTTCCCGAAACATTCAGAGCCGAGGAAATCCCCTGAAGTGGAAATTCCTCGGAGTTATTTATAGTGTGGTGATTATCAGATTAAATCTCGCTTAATCCGTCAGACTACTCTTTGGAACTATGTATTAACTACTTCCTTTCTCATTTCTATAGCATGCATAATTCTAAGTAACATGCAAAATTATATTATCTAATGATTCAGGGGTCTCAGACACAGAGAACAAGCATTGTCCGAAGTAACCACGACGATGCTTCATGAAAATTTCCGGTATTCGCTCTTTAAAACCGTTTTCGTTTACATGAATATGAGGAGGCTTGGATTTAGGGCACTCTAAGATAGCTGGACAAACGAACAACCCGGTCAAACTCGGTCACATTATGGAATATACCAGCAGTCTTTCGTGGAATGCTGTAGTCATAGTGTTCGTAGAGCTCTCTCTCTCTTCCGGAAGTCGTTCCTTTGAACCTAAATCCTATCGTATCGATCAATTGTTCTCGATTCACGCTTGCAGGTCGCTAAATCACCGAGATCGTTTCGATGCACGCTGGACGTTGGACTCAATGGGCTGGTCTTATCCTGGCTACTTTCCCTTCAAGGGGAAGCAGACAAAACAATGTAGCGGTGCAATGGCCGGAATAAAGCAGGTCTAGTCAAGTTTTTTGTCTCCAAACTGACTGATCAATGTGCATGTTCGGAAATGGTATGTTGCGAGAATAGCAAGAACTGTACATCATCAGCACAAGCCTATAAACCCAACAAGCAAACCAAATACATCATATCCCCCTCGCCAAATCCACATCCTGCGCATTCCGTACAGTCTTCTCATACCCCCCCAATGAAACCGGTCCAGCCGGAAACACCATAAGCGCCTCGACAAAGTCCTCTTTACCAGTACCTGGCACCAGATTTCTTACATATCCAAGGACATTCACCCAAGCACCCACACGCAGTTCCTCGGCTGTAATCGTCTCAAGCAACGGGTTGATGTCCACTGCTATAATGGCATCTTTTCCTGCCTGGCGGGGGTAGTTATGTTCGAGGATAAGGTGGCCTGTTGTGACATTGTAGGTTCTTACGCTTGAGGCATTGTTAGTTTATATTGTGGTTCTTCCATAGCAAAGCAAGCATGTATAAATGGGCTGGAGTCCACGCACCAGCCCAGGAATCGCACTTTGGAGTCCGATGGGAGAGAACTGAGCTGTGAGAGAAAGACCAATTTAGAAGGCAATGGTGTAGTCATTCCTGTTTCTAATTTACTCTGATTTTCGCATACATAAAAACGAATGAAAGATGCTCTCCGACCAACCTAAAAACAGCGGAGGTCACGTGTCATCGATCGGCGGCGCGTCATGACCACCGGAGGGGAAAAGGCAAGCATCATCTTCAGGCGCTCCCCAGCGAACACCTCGGATCATCCTGATCTTCGATTCCAGCAAAGCTCGATCGCTTGTTCTTATGGCCAGCAGGGTCCTCTTTACACCTTTTCGCGCTCTTATCGCCCGGATCGAAAACGTTGTTATCTCTTCATCCCACCACCTTCTAAGATCGACCTAGACGACGAAACAGACAAAAATCTCGATACCCAAGGCACTACGCAACAACCACGAAAGCCAATATGTGGTCCTGGTTCGGCGGAGCAGCAGCCCAGAAGCGCAAGGATGCGCCCAAAAACGCCATCCTGATGTTGCGGGAGCAGCTGGACATGCTACAGAAACGGGAGAGACATCTGGAGAATCAAATGGAGGAGCAGGAGGCTATAGCGAAGAAGAATGTAGCGGCAAATAAAACTGGTGTGTTTTCCAGTGGTTTTTTCCGGGAGAGGGAAGACGACGGGCTGACACTGGCAAACAGCTGTTGCGAAAGCGGCTCTTCGGAGGAAAAAGGTCCACGAGAAGAATCTTGAACAAACGACGGCGCAGATTACCCAGCTCGAACAGCAGATCTACTCCATCGAAGCGGCGAATATCAACCAGGAGACTCTGAATGCGATGAAGGCGGCTGGTTCTGCCATGACACAGATTCACGGGTCTATGACGATTGATAAGGTCGACGAGACGATGTACGTATCCTTTTGGCGGGAATGCGAAATGGTACGGGGACTAACAAGATCAGGGACCAACTCCGAGAACAACACCAACTCAGCGAGGAAATTGCCCAGGCTATCACCAGCCAGTCCGTCGGCGAACAACCAGACGAGGACGAATTGGACGCCGAACTCGAAGGATTGGAGCAGGAGGCTATGGACGAGCGTATGCTCAAGACAGGGACGGTGCCTGTGGCTGACCAGATCAACCGGTTACCTGCTGCCGCAAATGGAGAGCGTGAGTTTACACCCACTCCCTTTTTATGTCAGACAGTTTCTAATAACGACCAGCCAAGGACAAAACGAAGCAAGCCGAGGAAGAAGACGAGGAAGCAGAGCTCGAGAAGCTCCGTGCAGAAATGGCCATGTGATGATGCATGTTCCTCGTCTTTTAATTTCGTTTTAGCGTTTTCCTCCTTTCCATTTAAGCCTTGATGCATGATGAATGTTCAACCGGGAATACTTTGATTCTTGTTTTAATGCTTTTATTCATACTCCGTTGGCGTAATTGGGTTATCGTTTCTGGGGTTGTGTTTGTTTTAGGTTCGCTGATAAACCGTCGTACATGTGCTCAATGAGATTAACTACCTTTCCACGTATCTAGTCAATAATTTGACATTTTTATGGATTATTTGTATGATAGAGGTATCCTCGAAAGACTAACAAACATGAAACCTCAATTAATCGGTTTTGCAGCAAAGACGAAACTCCCTTTCTCCTAGAAACCCAATCCCATGCCGTCGAGCAAAACATAAAAAGGAGGGAAATATATCAAAAATCATAATCATGGAAACCACGCATAACTCTTCAACGGCGTCGTTCTCGCCGTATCCTTCCCCTCGTTACCCCATCTCTCCTTCCACTCCCACTCGCTCGCAGCAGACTCCAACAACGCCTCTTTACAATCCGAGGGCAACTCATCGAGGATCTCCGGGGTAACAAATTCGGGATGCTGCAGGTTGGCAGTACTGATAAGCCCATTGGAACCGAGATCGTGGACGTCGCCGTCTGGGCCAGGGATGCCGAGGTTGGAATGGGGTGGTGTTTCGTAGTGGATGTCGTGGATGGCGAAGCGGCGGGAGAATGGAGCGGGCACGGCTGGGAAAGGGGATTGCGTGGCGGTGTCTGGTTCGGTTTTTTTAGTAGAGGTGGTTTCGTCGAGTTGGTCTTGGGGTTCGTCCATGTTCTCATCCTTCTCCCCGTTTTCGTTGGAGGCGGGTTCCTCGCTGTCGGCGCCGTTTGTCAGTCTTAAGGATGACAGGCCGTGGGCCAGTTGGGAAGCGACTCGGGGGTCTGGCGGTGGAACACGCTCCCAACGTGCATGGGTGGGTTGCATGGTCTTGGGGTATTGCATTGCGTTTGTGTGAATATCGTAGGATCCTCCCAGGTTTGTGCGTCGGGCTGTGAGGATGGATGAGTTGTATGTGCTGTGTCTGTCAGCATCTTCAAGAGAATTAAAAGGGGTAAAAAGGTGATACCAACCTAGCTTCACGCGCGTGTTCCATCATCCAGTTAACGCCAGTCACCGTCACCTTGCGCTTCTTCGAGTCCACTACCTTGCCAGTCGGCAGAGGAATCGACGGACCTGCAGTGTGATAAACACTGCTGGCACCGTGCCATGCGACGTACTGGTTCCGGTTGTATGGCTCCCCTGGTGGGGGGAGTTTGTCCTCTGGTACTGCCAATTCGCCTTCCACTTCACCACGCTCGCGCGCAGCTTGCACGTAGTACTCGTCGGTGATTTTCCTACCTCCAACGACAATTTTGGCACCGAATTCACGGAACACAGACCGCGCCGTCACCACACCAATAGCACGCCCCTTGTAGGAGTGGGGGATAATGTGCCTGTCGATGAGGTCGCGCTTGGCCTCGTCGTCGATGATAATCTTGTAAAGCATGCGATGTTTCTGGAAGAACAAGTAGGAATCCCGGAAACCAATACAACGTGCCGGTTCAGTGGAAAGCATGTATTTGCGGTCGCCGCGGCTGAGGATTGTGAACGTGCGGACTCGGTACTCTCTATCACCCAAAAGGTTGCCATTATTGTCGACCTTGGTCTCTCCTTCAGCATCTTCCGGCAAAACCACCTCGTCGTTCGCAATCTCCATCGCCTTTCCTTCCTTGTCAACCGGGGCCTGCGTCACATGCGAAGCTCCGCGATTGCGCGCCCACCGACCACCACTGGCATTCGGACGGCCGCGTCGTCTCTTCGCAGGGGTACCGACATGGTTCGGAGCGGCACCATCATCCTGCAAGTCCCAGTCCGGTGGGCGATTCTTCGGCGGACGACCAATGCGGCGCTTTCGCGGGATTGCAGGTCGGCCCAGACGAGATGGTGAATCTGGGTGCGACGGGGTATTTGAATCCTGCGCTGGTGTCGCTGTGGCCGCTGGTGTCGCGGTTTCAGCTTCAGCTTCTTCTTGAGGCTGCTCCTGCTCGGTTTCCTCGGGCTGTTCGCTTTGCTCGGTTGGTTCTTGATCTGGTTCTAGTTCCTTCTCGGACGCGTCTTCTTTGACTTCTTTCTCTTCTTCTTCTTCTTCTTCTTCTTCTTCTTCTTCTTCTTCCTCCTCCTCTACTGGGGAAGGTTCACGCGAGGGGGCTTCGGCTTCAGCCATTTCTTCGTCTGATTGTTCGGGGGGTGGAGGAACATTTTCTATACCAGTCAGTCTCTACGTGTTTCTGTTTCCATCGACTTGAAGAATCGGAAAAAAAAGGAAGGGGAAATTAATTGACGTACTGATAGATTGAGCCGCTGCCTGAGCAGCTGCTCTAGGTTTCCTGGCCATGACTGGCACAGAAATTTAGGAAACAAGGTGGAAAAGGTTCGTAGACCAGCTCTAGAGCTGCCCGGGAAAAGAGGCTCTTCGCGACTTTGGCGTCGAGCGACGGGCAGGATCCCGTAATGTCGGCGGCGGATATATTATTTCTCCGATAATCTTTCGGTGCCTAGGGCAACGAGGAAGTCTCCCGGCGCCATGTGCTCTGAGCCCTAAGCCCTACGGATGCTTGGCGATAAGTCTAAGATTCCAATGACGTCACCCATACGGGCGTATCCATATGGGCATCAATCATTTGCCAGCATTAATGCCTCTATCGCGCATCCAACCCCTCGTCTAACGAAGCATCTTATTGATCCGGAAGTCCAAGCCAGGCTGGCCGATGACGCGCTCCATGCGCCTGTGATAGTCTACCTTGGTCGAGAGGGGTTGCACTGACTACGTCCAGTAGAGATCGGGTCGCCAGCGAATCTGAGTTCGATAATGATCCTTTGAACCACTCACATTCACATGCGAAGATGCGGTGGGAGTGATTTGTTAGACTCGGCGCGATATGCTCTGATACAAGCGGGATTAATGCGGGTACCCGGCTAGCCATTGAGGGGCGATTGCAGAATCCAGTGGCTGTCACCGCTGCTGTTGTGATTATTGCAAATGACTCAATCTACTGGTCGAGTCATTCAGTAGCCGCGTCGGATGTAGCAACGGCGCATGCTGCTAGATGTATTTACTCGTATTGGGTGGCTGGCTGGTTGTTCTGCAGTGAGGGAATAGGCCGATCGGGGTTGTTCAAACCACTCATAAACTGATGCAAGAGTCAATCGATATGCATAGTACTATCCCCTCTTCCTGCCGGTAAATTATGCCGTTGAATCTAGGGGGTTGTCGAGATGTAATAGTATGTCACGATGCACCCATTATGTACTGCATCCTATGCTCAGGACCCTCCGGTATCACAATAATCAACCATGGCTGTTATGGCGGGTGATTTGCAGGAGAAACAAGGGAGCTGACTCTCGGGAGCTCCGTGGTCTTATGTTGAGGGCATATGCATGTCTATTCTCAACGTGGTCCAGGCTGTCGAATTTGGAATATATATCATCATCCCGAGAGGTCGTGACTCAAGACTCGAAAATAAAGCGGATAGTGATGCCGTTTTGAATTCTAGTCTAGAGGTCCTAGCAACTTCGCAGCCAACAGTGTCACAAAAGTCCAGGATATGGGGGGGTTGGATAAAGAAACAGAAGATGACGGCATCTGGCATGCAGTATTATCATTTCCACCGCCGTATCCGGGGAAAAAATAGATACAATTCAGGGTGGAGGATTCCGATCCTGCAGAAGCTTTGTTTAGAGGCGATGTCGTGGCGGATGTTCTAGAGAAAGCATGCTATAGCGAAGGTCCAAGGCATGCATACCATCTAGTCATCCTGTTAACGTGAGTTAGCATGAAATGATATTTATCTACGACCACGTAAATGGTTGCTTGAGCTTGATGAGTTTCTATAACTAGATACAGTTTAAGTATAACGAGATGGCGATGATTCTATATTTACTACCGCGGACTTGTATAGATAGGACCGATTACCTCCAAGTCAGTTGATTTAACCATTCTACATCGATCCATTTGACCACTCACCTGCGAAAAGATTTTATTCTTTCTTCTGACTTCGCGCCTTTTCGACAGCAGGAATTGAACCATTGGATAACTCGGTCCCTGTCCACTATTATTCAGCCTCGACGCCACTAGGCATTCTGACTGCAACTCAAGCCATTGAGGCTGTTCATTTAATATGACTTGATTAAAATAAACCATAAAATCCACTCCATCGTTTCTTTTTTTTTGTTTTCTACAATCGCTCTTCCATTATTATTGATGTCTTTTGTGTTGTGGTCCGCCCGGCGCATCGAGACCTCTGAGTAAGAAGAATCGGACTTCGATCAGTGACTGTACTTTATTATTATTATCATCATCATTACTTTTTTCTCGTTTCTTTCTTTTCTCTTTGAATATCAAAACATCAACTTTATGTCTCAGCTTGTTCTGCAAATAAATCGGTGACCTTTAATAATAACACTCCATCGTATACCTCCCGAATCCCGAAGTCGTCTTCCTTGGCCCCGTTAACGTCAGTTATTTTCCTTTTTCTAATTTTTTTTTTCCCTCGACCAACTAGTCGACTCCGCACACCTCGACCTGCCACTTTACCACAATTACGAAGATAACAACCGACAACTACAATTACCAACGTTCGGGACGTTCAATCTTTATTTCCGCGCTCCTTCGCATTCACCGACATATTTGAAACTTCTCACGCTGCGGTGGCTAACGGGGAAAGCCTAATCGCCACTCTGCAGAGCACCGAAGTCCCGACTACTATTACGACTTGTTCTCCCCGCCATTCAGTTTGACGAACCTCATCAATTATAGCCTCGTTCTCGATACAACATATATTTCCTGTCGTGGAGGGTATTTTATGGAAAGAAGTTATGGCAACTGCTCAGGGTGGAACAGAACTGCGTGAGCAGTCGACACCGTGAGTAGCCACGAGCGAGCCTTCTTTTTTCTTCCTTTTTTTTTTTTTTTTCCATGATGTCTGCCCGTGGGATGTGGCTCAATTGTCCTTGTTATCCTCTTCATCATGGATAGTGGCTTTGGAATATGAAGAGAAAAGAGAAAGGACATCGGTTGCCGCCAGACGGACAAACAATCCTGCCCGGGCCTATGCCACGCATTTGATACCCATGTCTTTTTTTTCTTTTTTTTTTTTTTACCATTGCTCCTTTCATGCACGTGCATACACTTTGTACTTGAGTCACATCACACCGCGATGAAAATATAGGAATCGTGCCCAAGATCTGGTCGGGTCGGGAGTTTTGTTCCTGAAGCGGTTTCTTGACCCCCTGTTCCTTGTCACCTGTTCCTGCGCCAAATCAGCAGCTATGTCAACGTTCATACACATTGCTAACCGCTTTTTTAGACAACCCCTCCCTCTTCAGGACAACACAACCCACCGATCTCAAATGGGATCCAACAGTCCCACTTCTACCGGTATCACTACCCCGCAGCCGGACCCGACAGATAAGCTTCAGCCCTCCATTATGAACAATTACTTCCAGGTTGGTCCCTCCTCTGGTCCTAAATCAACGAACTCGTTCTACTTGCCCGACCCCATGGACAATCCACAATCAGATGCGCCTGTCGCAGATGCTCCGGAGAGCCAAAGCTCGTCTGGCCGCTCTTCCGTCTCCTCTGAGTCCTTGGTCATGATGGGCCGGGGCAAGTCTTCCGCTGCCCTGTCAGACAAGAAGTCTCACGTTTCGGAGAGTAAGCCAGTGACTTTGGGTCCTGCAAACCTACCCACACCTCCCCATTGTTCCGCCCATTCCCTTTTGCAGAAGGAGCCGGATGAGACAGAAATGGCGTCCTCGGTCCCAGACAAGGGCATTGGTTCTTCTATTTTCACCACGTTGAAAAGTTACCTTCCTGTTCCGTCCGGAGGAACTGCGGCGTCGGTCCCAGAGTCTACCGCACGGCGTCACACGTCTCATCCAGTGTCCAGTATTTCGGACAACACCGTTCTTGCATCTCATTTCTCCAACCCTTGTCTCCCTTCGCTGGCGGATGCCCCTGCAGTCGACCGTGACAAGCCACCTCGTGTTTCCATGTCTTCTGAGAATATGGTCAAGCTAACCATGAACGCGGCTGATGCGTCGCGTCTAAAGAACACGCCTCCTCTCACACCTCGTGCTATGTCTAATGACGGAACTCATTCTGAGAGTCACCCTACCAACGATAACAAGTCGCCTACATCATGCCCGAATCAACCAGATCAATCGAAGCCGCAGCAGATGGACGAAGCGACAGAAGAAATTGCCGGAAAGTTGGACGAAGTATTCCCGTCCGGCTCATCCTCTCGGGATCGTTCCTCATCGCCCCAATCTAACCCGGCGGTTGGTTCCCTTAAGGGCAAGCTGGTTGTCACTATTGCCGAAGCCCGAGGGCTACGACCAGGTTTCGATCCATATGTGGTTTGTGTATTCGAGTCAAACGAAGTCATTTCCAAGAGTGCCCACGATGAAGAAGAAGCTTCGATTGAGCGACAGCAAAAGGAGCAAGAAAAATCTGACCTAGAAGCGGGCCGCCCGATTGCCATTCCCATGAAGAGTCGACAGAGTAGCAGCAACAGTCTGCCTAGTTTGTTAGAAGGTTCTGATCAGAAGGGAAAGCTTATGACTGATCCTCATTGGAATCATGAGGCTGTTTTGTACGTTCTCCTCTCAGTCGTTGGTAACGTGAGTCGGTTACTAACAGAAACAGTGATGTTCTTGGCGAGCAATCTGAAGTCGATGTATCTGTCTATGACCGGAGCAACCAGGAAGCCTTCCTGGGACATGTACGGCTAACTATCAATTTGAACGAAGAAAATAATCGAATGGATGGATGGTACCAGTTGACTGCCCGCGGCGCGGGCGATACACAGGTCTCGGGAGAGATCCGGATGGAAATGCGATTTGAGACGACAGATAAGAAACAGGTCGGACCGAATGACTTCCAAATCCTCAAGCTCATCGGTAAGGGGACATTTGGCCAGGTCTACCAGGTGAAGAAGAAAGATACGCAGCGAATTTACGCGATGAAGGTGTTGTCGAAGAAGGTGATCATCCAAAAGAAGGAGGTTGCACACACTCTTGGCGAACGGAACATTTTAGTCCGGACCGCAATGGCGGCGTCTCCGTTTATTGTTGGGCTGAAGTTCTCGTTCCAGACCCCCACCGACCTGTACCTGGTGACAGACTACATGTCTGGGGGTGAATTGTTCTGGCATCTACAGAAGGAAGGTCGCTTCCAAGAAGCACGGGCGAAGTTCTACATTGCCGAGCTCATCTTGTCTCTTCAGCACCTACATGAACATGACATTGTGTATCGGGATCTGAAGCCGGAAAACATCCTGCTGGATGCCAATGGGCACATTGCGCTCTGTGACTTTGGTCTGTCCAAGGCCAACCTTACTCGGGATGACACCACGAACACATTCTGCGGGACAACCGAGTATCTTGCGCCCGAAGTGCTGCTGGACGAGCAAGGGTATACGAAGATGGTCGACTTCTGGTCTCTGGGAGTGCTTGTGTTTGAGATGTGCTGTGGATGGAGTCCCTTCTATGCAGAGGACACACAGCAGATGTATAAGAACATCGCATTTGGCAAGGTGCGATTCCCTCGGGACGCGCTCAGCACCGAAGGGCGGAACTTTGTCAAAGGTCTACTCAATCGGAACCCCAAGCACCGACTGGGAGCCAAGGAAGACGCTAAGGAGCTCATGGCGCACCCGTTCTTCGCAGATGTGGACTGGGACGCCCTGTGCGCCAAGCGGGTGATCCCGCCGTTCAAGCCGAAACTCAAGTCGGACACGGACACGTCCAACTTTGACCCTGAGTTCACCAACGCGTTTGACCAGAACGCACACCTGAACCAACACGCTGCGATCGTGGCTAACGGATTGATGCCTGGGTCGACGCCGCTGTCGCCGGGAATGCAGGCCAATTTCAAGGGCTTTACGTTTGTGAACGAGAGCTCGATGGACCAGCATTTCCAGGAAGAGAACGATGATCGGATGGATGAGGATCTTCGGATGGATGACCAGGCGTGGCAACGATCGCATCGGGCGGCGGAGCAACAGCAACGGATGAGTGGAGTTCAGAAGACGGGGGAGGGAGACCCGGGGATTTTCCATGTTGATGAGCATTTTGATATGTGATTTATATTCTTATTCCCTTTGGTTTTTTTTTTTTTTTTGTTTTTTGTTCCCCTTCTTTTTTTTTCTATTCCCTTTTTGTTCTTGCATGACTGGAGTCTGCAGTGGCATTGTTTATAGGACCTATTGTTTATTCCCAGAGTTTGTTATATGGATGATACTTCGGGGTTTTGAAATGCATAGAGAGTGCACTAAATTCCAAAAGCGAAGAGATGCAGTGTTAGTCATGCTTGGCGTCTGCACGGGTGATGGGAGGGGGGGATCGCCCGTGGGGCCCCCTTTTCACGTGCTCACGTACAATACAGCACTTAACTGTATGAGAGTAGCAGAGTATGGAGTACAACTACTTATGTATAGATAGCTGAGTTAGTTATCTTGCTATGCTGGCGTTGGAGGGTGCTTGAGACAGTGCTTTAGACGGTGCTTTAGACATGGTTCCTTGGAGAATAATGGGTTCATGTACAATTTGTCATTGGGTCAGTGCTATACTTATGGAGTCCGAGTCCGGAGCACTAGTACATATGTAGTACGATGAACATGGCTGCTATACTTGTAGTGGTACTACTTAGATAACCCCTGCAGACCCTGAAACACCCGGCAGGGTTTCAGCTGTGATAGGGATTGGGGCACTTGCATATATGCAGAAGTACCTGCGTTGATGTATAAAAGTTGATCTTGTAAACGGCACTGCAGGACAGGGGTAGTAGAATATGGGGTACTATGGCATGATTGTCTCCATGCAAGCATACTTGTATACTAGAACAGAACCCTGTCAGGCGATATATTTCTAGCTAGAGTAGTCTCTGCTCCGTAAAGTGTTCTGCCCTACTCTGCCTAATGTATTTACTCTCTCTCTACCCGTAGTTAGACTGTTTTTTTCGTTGTAAAGTCACTACTGAAAAGGGATGATTAGATTTAGAGTGCCAAGCGGTCCACCGAACTGCATCCAGTGGTACTGTTTGCTCAGTCTGTATTTATGTAGAGACAACCATGGGTCCGGAAGAGTAGTATATATCTATTTGGGAATAAACAGAGACATCATAATCATATCCCAATATTTTTTTCACATAGTACTTTGTACTCGTACTGTACAAGTACAAGTACAGAGAACATACAAGTAAACTCACGTAAAGACACTAACCACACACGGCTAGTTCTCTCCTGAATGCACCTCATGCCGTGTGGGTCACGAAGATCTTTCTTGATACGGTAAACATTCTCTGCGTCTTCCTCTCTCCTTTCCTACACTACTTACTCACTTTCTCTCTTCACCTCATCTCTGCATCTTTCTCTATCACATTCTTCTTTCTTTTTCTCATACATTCATTCATTCATTCATTCCTCAGTCGTTCCTTACTATTACTGTTACTACTACTATTATTATTATTTTTTTTTTTTTTTTTTTTTTTTTTTTTTTTTTTTTTTTTTTGCAGTCGTGTCTTATACCTGCCAATCCATTCGTTGTTCTTCCAATGTCGCTATGAACGCCGTTGCCAACACCGTAGCCAGCCCCGACGCTGTGCCCTATGCTTCCTCCGGCAACTTTTATCGCGATCTCCAGAGCCAGCAGCCTCCATCTCCTACCTCGCCTACATCTCCTACTTGCTCCGTCTCCTCGTTCCGTTCCAATTACAGTTTCGCGTCTACCGCGCCCACTTCTGCCTACTCCCCGACATCGCCTACTTCCTCCGCCTCTTGGCGCCAGTGCGATTCCGCTGCTTCTCTCGACCGTATCCTTGAACCCGTCATTAAGCGTCTGCCCCAGGAGGTCTACGATAATATTCTCGCTCAGCTCGAGGCTCTGCATACCGACTGCCACCACAATGGCTGTGTGACCTGTTTCCAGCGCGATCTGCATTCCCTCTCCCTCACATGCCGCATCTGGGAAAAGGCTGTCCGTTCCAAGCTCTACAATCGCATCCATATCGTCGGCAATGACTCCCCCGCACAACTTAAGAAATACCGGCTCAAACGCGGCAGTCGTCTCAAGTTGCTCCGCCGTACACTGCGAGAGCGGAAACTGCTAGCCAACCTGGTCTTTGAACTCCGCGTTCCCCAGATGGAATTGCTCTTCACTTCCGGGAAACACGTCGCTCAATGGGAGGAGTACCGCGATCTCGTCGCCTCCGTTGTCATGGTCTGCCCTAGTCTCGAACGTCTGCTTGGCCTCTCCATTCCGTACCATCACGAATTCGACCGCCTTACACATGCCCTTTCCACCCGCAAGAAGCTCAAAGAACATACCTGGGTAATTGGCGAGGCCCGCGAGACTTCTGAGGCATCCGAGTTGTCTCCACGCATTTCCTCCTGCCCCGGTAGTCTTGGACCCCTGCAGATGTTTGAGTTTCTTGACTACCATGCCTCCTGGTCCCATCTGGAGACCATGACCCTTTACGCCCTCGACGAGAACAAGAGCACCCTTGAACCCAGCATTTTCCTACGCATGCTCACCATGCTGCCCTCCCTTCGACATCTCTGTATCACTGGATTCCATGCAGATGCCTTTGCCGACAGCGCTCTGCTCTGTCTTCCACCTCTCGAGTCCCTGCGGCTCGAGCGTCTGCCCGGTGTCACCGACACCGGTTTGACTCAATACACCTCGCGGCCCGAGTCACAATCTCTCAAATCGTTGACCTTGATCGAGCAGAAGGTCGAGTCGTTACTGGTCATTTCCAAGATTCTCTCCTCCCTGCGCCAGCTGGAGCGTTTCCAGATCGTCCAATCCGGCACATGTCCGCAGGTTGAACCCGATGCCATGGTCTTCCAACCTATCCTGGCCTCCTCCACACTGAAATACTTGCATTGGGATGTCGCCGTTCCAAATCCTGGTACGGCGTTGAGCAAGCTGGACTATGCTCCCTTTGTCAAGCCCCCTAAGCACACCGATACCCCCAACTCTCACCTCGCCCAGAGCATCATTTCTGCAGGGTTCCCGCGTCTCCAAGCGCTGCGCGCTCCGTCTGACATTGAGCCCCCAGGTGTTCTGCAAGCCGTCTGTCAACCGATCCCCAAGGGGCAGGCTCTGCTTCAGCCGGATCGCTACAGTTTGCCCCGCAGTTCCCACGGTTCTGTTAAAGCACGGCCAATGGCCCTTCCTGCCGGCAACAACCTGACCTCGGCCCGCATCCGCGCCCAGACGTTTATTGATATGGCCGCTAAGGACTCCGAGACCGGGATGAGATGCTTGATTACCGACCATTCGGATTCCTACGTGCCAGACAATGCGTTGGAGGATGCCGAGTCTGATGACGATGATGATTTTGATGCCGATATGGAAGCTTTTGGATCTTGGTCAGCCCGCGAGCGGCCTCAGCTAAACCCCACAGCGGCAGCAGAGCAGAAGCAATCGAATGGGCCAGTTACAGTATTTGATTTTCACATGCCTGCATATATGGGGCGTACAGGGTCGCGGTCAACTTATCGGGACGTCTCGATTCCAAAGTTCATTTTGCGTCCCGATCTCCCTGGACAAGATGCGGATGGTGGTCTCGTTGTGTGGAAACACATCCTGGCAGCCAATCAGTCGCTCAACTATGCAGCTGGTGTCGGGGTACATTGCTTTGGGAATAAGATAGGGCCACGGCCGCCTCCGGAGGAGCCAGCCTCTCCGGCATCGACAGCCATCACGACACCACGATTATGGAGTAGTATTGGCAGTCGATCCATGATGTCCCTCAATACCAACAGTCCAGCAACACCCACAACACCCTCAACGCCAATGAGTTTTGGGTCAACATCACATCTCCCCTGGGAGAAAGAGACCTGCACAGGGTCATGGAATTACGGGCATAAGAGCGGTCGAGATTGGTGGTTCCACATGGAACGAGATCGTCCAAATCATATGGATGTGATCGATCTCAAGCGGCTATTCTAGCCCGGGCCAAAGGCCCAGCTTTTTTTTTTTTTTTTCTCTCTCTTTTTCTCCTTCTTATACCATGGGACACGGTACCTCAAAAAGGCACGCACCGGGATGGCGTTTATGGTATTGATGATGATTCTTTCGCTGTGGTCTGTATATTTATTCTTTTTTTTTTTTTTTTTTTTTTTTTTTTTTATTTCATCATTTCGAGATCTCCTCGGTTCCTTTCTTTACACACATGCTGCGCAGGTGTTTTCTTTGATTCTGCATATACTTGGCCATTATATATACCAATCTATATACCACCAGATAATGTTATTGGAACTTGGTTATTGCAAAATGGGAGACAACATGTTATGTCTTTTTCTTTTTTCTTTTGTGTTCCATGGCAGGTAGGACGGGCTAGGTTAGGTTAGGTTAGGATACTAATAACTACAACTGAGAATTATGCTATTGAAACTATTGATTCGTTTAACTAGCGTCGTAGATCTACTCCACATTGATCTTCCTGTTCATGATGTGGGCCAGCGTAGACCTATCCGCTTAGAAACTAGTGTGTTGGTCTTCCCCGGTTCCATGGCATAGTGCTCTGGCATTGCGAGGAAAGTTCGAACATTCGCATGTTTCTGTCGCTCATCTTCAGAAGGAATCTATTGTCTGCGACTGTCATGGCAACTGCTAATAGTTTCCCGTGAAACGGAACGCCACAGGTCGGGCAAGTTGTGGTTAGATGGAGACATGACAATGTTATCACTATTAGGTGGCTCTGCATGAACGCCAACACCACAGCACCGCCTTCAAGAAAGTCTTCCAGGAGCTGTACTTGGCAATTGTTTCAGAAAGTTGAGGAACAAGGTCTATCCTGGGTGTGTTTTCTGGGAAACTTAGATGGGATTTTGACCAACTGTCCCGTAGATGTCGATAACTCGTAAGAAGATTGATCGAAACCGTTATGTTGGTGAAATGTTTTTTATAGCTAAGAACTGAGGTTTCTCCGGTTCCACGTCTCCTGTCCCATATCGTGTTACAGAAGCACTCTGGAGGATCTTCGAAACCCTCGTAGATCCTTCGTACCACGAAATTTCCATTCCGATTATTAGTCATCGCAATAAGTCTCAAATGACAGTATAGAATCGGAAGAGGCACGGGATCATCTCAATGCCAGCGCGATATCTGGCCCTGCTACCTTGCTTTACCAGAATCCGTGGTTCTCTTGACAACTTACCTAGCCCGAAGAATTAAGTAAGCTAGATAAAGCCGGGGTTTTTTTGCTTGTTCTGAACTCGAGTCTGGCCATGTCGAGAAACAAGGTTGATAAGAGCCCCTTGAAATGATTTTGTGCTGCAGTCCAGTTCGTCGAGGTTTTCAAACTGGGAGCTGAGAAGGGTTAGCAATCTCTGTAACTCCAACCCAAAGAGCCTTATGAGCTATGTTTGCCCCCTCCCCACCGCGCACCCTAAACGCCATGTAGAACGACTACTGCTAGCCCTACAACAGGAAGCTAACCACTGGAAATTCCAATTCCGGGTGCACGTCTAGTACATCCTCGATTTATGCGGGTTTCTGAAAGAAGTATACGAACAGTTGGAGGATGCCCTCTGAGCAAGATGTAGTGGGTTTCGCCTCAACGTCGAGAAGGATTTAGGTGAGATTAACTGTCGCATCTATTTATTAGGAATGGCGATGGCCGGGGCCGGTAGTTCGATGAATGTCTTTATTGAAAGAGTTTATACACACACATGTAGTGAAATATCGCCTGGAAGGGTGTGCTCTTTAGGCTTTATTGCTCCTCTTCGCCGTTTGGTACGAGAGAGTACTAGGAGTACTTACCCTCGGGTTGGGGCACAAGATACTGGTTGCACTTAGCCAGGCATCGCCAGAATAGCGGACATGGTGTGGGGAGAACGGTGCTTGTCATTATGTAGCTGCTTTGACTATACCTCGTGGCTCGGGGAGCCAGTGTTTCGCAATGCAGAGCCTTGATGCAGCCTCTCCCGCTGCAAGTCAATTATGATTCGACTTTGTTTGATTACCAAATAAATGACAGTCGATGTCCTCATTAAAAGCTAGATACAGCTTAAATGCAGCTGTTAAATTGGTGCGAAAAGCGTATATGCTCCCTGGTACAATATCAATAAATGCAAGGGGGTTGGTAAAAAATACCACAGGAATCACCTCGTCGTCTGATATTATGACCAACTCACGGTTTGTTGTAACGTAGGTGTAGGCGAGAGTAAAGTAATGACAGTCGAGTATGACCCAGAGTGCTCTCATAGTGGACCATCTGCATCTTTTCCTCATTGAAATTGTCAAGTGCTTTTCTGCATTACTGTTCATCATTGTTGTCGAGACCAATGTGCCTGCAAAAGTGCATTGCTTGACCCACAGCGGCCGCTGCGTTCTTGAGAGGGAGTAATAACGTCTCTATGCCTATTAGTCACTCCAATTCCAGCGATATAGGGTGGAGGAAGTGGAAGAAACACCTCGTCCTAACTGAAACCTGGTAAATACATTTGTTCAAAACAGAGACCGTCTGCTCCTCTTCGTAATTGTGGCATGAATTCCGAAAATCTGCTTCGAGCACCACACTGGGAGCCGCAATTACACAGTTTGGTGTTTCTCTGAATGTCTTTGGAGGGCATCCTAGGAAGCGTATAAGGCGTGCTCAACGAGTTTGGATGAGTGTTTTGGTGACGTGGAAATTGGATTCGGGGGACACTATGCATGTGAGGACGGTTGAGATTTGGACGTTGGAGGGGAGTATGGATGGGAAGCCACAAGTTAGTCAGGTCGAGGTATGTGTTTTCCTCCTATTTGAGCCTGTGGCTAACTCATGTAGGCGAACTTCCTTGTGTCGAAGATACTAGAACCTGCTAGGTAGGGTATTGGATTGACTCATGGGATGCTGTTTGGTAGGAATATCAGACCAGAATGTAATGCTGGGTATATCTTTGATATGCTTCTTGATACTCTACGTAAGGAGGCTATTAGACAAATGGAGCGGAGGTGGTTTACACCGGCTCAGTGATCGTGGCCAATGTAACACTTCAAACGAATTTTCATTGCACATTTATGATTATTGGTAGGGGGATAAATTACTAATGGCTTGAATTGCTCAGAATCCTCAAATTACATATATGGTAACACATGAGAATACCAAGAAATGAAAACAGGTAGCATTCGCCTAAACGTAAATACCCATGTTGGTGTCCTTCTTCTTCGCCTGTACTTCCGCAATCGCATCCACATAGTTTTCATGGTTGATCTTGCTCTGTCCCTTCCGGAGCGCAATCATACCTGCCTCCACGCAAACAGCCTTCAGCTGCGCACCACCGAACTCGTCTGTGCTACGCGCAAGTTCGTGCCAGTTGATGCTGTCATCAGCGGCCATCTTGCGCGAGTGGATCTGCAGAATGTTGGCACGAGCCTCTTCGTTGGGCAGAGGGAATTCGATCTTGCGGTCCAGACGACCGGATCGGAGAAGCGCAGGGTCGAGGACGTCGACCCGGTTCGTGGCGGCGAGGACCTTGATGCGGTCGTCCGATGCAAAACCGTCCAGCTGGTTAAGGAGTTCAAGCATTGTCCGCTGCACTTCACGGTCACCGGACTTCTCGGAGTCGAAACGTTTTGTACCGATAGCATCGAGTTCGTCGATGAAGATAATTGAAGGAGCCTTCTCTTTGGCCAATGCGAAGCAGTCCCGGACCATCTTCGCACCATCACCAATGAACATCTGCACCAGCTGCGGACCGGCAAGCTTGAGGAAAGTCGCGTTTGTCTCTGCGGCACATGCACGAGCAAGGAGCGTTTTACCTGTACCAGGAGGACCGTACATCAAAGCACCTGCAGAAGTTAGCAAAGGCATCAACCGTATATAAAACAGAGATAGACATACCCTTTGGTGCCTTGATTCCAATCTTCTTGAACTTCTCCGCCTCCTTCATGGGCCACACAATAGCTTCGACAATCTCCTCAATTTGCTTATCCAAACCACCAATATCCGTGTACTTCTCTGTAGGCTTCTCATCGACCTCCATTGCCTTCACCCGGTTATCATATTCGGCGGGTAGCGTATCCAACACAAGGTATGAGTCCTTGTTGACACCGATCAAATCACCAGGCTTAAGCTTCTCGTGGTCTACCAGACCAATCAAAGGGAGATAAATTGTCTGGCGAGTCGAGGTTTTGATGACAGCGGACTTGCCCACGCGTGTGGCATCCAGGTCGATGTTGGCGCCCTCTTCAGCGGCGTCGGCTTCAACATCCAAGTCAAGCAATTCGACAACATTTCCAACGAGATACGGCAGTTGCCTATGATCCGTCAGCGATTAGCGACATACTATTTCCATTATCCTGCTGTAGTCCACCCGAAGTCGGAGATCTATTAGCCATACCTGTTGTTCTCAACCTTCTCTTGATTATCCTTAACCCTCTCCCTCATAGTGTTCTGTTCGTGCATCAACCGCTGGTATTCGCTCTTCATGATACGCAGCTCATTTTCCAGCATCCTCCGCCGTTTGACGATATCGGCCGTACTCGAACTGAGAATCTCCTCATCCAACAGGCCTTCCTCCTCTTCCTTTTTCTTCTCATCGGCGTCTTTCATCGCGGCATCGCCATCGCTGCCTTCTGGTTTCTTGCCATCGCCGTCGCCATCGCCTTGGTCCTGTTTCTTGTCTCTCACTTCACGCTCAAGGTCATCGAGATCTTCAAGAGTAGACATGGTGGGCGGAGTGGGTGTGTGGCAACGTCAGTGAATTAGTGGAAATGTGCGGAAAGAGGAAAATTGAATGTGAGTCGTTAAAGATTAATGTGTTGAAAAGGGAAGTTCGGAGAAAGATGACAAGGTTGGGAGATTGGGAGCGAGAGCTGTCTGGATGGATTCCGGGCGACGATGTGAGCTCCGGCCAAACAACGTCAGCCGCCGGTGTTTCACGTGACCCTTACAAATAGACTACCCTCCGCAAATTCACTGGGGGTATGCTCTAAATCAAGTAATTTACATGCTTTTACTATGAGTATTTCACAAAATACTCTATTCAATACAGTTTGAATCGCACTCTCGTCAAGAGAGCTTGTCCCTCGTCCTTCAACCCACTCGAACAGTCAAGGTCTTCTTGATGCTCCAGCACCTAGAACAACATGTTAGGATTGCTCTCAGAATTGTACGTATTTCCGAGGTTTCGCAAAACAGCCTCACGACCGAACTTGAGAAGACGGTAGCGGGAGAGGAAGTCGTCGTTGTTCACTAAGGCAAATCAGTATCATGCATTCCCGCGGGCCCGGGATGACCAAGTATACGCACCGTAGCCACCACACATCCTACGCTTTCCGACAAACTCTGAACGTCCATGGAGCATTCTCCAGTTGTCAAAAACTTGGAGCTAGTTAGCCATGTCTAAGGAAAAGGAAGGGGTGCACATACTGAGCGCTGTTCCCGGCTGGAGTTGTGTCCAGATTTCCAAGTCCTTCCGTTGTATGATTTCGTTGAAATGTCGTGCTGCAGAGTACCATTCTTCCTGTTCCTTCGAGCTCCAGTCCACTTTGGCTGCTCGATCGTAATTATTCCATCGAATCTGATACAGTTGCCGCTTGAACGTGGGATGAGTGACGAATACAGGATATTGAATGGCAGGCTGAATGCACGCATCTTCGTTTCCACTGGAGTGGAACGGCTGCCGATACTTGTACAATGCCTTAGCGTGCTGAGGATTTTCGAGTTTCAGGAGTTGGGCTGCCCGGAATCCATCAACAAGTAAACTTTCCCCTCCTTGACCATCAGTGTGGGACAGGAGGTGGAACAGTTGAAGTCTGGCGGGGTCAGTAAAATAAGTGTTATCCGTATGTGCACCAAGAAACTCCGTCGTGTATGCAGTGTCCTTGTAACTTAGGTCTGCTGTAAAATCCCAGAAGCCACCTTTAGAGTATCATTAGCAGCAGCACTCATGTAGTTGATTGCCGAGAGATCATACCGTAGTGGGTATGCCTGACAAAGGCAATCCTCTCTATCAGTTTTTGTGTTGCCTGTGGTTCGACAGGAACGCCCTCGACAAAGCAGAATCCCCAGTCATACTAGAAAGATATCAGTATTCGACAAGTCCGTTAGCATAAGGAGTTGCCGAAGAGAGCCTACTATCTTCTCAAGCCAGTCAAACACGGCTTTGTTATCTTTCATGACTTCTTCGTGTTTGACAGTGGGATAAGATGAGTTTGGATCAGTCGGATGGAACTTTCTGAAGCGCCTAACCTGAAACATTAGCAAGATAATGCATAAGCTATGAGAATGCCAAGGAAGAGCTCATTTACCGCAAAGACGGTCCTGGTTTCGAGGGGTATGGTCTCTCGGGAGATTTGTTTTGATGTGCAAGAAGCCAAAAGATAGGATAGACACCAGTATGGCCATCAGACCCTGGGTATATTTAGCAATGGTAATTTTCGGTGTCGTTGATAGACTTACAATCGACTACAACGGCCCGACTTTCATATCTGACCTTGTTGGCACTGACATCTTGCGGTATCTGGAGAGAATCGGTTAACGTTCATTACGTGAAAACGCGAAAGGAGTAAAGTACAGGGAGAATAATACCTTGAAAGTATCCACACTCCGCTGTCTTGTGTCTGGGTGGATACATTTCGGACATTGGCAGTTGTCCCTAGATGCTCAGATGAGTTTCTTTCTTTTTGTATTTCCATTCTAACGTCTCAGGGATTAACTAACCTGAGCCAGAATTCTCCACTGTAGAATAAGGTGAGCATTGACGTTCTTCGTATACTTTATTAAAGGCTATTAGACTTACTAAAATGCAATGGCTGGCCTCCCCTTAACGACAAATTCCATTTCAATGTACCCAAGAAATTTCTTGACTTTTGGTGGGATATTCTCTGTCCTATTTGCTGCCGAGATGCCCCCCGTTTCAACTACCATTTCCTGCTTCTCAGATACAACATCTTGAGGCCCCTCAGCTGCAAAATCAACCGGAGACGAGAATCGTCTAGTAAACTGCAATGGCTGCTGCGGCGGCGGCGGCGGCGGCGACGGCCTAAGCACCACCGATAGGCCCCGGGAGTTGACACGCTAAGCAGAATGAGCAAAGAGCATCCTGTTAAATTAGGACATCCTATAATAAAGACATACCAAGTTGATGTGCTTGGGAGTAAATGAAGCGCTAATCATCATATTAGCATTTTGCATGAAAATTTTAGCCGCGGGGAAACGGTCATACCTGGCATTCTTCCAGGGGCTAGCAAGCACCCTGGAAGACGAGAGACGAGGCATACTCATCCTAGAATCGTATAATGGCAGCTGACTTGAAGAGTACCGGGTAGTTCAAGGAAGTTATGGAGAGACGTCTCCACCTGATTGCATCTGTAGTCACGTGATACAACCGTACAATACGGGTAAAAGGAAGTCAGGCAACAACTCTGCAGGGATTGCGATAGCTCTTAATATATTCAGGTGAGTGATATTCAGAGTAGATAGCGAGATGTTCTGCTTCTGACTGTTTGTGCTGGGAAAGATCGTTCGTTCCAGTGGCCTGAGCTACCGAGTACACGGAAAACATACTGTTATGCAAGGACTGTTTTCTTTTTTCTTTCATATATATATAATATATAGATAATGGTTAAATAGATAATCTGTAAATATTCATCCTTGAGTTATATCGCTCAGAGCTTGCTCTTCGGACCAACAACCTTCAACAGACAACGGCCATTGCTCAAAACGGCCTTGCCCTTGTCATTCTTGGTCACGAACCGGACTTCTTCATAAACGTCCTGGAAATTGCCCATCCGCCAAATCTCCGTGATAAGTTTGTCGCCTGGTCTGACAGGCGAAGCAAACCGGGCCTGGAATTCCTTGAGGTTCTTGGGGTCACTTCCTCCCAGCTCGCGCAGAATTCCATGGGCAGCAGAGTTCCAGCTGAACAGGCCGTGGATGATGATACCTCCAAAACCCATCTTCTGACCAGGCTCTGGGGTAGCGTGCAGAGGGTTATAGTCGCCGTTGAGACTTTTGAAGTCGGGAGTTAATATGGAATGTTCAAGACAGGTATTGTGAAACTTACCGGTAAAGATGAGCGGTCTCCATAGTAGTCTGAACCACATCGATAGCGTCTGGGCTTTTACCCTCCGGGGGTGTGTAGCTTACGGTACTTGGACCTTTCGGTCCACCCCAATTCCCCTGACTAACAAAAAAGTTGCTGCTCACAGTCTTCGAGTACACTTCTCCGGTCTCTTTGTCCACAATCGATTGTTCCGTCTCCATAACCGTTCCAGGCTTTCCTTTGTCGTAAACACCGAGAACCTTATTCCACAATTCAAACTTCTTGCCGGCGCTTGTTGTTGGAAGGGGCTTCAGGATGGTAAGCTTCCGTTGACCATCTACTACGCGGCGGTAGTCGAAGTCCGGGATACCGGGAACCGGAGACGCCTGTGAACGCGCGTAGAAGTCGGTGACTTCCTGGTCAGTGAGTTTGAAGGCTTTACGAGAAGTTAGTGTGTCTGGCTCAATATATGAAGGGATCTGTCATTGCGTACGGAGGATCAAAGGGTAAGTTGGGAAGACGGAGAAGTTGGGATGGAGTTCCTAGATCAAGGTTCAGAAGTGTTGGAGACATCAGGATTACTGGATATCCTAGCTTACATATAGAAAATGTAATTCATCGGCCTTGCAGCCAATGCTGTTTGCAAACAGCAAGACATCGCGTTTCTGCCAGGAAACTTCCTTAGACGCGAATTCGTGACCAGCTCCAGGCGCCGACATCGTAACGGTGATTTCAAGTTTGGATTCGCGATAAAGAATCTAATGGACTCAGGAGACACACAATAACGACGGTTAATTGACTCGAACAAACAGAAAGCAGTTAATTCCGTTTGCGCCGCCCTTTAAATTGATTGTCTTGCGGGGCTACCGAGCGAGCCGAGGCTCAATCTGTATAAATCCGAGCGCCGTCTCATCCGGCCAATAAAAACCAGCAAAGCGATCAGATAAAAAAAAAAACACAGTTTTCAGTAGGATCTCATTAAAAAGCCTAAACAATCTATGAATAACGTCGGAGGTGGCTAGACTGAGCATCGACTCGGACGGGGTATCTACTTTAGGAAATTCGAGGAGCTTCATAATCGTCTCTGTCCGTATCGCGCCAAACAATGATGCAGTTCCCTTTCCTTCCAATGAATAACTCAAATTAAGAACGCCGACATAAAAAAGACCCTAATTGATCATTGTTCACCCAATGGAACCTCTGTTTACACCATGTCGTTCATATCGATCATGCGCATTTGCTGCCAGGTCGTCGATATGCTAAACCACAGGCAGGAGAAATTACCGAAAGAGATTTGCAGAACGTAGTATCGAAGAAAGAAATTTAACACCTGGGTATGTCAGTTTTCTGATCCGAAAATAGTACACACGATATAATACGTACATCCGGAAGAAGCAACCGTTCTCGGCGTAACGCACAGGGTCTGCGGTTTCGAATTTGTAATTGATGCCGATATCGAGGTCACGCTTGTTCTTGTCGTTCGGCTTGTTCTCAATCATACCGGTAAGAACTTCTCCCTCCTCCATGGTAAGAACATCACGCAAATAGAAGACAGTCTGCTTCCAGTGGGTATACCTGGCATGAGGGCCAGTGGAAAAGCTGATGGGCTTGTGGCATGCGGTAAAGTCAATATCAAACCAAGCAATCAGGGCATGGACAAAGTCGTTGCGCTTGGCAGGAAGCGAGAAGGGAGCCTTGAAAGCAAGGTCCGAGGACTGGACGGTGTAAAGATCGAGAGTGATGATCGGGCAAGGGTCGCTGACAACAGCCTTGAGCTCGACTGTGTCAACGAGAGGCTCTGTAAGAGCAATATCCTTCATGGGGCTGTAGTCAAATCCCCACACGTTGTCCCAAACTGGAGAAAAGGTTAGGCTAAGATACCAAAAGTTCCAAACCCTGACAGTAAAACTTACATCCAATTTTGTCGTCCTTGTATTCACCGTCCTCGATAGCAGCCACATACATGGTAGCCTTGTCAGGGAAGATCTTGCCTCCGGGATTAAGGTACCTGTCACGCGCATAGAGGACAGTGTCCAACATGCTTTCATAGAGAAGGAAGTATCCCATCCACTCAGAGATGATAATGTCGACCTTGGGGAAGGGGAGCTCAACTTCCTCCATCTTTCCCTGAAGAAGAGTGATCTTGCTGGTCAGGCCGTTGACTTCGACGATCTCGCGAGCCTTTTCGATGATTGACGACATATCGACACCAATTACGTGTTTAGCACCGGCCTTAGCAGCGAACCTTTATCCACGATAGCGTCCATTAGTATAAATCCCTTGCCGTGGGAACTGTAGTTTCTTTTTGTACGTACATGCTGAGAATACCGGTTCCGCACCCGACATCGAGAACAACCTTATCCTTGAAAACGTGGCGGTTCTGGTAGATAGAGTCACGGTACGACCTCGTGCGAACATCATCTTTCTATGAAGAAATCACAAATCAGCATAAAGTTGGATTAATGGTGGTGAAATGGTGGTGCTCACAAGCATTTCCTCATGAATGCCTAAGTGGGGGGTTGCGAAGTTAGCCACTTGTATACCAAATCAAACGGAATTCTGGAGACGCAATTACCATGGTGGTCGTAGCTATTGTATTGTTAGCATATTGACATATAATTCAGGATGGTTGGAGATTCTTCGTACCTAGTGAAGTAGCGCACTTCAGCATGGTCATCGCCAACCATACGATCCGCGCTGCTGGTCATCATAGCAGAGGGGTCTACAGACGACTGTCTCTCAGACATGTTGAATGCAAATCGCAAATCGGATTCCAAAAAGAATGGAAATTCGGAGGGCGTCGATAAGAATAAAGAAGAGGGAGGGGACAGACACAGGAAAAACCAAACGATAGTCCTCTATGCGATATGGAAGATGGTGGTTTGCCGCGAGCTTTTTTTTTTTTTTTTTATCTCCGCCATGTTCCAATCAAGGTTAGTCTCTGCTCCAGATCAGACTAGCCCGATTTAGACTCAAAATCATGTGATCATAGTGCCCCATCCTGATTAGGGTTGGTTGTTACATTTATAACAACTCACCACATGTGTCAATGGCGATCATGAGGCCTTCAATTTCATTACTAAAATACGGCATTGTCTTCACTCCCCTTTTTCCATTGGCATGCAATGTCTGTATCGGGGAAAAATTGCCAAGACTCCATACTGCCGGCGGAATTCACTCCGCCCGCTGCGGCCGCCATACGGGAGCTACATTCATTGCGGCGCTTCTCCTGAAATTCACGCGCTGAAAGGTGCCAGTACTTGGCAGATTTGTCACAATGGGCTTGAATGCTAGAGGGAGAACGTTCTCCTGTATTTTTGTCTTTTTTCTGTTTGCTACCTTGATTGGAAAGTCTTCAGCTTCTTTGGGGGATCACCTCCCGGAGTTCAAAGAATGTGTCAAGGTAGTTTAGCTGTTTACTTGGATCGCAAAGGCCAGCTCACAAACGGTTCATTAGGTCTGTCAAGCTGAGAATTGCAAAGATGGCAATTCGGTCATTCGTATGTTTACCTATTTCTTTTTGCTATGCGATTGCTTCTTGCTAAAGGGACTGTACTTAGCGCTCCATCTCCGTCTCATGTTCTGGAACTGTCCGGCTGAATGCGATTATACCTGCCAACACGTCGTAACCGACCTTCGGGTCGCCCGAGACCCTCCGATGATCACTCCTATCGTCCAGTTCCATGGAAAATGGCCGTTTCGCAGAATGATCGGCATGCAGGAACCGTTTTCTGTCCTCTTTTCTCTGCTCAACTTTTTGGCCCATTGGCATGGCATTTCTCGAATCCGGGAATCGATCCCAGCCTGGCATTCTCTCCGGAAATACTATATTTCGTTTGGATACTGTGGTCTGGCGTGTTGGACTTTTAGCACGATCTTCCACTGCAGGGATTTCCCACTCACAGAGAAACTGGACTATTTCGGAGCCGGGGCGAACGTCATGTATGGTCTCTATCTTGCTGCTATCCGGGTCTTGCGCCTAGACCAGGAGAAACCCCGATTTAAACCGACGTTGCGCCGCCTATTGACTGTGCTCTGCGCTGTTCTTTACACTGTGCACGTGTGCTATCTGAGCTTCTGGTCATGGGACTATACCTATAACATGATTGCCAATATCGTGATTGGAATGATATCGAACGTACTGTGGGTTGGATTCAGTATCTATCGGTATCAAAAGCAGCAAAAATTGTGGACCGCTTGGCCAGGAATGATTGTTCTCTGGATTATATTGGCCATGAGCCTGGAGTTACTGGACTTCCCCCCCTGGCATGGGCTGGTCGATGCCCACAGTCTCTGGCACCTCGGGACTGTTATTCCGACTGCATGGTGGTACTCGTAAGTTCTCCTTGATTCTCCTTCGTATTCCCTCACGATTTGACTGGCTGACGGTGGTTGTGACTGGTAGGTTCCTTATCAAAGACATTCAAAACGACGTAGCTGGGATACGATACAAGGCTTGAGTTTGTGGCTTTGGGAGCTCACTCACGCCTTTGGATGATATTCTCCCTACCGGAGTAATCTCTGGTGGCTGTGGATGACCAATCCAACCCTGTAATTACCAAATCTCACGAAATAAAAGCACGCTAGACTCCTTGCAGCACACAGTACATACATACTTCTGTATTGCCAGCTGTCATACATACGGCGTAGTTCTTCTGGTATATACAAGTAGTGTTATTTCCACCTCGGCCTCCACCGCTCACCGCTTGGGCCGTGGCAGTATTGTCGCGAGCAGTTCTTCCCACCATGTGCCACAATCGCTGTTTCTGATTTATTTTTCCTTGCTCGTCTGTTTTACTGGTAATTTCCGCTTTTTCTTCTTTCTCTCCGGAGTTTTCTCTTTCTTTCAACATTTGCTTCAGTTCTGGAATCCCTCTAAATTGTCTTTTTCCTGTGTGTGGACATAATGGCGTCTCCGACTCTTAAGAAAGCGATCACGGAAGCAGCCCTGAATTATACCAAGCCAGAAGGGGCAGTCTTCCAATATGGTACTGCTGGGGTAAGTGGTTTCTTACTAACGATATATTGTGAATGGTACTGATTTTGTCTTTTGTGTCCAGTTCCGAATGAAGGCGTGAGTTTTCCCTTGGGGAGAATCAACTCCTCCAGCCCCGCCTCCACGAATTGACCCCACGATCGCCCCTGTTTTCATTTACGTTACAAGTACACTTTGACCAATAGGTATACGCACGCAGTGATCTTCTCAACACGGTTGTCTTCGCTGTGGGATTGCTCGCCGGACTCCGGTCCAGGAAGCTTAGCGGACAATGGATTGGTGTCATGGTCACGGCCAGTCACAATCCCGCGCAGGACAATGGTGTCAAGCTGGTTGATCCAATGGTATTTTGCCTTTTTTTTTTTTTTTTTTTTTTTTTTTTTTTTTTTTTTTTTTTTTTTTTTTTTTTTTTTTTTTTCGGTAAAATAAAAATGGAATGGGCGTGGGCTGACAATTTTGTATAGGGTGAAATGTTGGAAGTAAGGCTTAACGCAAACTTGACTCCGATTGATACACCTCGCTCACGCTCTCTGGATAGGCTGAATGGGAGGAACATGCAACCAAGCTCGCCAACGCTCCGTTGGATAAGATTGCCGATGTGTACGGAGAATTGATCCAAGAGATCGATGTTAATATGGAGAACCCGGCTCGTGTGGTCTTCGCTCGGGATACTCGTGCATCTGGCTCTCGTCTGGTCAGTGTGCTCAATGCTGCACTTACCGCTACAGAGGTCGAGTTTGCCGACATGAAATATATGACCACTCCTCAACTGCACTATATTGTCCGTTGCAAGAACACTCTCGGGACACAGTATGAGTACGGCGAGCCTACCGAGCAGGGTTATTATGAGAAGCTTGCCGAGGCTTTCAAGAGAGTGATGAGGGGCGTTAAGGCCAAGGGTAGCTTGACTGTCGACTGTGCGAACGGTGTTGGTGGACCTAAACTGAGGGAACAGATCAAATACTTGCCCGGTGCTGAGGAGGGTGGTCTTGATATCAACGTCGTCAACGACGACGTCATCAACCCCGACAGCCTGAACTTCGACGTATGACACCACTCTCCTACACCAAGGCAATCACAAACTAACTTTTGATTATTAGTGCGGTGCCGATTATGTGAAGACTAAGCAACGTGCTCCTCCATCTTCTAAGGCCGCTGTTCTCGACCGTTGCGCCTCCTTGGACGGTGACGCGGACCGTCTGGTCTACTATTTTGTTGACGAGAGCAATGTCTTCCGCCTCCTTGACGGTGATCGCATTGCCACTCTGGCCGCTTCGTTCATTGGCGATCTGGCCCGAAGCGCTGGAATTGCGCAAAACCTTAAGATTGGTATCATCCAAACTGCTTACGCCAATGGTGCCAGCACGGATTACATTGAGAAGGTGCTGAAGCTTCAGTCTGTCTGCACCAACACTGGTGTTAAGCATCTCCACCATGCTGCTATGCGCTTTGACGTTGGTGTTTACTTCGAAGCCAATGGTCATGGTACCATTACTTTCTCTGAGAACGCTCTGAAGATCATCAAGAGCGCTGAGCCTCAATCCCCGGCCCAGCAACGCTCGATCGAATGTCTTCAGGGTCTCACTGACTTGATCAACCAAGCGGTCGGTGATGCTATCTCTGACATGCTCCTGGTTGAAGCTATTCTTGCCCACAAATCGTGGAGCCCCAAGGAATGGCTTGGAACTTATACTGACCTTCCCTCCCGTCTCGTCCGCGTCGAGGTTGCTGATCGCTCTATCTTCAAGGCTTACGATGCGGAACGTAAGCTTGAGTCACCTCCAGGCCTCCAGACCAAGATCGAATCCCTCATGTCTCGATACAACAAAGGACGGAGTTTCGCCCGTGCAAGTGGCACCGAAGACGCGGTCCGTGTCTATGCAGAGGCTGCAAGCCGATCTGAAGCGGACGACCTGGCCACCCGTGTTGCCAACGCGGTTAAAGAGGCCGGCTCGGTCAAGGAAATCTTGCAAGCGTCTTGAGTTATCCATTCTTTAGTAGCTTTCAAGTTACCCTCATGATTTGCATTCTTTCGTTTAGCGAACATAGTCTGACGAAATGGACTTCTTTTTAATTGATACAAAAAAAAATGACGAACTCGCCTATTCTACAATACTATACAGGTTATGGACGAGATTACGAACATTAATTATGGAATGATTCTCTGTTTGTCAATAAGTAAAGCAAACATCTATTTAACTTTTCCCGTCAAACTCCAAAACAAAATTAACAATCATCACCAGGCATAAATAGGTATATCCGACAAGAAATAGTAGCAAGTAGATTGTAGATTAACCCTCCTCTTCGTCCATCTCATCACGAGACCGTTTCCCCCTACCCTTCTTTCCTTTGGTTCCCTTCTTTTCATCGTAGGCCTTCATCTCCATGATTGCTTGCCGCTGAGCCTCCGAAACACGCTCAGCGAACACCATCACCTCGTCCTTCTTGATAGCATACTCATCAAGTTGCTTTCCCAGGGCTCTCTCAATTCGCTGCCAAACCTCAATATCATACTGCGTCAAGAAACTAATTGCCACACCACTCTTTCCGGCACGCGCGGTACGTCCGACACGGTGAACATATGTCTTGCTGTCACTGGGGAGGTCAAAGTTCAGAACAACGTCGACGGACGGAATATCCAGGCCACGGGCTGCAACATCTGTAGCGACCAAGATGTCACGGCTGCGGGAACGGAACTTGCCCAGGGCACCTAAACGGGATGACTGGGAAAGCTGGCCGTGGAGAGGGATAGCGCCGAATCCCAGGGTTCTGAGCAGGACAGACATGCGTTGTGTCTCGTGGACGGTGCGGGTGAAGATGATGGCGGATTGGCCGGCAAATTCGTTCAGCAGGTAAACCAGGTAGAGGTCCTTGAACTTGTGGGGGACGAAGAGGTACGATTGCATAAGAGTTGAAACGGTCTGATATTTGCTTGACGAGATAGACACCTTAAGCGGGTTGGAGAGGGAGGCACGCTGCAACGATTCCACCTTGGAACTGAGTGTCGCAGAGAAGAGATATGTGTGGCGTTCTCTGGGGAGTACTTTGAGGATCTTATCCAGGAGGGGACCGAAGTCCATGTCAAGCAGTCTGTCTGCTTCGTCCATGACGAGATACTTCAGGCCGCGAAGCGAAAAACCCTTGGTGTTCTCCAGATGGTCCAGCAAACGACCGGGAGTCGCAACGACGATATGTGGCTTCTTTCCAAGCGCGATCGATTGCGATACCATATCCATACCTCCGACAATTGTTGCGCATCGAACTGAGATGGTCGAGCCAAGAGTTTCAAAGGATTGAGAGATCTGGTATGCTAATTCACGGGTTGGGGCGAGGATGAGACCGAAGAAGGATTGGGGCTTCTCCATCAGGGCTTAAATATCATGTCAGCAAGACTTTTCTTCGGCATTTCTTCTGGGGAAGCTGTCCGTACTTTGTAGAATCGGAAGAGCAAAAGCTGCTGTCTTTCCACTTCCCGTCTCTGCCAAGCCGATCAAATCACGGCCCTGCAAAGCCAATGGAATAGCTTCGGCCTGAATCGCGGTGGGAGCCTTGAATCCCAAGTTGTCACAAGCTTCGCATAATTGCGGAATCACTCCTAGCTCTTTGAACGACTTGGGGAGCGGCTTCTTGTCTTCAGCTTCGGCGGTCTCATCTTGCGCTTGAGGGTTATCGGGGGTCTCTTCTGCTTCAGAACCAGAGTCTTCGGGGCTGGAGGACTCTAGTTCCTTGGCTTTGCGTGACTCCGGCTTCACGGTCTTTTGTTTCTTGAATCCGGGCATATTGTATTGTATGATTGGTATTTTTTTTTGCTTGCCTCTTTTTCTCTTCGATAGTTATCTCCAAATAAATTTTGGGCGCCGCAACATTGTTGATCCGAGGATCGTCTGGGTCTCCGCCGGAGAAAAAACGAGGAAAAAAAAGTCCACTTCCGTTTCTAGACATCGCCTAATCTTGACTTTTTCGCATATCAATTTTCTTGTCATTGACTAATTCATAATGGCGAAAGGAGTCAAGAATCGCACTCACTCTAAGGCGGTTAATGCGTCGGCCAAGGCCAGGGTTAGTGCATCCGGCAATGTGAGCAAGACTCCGAAGTCTATGGTTATTCGAGTCGGCGCTTCGCAAGTCGGTTCGAGCGTTAGCCAGCTGGTTAAGGATGTTCGGTTGATGATGGAGCCTGATACGGCTGTGCGATTGAAGGTGAGATATGCGATTTGAACAAATATGTAGTTTCTTCGGACAATGTCTAATGGAAATTTTGTGCTTCAGGAACGTAAATCCAACAGGTTGAGGGACTACACAGTTATGACGGGACCTCTCGGTGTCTCGCACCTCATGCTCTTCTCGAAATCAGCTACCGGAAACACCAACATGCGTCTTGCGCTCACTCCTCGCGGACCGACTCTTCACTTCCATGTCGAGAACTATTCGTTATGCAGAGACGTTGAGAGAGCATTGAAGCGTCCGAGAGGTGGTGGACAGGACCACAAAACACCACCCCTGCTCGTTATGAATAATTTCAACTCGCCTGATGCAACAGAGGACTCGAAAGTGCCCAAGCGTCTCGAGAGTTTATGTACAACCATCTTTCAATCGATGTTCCCTCCAATTAATCCCCAGGCTACGCCGCTGTCCTCTATTCGCCGTGTTATGCTTCTGAATAGGGAGCAAGAAGAGGGGAGTGATTCGTATATCATGACCCTGAGACATTACGCCATCAGTACCAAGAAGACCGGTGTTTCGAAACGGATTCGCCGCCTCGATCCCAAGGAGGTTCGGAACAAAGATCCCAAAGCTGCTGTTCCTAATCTTGGGAAGCTCGAAGATGCCGCGGACTACCTACTCGACCCATCGGCAGCCGGCTACACTTCGGCAAGCGAGACTGAAATGGACACGGATGCGGAGGTTGAAGTTGCGGAGAGCACCACCAGGAAGATTCTTAACAAGAGAGATCTGCAGCGCATGAAGGCTGGCGACAAAGAGAAGGCCGAGAAGAAAATAAACAGCGCACCCGAGGTCGAGAAACGGGCCGTTAAGCTGGTCGAATTGGGTCCTCGCATGCGACTTCGGCTGACCAAGGTTGAGGATGGGCTTTGCGACGGTAAGGTCATGTGGCACGATTACATTACGAAGTCTGCAGCAGAGATCCAGAAGATGGAAAGGAACTGGGAACAGAGAAAGAAGCAGAAGGAGCAAAGAAAGAAGCAGCAAAAGGATAATGTCGAAAAGAAGAAGCAGGAGAAAGCTAAGGCTAGAGCTGAAGGAAAGGAGGTTAAGAGTGACGATGAGGATGAAGAGATGGATGATGAAGATGACTGGCTCAGTGATGACCTCGAGGAAGTTGGGGGAGAGGAGCAGGAAGGTGAGGTGGATAGTGACGATTCCATGGAAGAATGAACGGATGTATCTGTCACTGCGACCTATGCTTGATATTCAACAGCCTTCCCGGTCTGCTTCAGACCTCAATGGCGTGCTGTCGTCAACAGCCCATACCGGTAAAACTTGACATTGGTCCGGAAGACCTTCGTTGGCTGCCGCGTACTTGTGATGACTACCTACAATTTACGACTGTACCAGCCGTATAAAAATTTGCGCTCTGTGTAAGAGTAGCAAACGGTTACGACCAAGGATTGGAAAAGCATCTTTAATGTATTATTGCGTTGGAAGGCTTCAAAAATTATACCCACAAGTCTATTTGCAGTTAGAATAAAATGTACATGCTGACTGAGAGATTATAAGATAATGCTATCGTAAATCATGCTTTCCTTTTTTTCCATCACTTCGTGAATTTCTCATCCACAATACGAGAGACCATCTTCTCCAAGATGCTGTAGTCACCCCCAGAAGCCTGGCTAAAGTAACTCTCCACACTCTTCTCGACATACTTCCCGACAATATCAATCTCAACATTAACCTCCTCCCCAGCCTCCTTAGACGCCGTAACAATCTTCTCCTGCGTATATGCAATAAGCATAACCTCCCAATACCCCTCCTTCCCATCAACTACCTTGGTCACAGTCAAACTCGCCCCGTCCAGCGTCACATAGCCCTTCTCAACAACGTACCGCAACACACCCTTATCGCGCGGCTGCAGGCGGAAAACCAAAGCATTTCCTTCCGGTGTCACGGACAAAATCTTTGCGACGGTGTCGACGTGGCCCTGGACGAAGTGGCCGCCCATGCGCGTGTCGGCTTTGACGGCGCGTTCGAGGTTGACTCTGGAGTTTGTCTGGAGCGAGCCGAGGTTTGTGCGGCGGAGGGTCTCAGGGGCGACGCCGACTTTGAACCAGGTTCTATCGAAGGCTGTTACTGTGAGGCATGTTCCTGTACGCGGTTAGTTTGAGTCTTGCCGTGATTTTCCCTCCCCCACGTTCCATGGAGGGGATGCGCGGTGATCTTTCTCTGATGACTTATGTTTCAGGTGTGTGTCATTTTACCATTGACAGCGATGCTATCGCCCAGATGAGCATCTGCGAGGATCTCTTCGCAATTGGAGATGGTCAAGGATGTACCACCACCTCCGCTCGACGAGGTGTCGAGGGGCTCGAGGGCCGTCACCGCTGTAGTAAACCCGTTAGCTTGGCTGTTTATCAAATAAGGAAAGTGACCGGGGGAAGCTCACTCCCGATCTTTTCAACAAGGCCAGTAAACATTGTGCAATAATCCAAAAAAAAAAAAAAAAAAAAAAAAAAAAAAAGCGATGTGTACGAGGAAACTCGGGTTTGATGTCAGTCGGTTGACCTCGGCTCTCTTTATATATCGCCGAGCGGTGTCGGCGGTGGGATGCGAACTACAAGTAACACCACTTTCCATTACCCATTCAATCCCTTTTCTTCTATTAAAGTGGGATGACTATCGTTTCAGTGGGTGTGTGATCATGAGTGTTGCATTGAAGTTTCAGGCCCTCGTCCGTCGGTCAGTGGTGAACAGTCCTATTGTTGCTGCTGCGGCTGGTCTCCAGCGCACGGCACCATGGCGACGAAGCTACTCGAGCGCTATTGGCGATACGCTACCTCTGACTGGAATTAAAGTACTTGATATGACCAGAGTCCTTGCTGGTGTGAGTAGCCATTTTACTTTTTCAGCTTTGCTTGACTGTCATCCAGTATGCTGATCTTTTGTCTGCTAGCCATACTGCACGCAGATCTTGGGAGACTTAGGGTACGCAATCCGATTTCACAGATTGCCACGTGCGCGTGCTAATATGTCTCGTTTCGAACAGAGCAGAAGTCATCAAAGTAGAACACCCTGTGCGTGGTGACGATACTCGAGCCTGGGGCCCGCCATTTGCGAAATACCAGGATGAATCGCGACAGGGCCCTGGCGAGAGCGCTTACTACCTAGCTGTACGACAGGATCCATTATGCTTGAACCATACGGCCCAAGTTAACGTGCAATAGGTGAACCGTAACAAGAAGTCGATTGGCCTCTCGTTCGCTCACAAACCCGGCGTCGAGATTCTGCACAAACTCGTCAAGGAATGCGATGTCCTCGTTGAAAACTACCTCCCCGGAGGCCTCAAAAAATACAACATGGATTACGAAACCCTGCACGCCATCAATCCCAAGTTGATCTACGCTAGTATCACCGGGTACGGACAGACAGGACCATACAGTAACCGAGCTGGATACGATGTGATGGTCGAAGCGGAGATGGGCCTGATGCATATCACGGGGGCGCGGGATGGCGCCCCAGTCAAAGTGGGTGTGGCGGTTACAGATTTAACGACGGGGTTATATACTTCGAACGCGATCATGGCTGCGCTCATTGCCCGTGGACGGACTGGAAAGGGGCAACATATCGACGCATCCCTGAGCGATTGCCAGGTTGCGACGCTGTCGAATCTTGCCAGTTCCGCTCTTATCAGTGGAAAGAAAGATTCGGGACGATGGGGTACCGCGCATCGTAAGTGAGGGATATCATTCCTGGACCCTTGGAAGCCGATTATTGACAATCGTGTAGCATCCATTGTACCCTACCGGAGCTACAAGACCCGTGATGGAGACATCCTTTTCGGAGGCGGCAATGACAAATTATTCGGGGTGCTGTGCGATCGATTGGGATACCCCGAGTGGAAGACAGATGTCCGCTTTGTCACAAATAGCGATCGTGTAAAGCATCGGGAGGAGGTCGACGGCCTAATTGAGACCACGACGAAACAGAAGACAACCAAGGAATGGCTTGAGATTTTCGAGGGAAGTGGGATGCCATATGCTGCTGTTAACGACATCCAAGGAACACTAAATCACTCTCACGGTGAGTTACCACATCCCAGAAGTTTCACAACAGCCAACTGATACATCAACATAGTCCAAGCACGTGGAATGGTCACCGAGGTTGACCACCCGGACTGTGGTCCCGTCAAGTTGGTGAATACGCCCATCAAGTATTCGCATGCTACACCAGGCATCAGGACGGCACCTCCGACTTTAGGTCAACATACGGATGAAATCCTTGGAGGAATCGAATATGGTAAGGAAGATATAGCTCGTTTGAAGCAGGAGGGAGTCGTATCGTAGAGCGGCTTGCCTATCATAACTGTTTATATTAACTGCATGTACCCCAGGGGTACAGGGGTGGGGGATCCCGGGGATCTGTGAGCATCTGTCATATAACCCCAGCATCACATAGCAATGAACATAACATGAATTGAGCAATAATATCATGACAAAATGTTCCCTCAGTGTCAGCAATTGTGTCCAGGTGAATGATAGTATCTCGTTCCAACCGAAGCGGAGAAATCCATTTGTCACGTGATGCTATACAGACCTCTGCACCCGGCAAGTAGAGCTTCGTTTTCGTGCGATAGTACACAACCCGTGCAGGGCATACATTCGTACATATCTCTATTTCCCTCATTCAGTGAAACCACTGCAATAAGTCGAATTCGGGGAATGACACAGGAAAATGGGGTTTCTCCCCAGGCGTCTATAGAAACCACACCATCATCCCACACACAGTTGGCCACCTCTTCGTCAATGCCACAGGGCCAGAATATCACCAACATCGATCCGTCCGTTAGACCGTCGTCGGATTCTATAAAAAAATCAGGTACTATTCCGGGTAGAGTTGAGATCCCCAAGCTCTCGCCGGCTACTACAGAGCTTCTGGCACGGGTGACGGGTAGTTTCGCGAGGAAAGATGGTTTTGATCCTGTCACTGGCTGGAGTTCACCATCGCTTGATACAGAGTTGAATGACAAGTGGAAGGCACAAGGGACCGGCAATATGAAGTCTTCTTCTGCATTTTTGGAAATTACACCTTCGCACTTGCCGCTGTCGCGGCCGGATATCCCTAGTATACCGGCACCTGCCCAGAAGGATTATATTGAAACAGGCATCATTAATATTGCTCCGAAGCCAGCAGACCCATCATCGACTCATTTACAGCCACAATTGCAACCGCAAGCAATGATGCCAGAAGTTAGGACGGCTAAGCAGCAGAAGGCGGCCGCTCCTCGTGCCCGACAATCTGCGAATGGAACCAGACGCGCCGTGAAAAAACACAGACGTGGTGACTATGACGACGGTGAAGGAATCATAAAGGCCGGAGACTCTACTTCTGATGAATCTGACATTGCACCGACGGCAACGCAAACCAAATCGGGTCGACAAGTCAACCGTCCTTCCTTATACGTCCCTCCTCCGGCTCCGTCTCCATCAATTGGCAACAAGAATACCACTGCAGTCCCGAGCCCATCTAGCAATCTTGGTACGACCCCGGGATCAGCACGAAAGCGCAAACGTGTTATGCGGAAGGGCAAGGATATCAACACCAATTGCATACATTGTCAAAGAGGACATAGTCCATTTACTAATGCTATTGTCTTCTGCGACTCGTGCAATAGGGCATGGCATCAACTATGCCATGATCCGTGCATCGATAGAGAGGTCGTTTTGGTCAAGGAGAAGGAATGGATGTGCAAGGAATGCAAACCTGTATCGCTGTCCAGTATCCAGCCGACAGTTGTCAGGTGTGATCCTTACGTTGTACAAACGCAGCCCGCCCAGGTAAAGCTACAAATTCCGTCCCTTGAAGTTGGAAGCTCGGGATTCTCAGGCGATGAATGCCGTAGCTACCTGTCAAGTTTGTCTCATGCAACTCTGGTCGAGTTGCTGGTTACTTTAGCAGACCGGAATCCGGAACTCCCCATATTCCCTGGGAACCTGAAGTCTTTGCCGTCGTCCAAATTCCCTCTCCAGTCTGGCATGTCGTTTTTGGTTTCTGCGGCACCAGTTAATCCACCGGCAGCTGGTAGCTTGACCCAGAAACCCACCAACGGTACCTCAATTAACGGGAATGATGATGCTACTGCGGATCCACCTACTGGCCATAACCCGTCAACTGCTGGAAAGAAACGGCGCCACAGCGAGATCTCCGAAGATGACGAGGCTGGTTATGAAATCGAGGATCATCGGCTATACCCCCGGGCTGGTAATGGCCTTCGCCTTTCCCTCAACCCGGATGATCTTGACATTATGCAAGAAGATCCTGCTTGTCCTACCTTTAGCTATTCGTTGCATGGTTCTGCCAAAGCTTGCGCGGAAACCAATGACGCTGTTCCTGTATGGGGGACCGCGTAACGCCTTCTTTACCTTTTTTTTTTTTTTTTTTTTTTCTTCTGGCTTTCTTTTCGCCTTGTTTTTGGGAATCGATATTGCGCTTTTGCTGTTTGAGGTGTTTCTTTCATAGGATCGGAGTCAATAGAATATGGAGTTATGAGGACAAGAGACATAGACGCACATTTATGAATTCTAAAGGGGCTGTTTTCTCAGCTATTTTTCTTGTGCTATTTAAATGCTGCTCATTTTAAATAGAAATTATTCTCCTGATGTTGTGTACCCCTGTACTCCGTACTATGTAGAGTATGGGTATGGCATTGCGATATGGCCATATATCTAAACTCCGAACCTCTGCAACGTAGTTGGATCTTCCAACACTTCATCCTATATTCCGTTATGCTTGACAAACGATCGAATCGCCAAGAATAATTATCATAAATACCAACCCCAACAATGGCAACATCACCAACATCTAACCCAGCCTCATCACCACCCAAACCCCCCTCTCGTGGCAAAAAATGGCACCACCACATCACCATCGACCTCTTCCTCTCCGTCCTCAACCGCACCCTCCTCCATCCCTGGTTCGCCTGGATGACGGTCCTCAGTCTCCGCGCCCAAGCAACCCCTTACACAGATCTCTCCTTCATCCTCACATCAACCTACGCCTCCCTCCTGACAATCCTCGCGCTCGCGCGGGCGGTCAATCACCGAATCGCATACGGGTTGTCGCGGCCCGTGAATCTGAGTGAGGAGGTTGTGGTTGTGACTGGGGGTGCGAGCGGATTGGGTCTGCTGGTTGCGAGGATTTATGGACTTAGGGGGGTTAGTGTGGCGGTTTTTGATGTGAAGGAGGTTGCGGAGATTGAGGGGTGGAGTGATGAGGTTGCCGGGGTTGAGTATTACAGGTGTGATATTGGGAACAGAAGGGAGGTGGAGTGGGCGTTGGGGAGGGTTAAGAAGGAGGTATGTTTTTCTCTACTATCCTTTACTTTGTTGAGAGGGAACAGATGAAATTGGTTTTGGGTATTACTTTGGGCTATGTACAAATACTGACGGTTTACAGTTGGGCACACCAACAGTGCTGGTGAACTGCGCAGCAGCACGAATCAACGGCCAATCGCTCCTGTCCTTACCAGCAGAAGCCTTCCAGAGGACCATCCGCACCAACTTGCTCGCCGTTTTCAACACCTGCCAGGTGGTTCTGCCTGATATGCTATCTGCTCCGAACGGTGGTGCCATCGTCAATGTCAGCTCAGTCCTCGGACAGTTGCATGCGGCAGGCCTCTCCGACTACTCTGCTAGTAAAGCCGCTCTCAGTGCCCTGCACAAGACTTTGGAGGTTGAGCTGCGTGTCTCTGGGAATTATGAAAAGGTGAAAATGCTGCTGGTTGAGACGGGCCAGTTGTCAACGCCGTTATTTGGCTGGATCCAAACGCCGAGCAACTTCTTTGCGCCTGTTCTTGAACCAGTCCAAGTTGCTCAGGAGATTGTGGCGGCTATTGACGAAGGGAGAGGTGGTGTGATCAGATTGCCTGCTTTCGCTGCGCTTGCCAGATGGTATGCAGTGTTTCCCGCGGGTCTTCAACGAATTGCTCGGTGGTTGAGTGGAATCGACCATGCCGTGGCCAAAGCATCACCCGCCCGTCCTCCGTCTAACCGTGTAGCAGCACTTCAAAATTTGCAAAGCGATTCAGAATCTGTAGACACGGACTGATGCAAAGGCCCAGCGGATGTTCGGAGAAAGAAAATAGCGCCATGAAACGTGAGCCACTCTCTCCAAAATGATTGCTTCTTTTTCGGATGTATGTTATTCACAAGAGAGAAAAGGAAGTGTCTTGAAAGCTGCAAACGTTGATGAATGTCTCAACACATTACTGCTCCTGCGTCAAGATCATCTTCTCACGCTCATGCTGCTTCTTCGACAAAGCAGTCTTCTTAGTGTGCTTCCGAATATTGTCTTCACGTCGCTTAATCGCAGACAACTCATCTCTCTTGATCTCAGCAGCCTTCTTAATAGTCTTAGGCACATGGCGCTGGCGTTTGATTCTCCGAATCTCGGGCATGTGAGAGTACCTGTTGACCAAGGCCTGGTCATACTCCAGCTTCGCGCGTTGACGAGCGCTCTTGACTCCGCTGCGGTCGGAAGCATTGGTACGCCAAAGTCGGATGTTGCCATCGTCGGAGCCGGATAGGATGTACTTGTTGTCGGGGGTAAACTTGGCAGAGAAGACACTGGGTGGGTTAGTAAAGAAGTGTGAATAGACCAAAGAAAATGAATACATACCGTTGCATTCTCTTCGTGTGGTAAATGTCGCGCGAATGACCCTTGGCTCTGTCCCACAGACGGACTGTCCGGTCATACGATGCCGTTACGAGTTCTTCACCAGTAGGACTGAACTCGACATCCATTACAGCTGAAACATGGTCCTTGAGCACATTCAAGGCGCGATCCATCTTTCTCATGTCGAAGATGTAAACATTATGGTCTTCATTGGCAACCGCGAAGTTGAACGCTTCCATGGGGTTCCAAGAGACAGCGTTGGAAGCGAGGCGGAGCACGAGCTTCGAGAGCGGCGATGAGGTTCGAAGATCGTACATGATGACGGAACGGTCCATGGCGGTCGATGCAAGGACCGAGGTTTCCGTCTGGTTGAAGGCAACAGATGTGATGGTGTCAACGCTCGTGGGCCAGTGAAGAGTCTGGGAAGGTGTGGAAGATGGCCGCGAAAGATCGTAGATCGAAATTTGAGAGGACGACGCAGCGAATGCAGGAAGGCTGCGGTGATGCGACACACCGGTAAAAGGACTCTGACCTAGATATGTTGCCAGAGGTGGCGCTTCAGACGACGAGCGATACGGATCGAACAACTTGACGGTCTTATCGCTCGCGCAAGAGAGCAACTTCTGCTCAGGTGTCCAGCAAACTCCCTTCACCATATTCTCATGTGCCTGCGTATTCCAAATCTCCTTATGTGTCGTAAAATCCCACACCTTGACCACACCATCACCGCTACCACTGGCAAAATGATCGAGAGAGTTCGGGTCCTTTGCCATGGAGTATACACCATCCACATGGCCATCGCCCATTTGCCCCACATACGGTGCTGCAAATAGTCGTTCCATCTTGACGGCATTGAGCGCGCGAGTATATTCACGAGCCCGTTCGAATGGATGCTGAGCAGGATCGAGGTTTCGGGGCTGTCGAACGACAGAGGATCCCGGAGCCTGCTGAGAGGCCGTGGGCCGAGAAAGAGCTTTGATTTTCTGTCCCCATGTTAGAATAATCAATGCACAAACAGTAACATCGAAGGAAAGCTCACCATGGCGCTCTAATTGTGTGGAATCACTTGCTGTAGAAGTTGTGTTCCCATCCAAAAATCTATAAAAATTTCCAGCGGCGGTTTTTTCCTGCTGAGATAAGCAGAAGGCGGTGAGGGTAGCTGCCGACGCAACAGGCCAGCCAAGTTGGGCGAAATGACGATGCAAGCAAAGCATCAGACGCATAGCTTCCACTCTTCCCAGACAGGTGTCTTTATCATTCCATTACCCCTTGGACATCTGCCCCTCTTTTTTTTCCCATTCAGCGATTTATCAGTCTGACATTTGTTACCCGTTCCCCGATACCTGATCGATCATGGCGCCCTCGTCGGTCGCCGCTCAGCGGACAGAGGAAGCCCGGGCTCTCGCGGCGAAGGACCCCTCAAAGGCAGAGAGCATCTATAAAGATATTCTTGCTCAAGGCCCAGGGACGACAGAGGCTTCATCGCGTGATTATGAAAGTGCATTGGTTGGGCTGGGAGGGCTCTACCGGGATACGAAGAAGCCGCATGAGATTGCAGAGCTCATTAAGACCAGCCGTACTGCATTCTCGTCATTTGCTAAGGCAAAGACGGCCAAGCTCCGTAAGCTTGATTGAAATACCTTGAACCATATGGGATCCCAGAATTGACCTTGTTTACTTGTCTAGTTCGCCAGCTCTTGGACCTATTCAGCGAAATCCCCAACACGCTCGATATCCAAAGTGACGTGATCAAATCAAGCATAGACTGGGCCATCTCAGAGCGACGATCTTTCCTTCGACAAAACCTCCAGACTCGTCTGGTTGCCATTCACATGCAGAAGCAAGCCTACTTCGACGCCCTTAATCTCATCACCCCCCTTCTCCGCGAACTCAAGCGCCTGGATGACAAACTTGCATTGGTCGAGGTGCAGCTGTTGGAATCTCGCGTGTATCATGCCCTGGGTAACCAAACTAAGGCACGTGCAGCCTTGACGGCAGCCCGAACATCGGCTGCGTCGGTCTACACGAACCCTAACCTACAGGCTGGTTTGGATATGCAGAGCGGTATGCTACATGCGGAGGATAAGGACTTTCAAACTTCATTCTCCTACTTTATTGAAGCTATGGAAGGATATAGCTCGCTCGACGAGACTGACATGGCAACCGCGGCTCTCCAATACATGTTGCTCTGCAAGATCATGTTGAATTCGGTGGATGACGTTACGAATTTGCTGGGATCGAAGTCGGCACAGAAGTACGCGAGTCCGCGGCTCGAGGCCATGAAGGCCGTCGCTCGTGCCCACGCCAACCGCTCTCTCGAGGAATACGAGAAATCACTCTCGAACTACAGGTTCGAGCTTGGCAGCGATGTATTTATTCGAAACCATCTCCGGAGACTGTACGATGCCATGTTGGAGCAGAATCTAATCAAGGTTATTGAGCCTTTTAGTCGTGTGGAATTGGTCCATGTTGCCAAGTTGGTCGGGTTGGATACACAACAAGTGGAGAGAAAGCTGTCTCAGATGATTCTGGACAAGGTGATCATTGGCGTGTTGGATCAGGGTTCCGGATGTCTTATCATCTATGATGAGACTCATCGTGACCAAGCTTACGATTCTGCACTGGACACTGTTGCGAAGTTGAGCAATGTAGTGGAAGCACTGTACACTAACCAGGCTTCGCTGCTGGAGTGAAAAGGTCATAATTTTACGTTGGGAATAAGGTAGCAATACAGTTGAATTTATAAGTCACTATGAATTAAGACAATCATGAGTTGCTCAATATGACTTCTATTCAATCTTCAGCGTATTCAGAGCATTCAGTCTGGTCGTGGCTGGCTGCCGAAAAGGGTAAAGCGTGACCGCGGCAAAAGAATCGCGACTCTCCAGAGATCACCGCAGGCTCTCCATCCCAGATCCGCCCAGTACAGTTTCACCACGAACCCAGCTCTAGCCTGAATCGCATTTGTATCAGGCGCGTGGCCTTGGATTAATTCGCTTATTATCCGCAATGAATGTGCCAGTGCAGCCCAACTACGCCCGTGGTATCCCCCAGCGGTCTCCTGCTACGCCTCGTCGCGGTCCTCCCGGCCCAGGTGCGCTTATTACCCCTTTGGTTCTATGGTTCCCCCGATGTCTAAATTAACTTTTCCCCACTGACACTATCCTCTTCCTTCGTAACTAGCCATGATGCCGATGCCGATGCCCCAACAGCCTGTCAATCCTCAATACATGCCTGCTCAGCGCAGCATGCCACACCCCAACGATGCCGTCCTGCGTCGCAGCCGCAAACCCACCGATAAGAACATCCCGGATGGCGTTGAAGATGTTGTGATCGGTGAGGGAGTGCCGCAATACAAGAGCCTACGCGATCTGGAGAAGCGTCTGGATGCCTCCATTGTCCGCAAGAGACTGGACATCCAAGATTCGATCAGCAAAACGGTAAAGAAGTACCGGACAATGCGCATTTGGATATCCAACACTGTCGAGAACCAGCCGTGGCAGGATGCTGCAGGTGAGCCAGGGAGTACACCCGGCTCGGGACGGTACAAGGTGAAGATTGAAGGACGGTTGCTGGACGGTGACAACGACGAGTCTACGCCTTCCGATGATTCTGACGAGGATGAAGTTAAGGAAGAAAAGGGCGATAAAATGGAACACGATGGAGAGAAACCTGAGGATAAAAAGGAGTCCAGTCGACCCAAGCAGCGGTTTTCGCAATTCTTCAAGACCATCACCGTTGACTTTGACAAATCATCGTCGGTTACCCCGGAGGAGATGAGAACTATTACTTGGAACAAGCCGCAATTACCACCGAATGGCACGGCCTCTTTGCCTGCTAACGCGGACTTTGACTGTCTGCAGTTCTCCCGCGGCTCGCAGGACAATTTAAATACCACCGTCAGTCTCATCCGTGATGAGACGCCTGAGCGGTTCAAGCTGAGCAAGGAGCTTGCGAATGTTCTGGATACTGAGGAGGAAACACGAAGCGGGATTGTCTTGGGTATCTGGGACTATATCCGTGCCATGGGCCTACAAGAGGACGAGGAAAAGCGTCAAGTACGCTGTGATGATCGTCTGCGGGCAGTATGTCCATCTACCCCTCCATGCCCCCATTTACTCCATACTAATAAATACAGATCTTTGGCCGCGACATCATGTTTTTCCCCCAAATCCCCGAAAGTATCGGCCCGCACACCTCCCCCATGGACCCCATCAAACTCCCCTACACCATTCGCGTCGACGAAGACTACCACAAAGACCCCACCCCCACAATTTACGACATCCAAGTCGCAGTCGAAGACCCCCTGCGCACAAAAATGCTCACTCTAACCCAAAACCCGCAATACACCGCCGGCATGCGCCAGATCGCCTCCCTGGACGACCAAGTCGCACTCATCGTGCAGGGACTTACGCACTCGCGCGCTAAACACTCCTTCTACACCGCTCTGTCCAAGGACCCTGCCAACTTTGTCAAGCGCTGGATTAACTCCCAGCGCAGAGACATGGAGACTATCCTGGGCGAGGCGACCCGGGGCGGTGGGGAGGATGGTAGTGGGCCGGAGTTCAGACGTGGTGGTTCTGAGGGTGCTTGGGATACGCCCGTAGCGAGGGAGGCCGTGAAGTATATGCTGGCTAAGCCGGAGGCTATGGGGCTTAGGTAGGTTTGCCGTTTGTATGTATCTTGATTTGCATTTTTTATACCTTGTTGTCTCTGGTTTGGACCTCCGCCGGTAATAAGGGAAACATAAGATGGATGTATTCGGGGAAGCGCTCTGTTGGTGTTAGGCCTGTTTTCTTCAAGTATGTTAAGTATTGAATGAAGAATCGATGTTCGACTTTTACTTTGATTGAAAAAGCCATGTATTAACACTAAACACTAAACTTCCTGATTAAGCGAGGCATAGTCCCAATCAATCATCATTCATCAATTCGATCCCAAATCCCGAATTCTGGATCTACATAGGAACGTAGCGTGTCCATTAGATAGCAATATTTAATATAAGCCGTCCGAAGACACCATCACCCGACTTCAGAGAAGGCTAAAGGAAGAAAACAGGCCTAGCTAGGAACTGGACCAACCTTCCTCTTCCTCAGATCCTCAACGAGATTGGGAGTACTGCTATTCAGCACAGAAGATTTCTGCTTCTCACCAAGCAACAGACCATCATGCTCCTGTTCAAGCTTCGCTGCCGCATCAAGCACCACGTCCTTCTCCTCCTCCTTGACACCCTCTTTCTCTTCTTTCTTGGCGGGAGCAGCAGCAGGACCCCGGAAACGCTTGAGAACAGTCTCAATCATCTTCGAGAACCAGTAGTAGTTCAACGAATTGAGCACAATATTCGACAGGATATACGTCACAACAAGCCAAGTGGGCGTTCCCGCAGCATTGTAATGTGAATACTTCGAGATCTCCGCCTGCGCCTTTGCACATGCCTCATCGACGCAAAGATTCCCATCACGAATCTGGAACACGTGCGCATTGATGTTAATGGGATCCAGGGTTGACGCGGACGAGGCAGTCGCAGACCATGTCTGGCTTAGGGCTTGCCACATGTCGCTGTAGACATGGACAGAACGCCAGGTTCCCCAGACCAGACGACAAGAGAAGAAGACGGAGAGAAGCGCCATGCCGTTGTACCATTGGGCTTTGCCACCGGTCATGTTGACTTTGTCGAAGAACCAGTGCATGTTCAGGAAGGGGCTGGAGAGTTCATAGAGGATGAAGACGGGGGTGTAGTAGTTGACGAATGGTCTCTGCAACATAGTTAGCAACCAGATCAGGAATTTATCATATAATCGGAAAGGAGGGGAGAGACTCACAAAACCAAGCGCAAACACCCACAGCGCAGAAACTCCATGGAGCACCATCCCCAGTCCAAACATCTTCACATAAACCAAACTGATATACAAATCATAGATAAAGTACCCCGTTGCAAGCGCCTGGATCAACCCACAGGCCCCGGTATACCCATAAATCCGCTCCCCAGCATTCATCTCCTTCCGCTCCTTATCCGTAAACAGCACCCACAAGGCAGCAGCGCAAACCACAGTGCTCTGCACGAGCGACACAACATGCACGTCCCAGTTCAGCTTGGTGCGTTTGTTGAAATTCGGGTAGTGCTGCGGGAAGAGGACCGGGGAGAGCCATGGAGAGAGGTAGGAATGGATAAATTGGTAAAAGACGAAGGCGAGGATGACTTCATGGATGTGGTCGGTTATCGTAGGGAGATTGAAGTAGAGGGCCCAGGGTCCGACGGCATCCCGGAGCCATGCTGGGGATGAGGGGAAAGGGTCTAGCATGGTGGTGGTGGTGGTGTCGTTGCCCCCAACCTGGGGTGTTGTACAGTGTAGAGATCGAGTATTGTTGTTATGATGACGATGGTAGAGTTGAACAGGGAATAACCCAGCGACACTCTATGCTGTTGAATCTAGTGTAACCTAGATTAGATAAATAGAAAAGGTGAAGTTCCAACTAAATGACGGAGAATTCTCCAGCCATGATATTGGCACACGACAGTGAAGTCAAGCAGGAGCTATCGGAGGCTGACGGGATTCCAACGTTAAATAAGTTATGAGCCCAGCCTACGCTGGGCTGAGTTTCTGCCTTTATCCTCAGGCGTCAGTCTCAGGCAGAAATCCGTTGGGGCGGCTACAGCATATTCACATGATACGTCTACTGTACAGGACTACAAGGATTGGCATATAGATTCAAGATTATAGGGTGATTTATTATTCTTCAAGGTTGAGGGGACTAATTACACAAAGGGAACAACAAAGGAAAGCGCCGTGATAATAATAAACATGAACATAGTGGGGGAATCGAATAACATCAAAAAGCCAAGCAGGTGCAGGGTGGTATATCAACATGAACAACATGAACAGAAAACAGGATCATAAACAAACATAAAAACATAACAATATCGATCACTTTACCTCTTACTCTGCTCCACTCGAGATCTCCGTCCCGACACCACTGTCAGTCGCCTGATGCTTCTTGTACAGCACCAACCGCTTCGCTTCTTCGTCCAAGTGATCAAGCAGGTCATCCGTCTCATCATCGCCCTTGGTCGTCTGTGCATCATCATCGTCACCTTCGGCGTCCGATACGTTGCGAAGGTAGCTGGTCCTCCGCTCCGTACCAGTATCACTTTCATCGCCCTCGGGGAACGCATCGTTCTCCTTGTTGGCAATGGTCCAGGACGACTTGCGTTGGGACATGTTGGATTTGACCGAGTGGCTTCGCTTCAAGCTCGCAATTCCACTGCCGTTGCTTACCTGTCGATCTCCTCCAGGTCCACGGTTGCTGGCGACATGGTTGAGACTGAAGATCCTTCGCTCTTTGTTGGATTCCTTTTGCGAGGGTCGCTTCTTCAAGGCCGTGGCAACGGTGTTGACACGGCCATCCTTGCTCCCGTTAGACGCACTGGGGCCACGAGCCCGGGTACCACGCGCACGCTTGGAATTCGTTCGCTTGGGACCTCTAACGAGGACGCTGCGAGCGTGGTCGAGAACACCTTCCAGGATCCGCTTCTCAAGACTTTCGGCCCGCTCCTCCATGACCTGCATCTCTTCGTTACGGAGCTCGAGTGCCATTTCAAGACCGGACAGTTCCTTGCTCGTCTTCGCGTTTTGCTTAGAAAGGTCCTCCTTCTCCGATTTGAGACTGGAGATAATCTTAAGTAGGGACTCCTTTTCGTCTCGGAAGTTCTCGATCTCTGCTTCCACCTGCTCCTTCTCTGCGTTCCTGCGCTCCAAAGCCACAGCGGCCTCTTCCGCTTCTTTGCGCTTCCGGTTATTATCTTCGGCCATCATGGCAGACTGGGCGACAAGCATTTCCTGCATCCGGCGGGACGATTCCATCATGTCCTTGTGGATCTCGTCCAGCTTCATCATCTGTGTGACAGACTGGTCGGTATTTGTAGCGTGGCCAATAAGCGTATCTAATTTGTCGTGAACCGGCCCATTGGAGTTGATGGCATGGCCAAGTAACTCCTCAAGTTTATCGTAGACCTGGGTGTTGGTACTCGTAGAGTGGCTCATGAGCTGATCGAGTTTCTGATGAACTTGCTCGCTTGTCACACGCTCAACGATAACATTGAGTGCATCTTGAACATGAGTATCTCTTGCATGCCCAAGGAGGATGTCCAGCTTCTCTTGGGCCTTGGTATCATCGTACACCTCGGGGGCCGGCGGCAAGAGACGAACGATGGACGAAGGCAAAGAAGAGATATCCGTCTTGATATCCTGCGTAGACCTCTGAGAGTGGCCGTAATGCTGACCAATAATAGTAAGGACTTCCTGAACGCCCTCCAGAACTTGGGGATGGAACTGGTGCAACTCAGTCTCCAAACGGTCAGTAGTGGCCGCAGTCTTCTCAGCGTCTGCCCGGGCTTGCTCCTGGCTCGTCTTAATCTGGCTATAAGACTCGTCAACCTTCTCAAAGAGTGCCTTCGTATCAATGCTGATCTGCTCGCAACTCTCGTTGAAACTATTGTCCATGGCGCCAATGACGAGCTTGATGTCCTCTGCCAGAGCCTTGGTGTTTGTAATGGCTTCGAGACCAGCGTTGTCTCGCTCTTCTGTCGCATAAAACTTGGCATCCATAGCATTCTGAGCTTCGTCGTACTTAGCCACAACTTCGCCAACCTTTTCATCGATCTTCGTGCCGAGCTCAGCAATGATGGCGGCCCGATGTTCGTCGTGCTTGACCACTGCCACGGCATCTTTCTCTTCCCGTTCTGACTTGCTGGCTTCCTGGTCACTGCGAACTTGTTCGAATTCTTTGGTGATGAGGTCTGACAGCTCTTTGATGTTCTCCACTGTAGTAAAGTATTGAGCCGATGAAGCCAGGCCCCCGAGAACTTGCTTGAGCTCGGACAGACCCTCACCACTACCATCCAGCTTGCTCTTGAGTTCGTCACCGAGTTTTTCGACAACAGCCTTGGCTGCATCAACCTTCTCAGCGATGTCGTCGTGTTCCTTCTTCCGTGTATCGAAGCGCTGAGCAGTCAGCTCATTGTCCGCCTCGGTCTTCTCGCGGAACTGAGTGACAAGAGTGGAAAGACCTTCGATATCGGTCTTGGTAGGTAAGGTCTCAACATCAGGAAGTTTGAGCTCTTCGATCTGCGTCTTGACCTCGAAGATCATGGCTTCCACGGTCTGCAGGTCCGACTTGGCCAGCTTCTCCGGGTCCTCTTCTTTCGATTCGCTCTTGCTCTTAAATTCATCAAAGGCAATCCACATGTCCTTCAACAAAGACTCCAGGGTACCGATCTCTGTTTTGGTAGGACCTTCAGATTCAATTCGGTTCGAGAGCTCACTAATGGCATCCTTGGCTTCCTTGACGACGTTTTCAAGAGCGCTAATCTGCTGTGACTTGGCGATCTCGTCGGGTACAGGGAATTTCAATTCATCGAGCTGAACCTTTGTGTTTCGAAGCAGCTCCTCAATGGCATCGGTGTCCTGCTTCTTGGCGACAACTTCATCAGCAGCAGAAATCTCGCGAGCCTGGATGCCAGTCACCGACTGCCTGAGCTCTTTGAGACCTTCGACCACTTCATCCAAGTGATCCTTCTTCAATGCATCCTCAGCAGGTTCGGGGGCTGGAGGAGCCTCGATGGTTTCAACCTTGGCCTGAAGTTGGCCGACCATAACTCGCAGACCGTCCATGACATTGTCGCTTCTGTTGACTTCTTTCGCAAGCGTAAGCTCCTTGCCCTCATTCGCAATAGCTTCGTCGGCATCGAGCTGGGATTTTCGGATTGCTTCGACTTCGGCCTTCAAGCCAGCAAGGCCCTCCTTGAGCGACTCCAGAAGATCAGTGGCATCTGGGGCGGCCGGCTTGTCGAGGACTTTCGCAAGATCCGATTTGATCGCGCCGACGCCATCATTGAATGCGTTAAGAAGCAGCGCCTCGCCACCGCTCTTTGATCGAGTAGCTTCGTCCTGGAAGGTCTCCAAGCTTTGGCGAAGAGCAGCGATGATGTCTTCTTTGTCCCTTGTGGGCTCAGAGCGGGCAGCAAGAGTCGTGTTCATCGTCTCGGAGATCTTCTCGAATTCCTCCTTGATGGTCTTAATTACCTCATCTTGCGCCGGCTGGTTCTCAAACTGGTCCTTGATAGTCTTCTCGAGATCCTCCTTCTTAAGCTGATCTTTCGGGAATTGCATGACATCATTGATTGCGTCGAGGATCTCTTCCTTATCGCTCGACAAGTCGCTGCGCATGAGCATGGACGTGATGGACTGGCGAAGATGTTCAAATTCCTTCTCCATGGCATCCAGAAGCTCCGGCGTGTCCGGGTTACCACGGGGCATATTGGCGAAAGAAGCGTCAGCGACTACCTTCTCCATATCCGCTTGCAGAAGTTTGAAGCCCTCCTTGACGGTTTCCAGAATCTCGGTTTTGCCGGAAGACTCGCCAGCATTCGCAGCGTAGCCTTCAATCTCCTTCCGAATGACATCGACGCCATCCTTGACAGCATTGAGAACGTTATGGTTCTCCTTACCATTGGCGTCGGAGTACTGCTTGAACTCGTTCTTCATACCTCCAAGGACTTCGTGGAAGCGCTCGAGCACCTTGTCTCCGATGCCGTTGCTGGTGGATGCGCTTGTCTCATTGAGAGCCGCTGAAATGGCATCCATGAAATCGTCTTTGTTGAGCTCGATCTCTGGGGCAATGGGATTGTGGTTCTCCAATCCCTGGGCAATGGCGCTGAGGACCTCATCTCGACTCAACGGTGGCGAGTGAATTTGGGTGCTGAGGGCGCTGTGCCGAGCGGAGAATGCTTCGTTGATAGCATCTGTAACATCCTCCTTGGTCACCTGCGGTTGCTCCAAACGCTTCGATGGAGAAAAGTGCGCTTCGATGCCGTCAGAAACTGCTCGCAAGACCTCATCACGACCAACGCCAGATTTTAAAGTGTCCCTGGTCAAGGCATTCTGGGAGGTGACGGATTCGGTAACTGCCTGCAGTATCTCATCCTTCATACGAGTAACCTGTTCGTCGACCAATGACCGGGAAGCAGCAGCCTCGGGTCCTGTGAGGGTCTCACGAATTGTCTGAACGATTTCATCCTTCGTAATCGATTGGGGTTGTTCAAAGTCTTGCATCCCGGCCTGAACAGCGGCGAGCACTTGGTCGTATGTGACGGCGCCTTCATGTTGCGGCTGGTAGGACTTCAGACCTTCCGAAAGGCACTCAAGGATCTCGTCACGTTCCAAACCAAAGTTCTGCAATTCAATTTCGGGCTTGTATGTCTCCCAGCCCTCGCGAATTGTTTCGAGGATCTCCTCTTTCCGCACATCATCGCCGTGCGGGCTTTCCGACGACTGTTCATCCAAGGCTTGCTTGACGATGGAGTAGATTTCATCACCATTCATCGATGAGCGCAGTTCAGCAAAGGCGGATGAGCTCTCCCGGCTTTCATTGACAACCGATGCCAAGAGCTCTTTGAGGTCTGCGAGACTAGCGTCGACGACGGCTGCCACCTCTTCCTTCGCGAGCGGCTGAGTTTTGCCCCCTTCGACAGAACGAGCGCGCTCATCCTCCTCCAGCTTTTCTGCGATATTTCTTCCCATGCCTAGAACCTCGCCACGCAATTCTCGTACAAGGGCTTTGACCTCGTTGGTCATGCCACCCCCTTCGATGACGCTAGTCTTGACTCGTTTGAGAATGTGCAGCATCTCCTGCGTGGGGTCATACTCATATTGCGGCTCCATTCCCAAGCCACTGTCGCTGTGGAGGATCTCCATATCGGGCGCCAGAACTTGTTCTGGGTCCAGGGACCGTGCGCGGGGGCGGTCGCTGTCGGGGTTTCCTTCGAATGGAATGGCCAAAGCTTTCGACCGTACTAGAGCTTGACTTCCCGAATGGTTCTTGACGATCTGTAAGATTTCTTCGAGCATATCGGTCGTAGTTCGATCAGCATTGTTTCCATGAGCATCGGCCATCGGGCGCGACTTTATCTCATCAACCGCATCCAAAAGATTTTCCTGGCCCTCTCTGGTGGCCATCTCACGCAGAATCTTTTCCAAGAGTGCGATACTGGCCGATCCATCGGAAATCGGCCCTGGAGATCCACAAAGATCGCGTTCCATAGCAGCAGCAAACGGGCCAGGGCTAGGCATTCTAGGTATAGAATGGCTCTTCCTTGCATTTGGGGATCTGGCGCGATCCCTGTGGCTAATGCCAGGATCAGAGCCAAAAATAGAAGTGTAATCCCACCTCCCGCTTGCCTCCGCATCTAGAAACTTCGTCGTTAAATTCGACGACAATTCGCGGAGGCTCTTTCGGATGTCTTCGTCCCTGGAATTTGTTGCAGCTTTCAGACTTATCAAGTCTGTGGCGTTGTCCTTACTTCGACGGCTCAACTGGGCCATCTCACGCTGCAGATTGCTGGCGATGTCCGTGAGACTGTGGATCTGCGTAGACAGGGACTCCAGACCGGGGTTACCAGGGTCGCTTTGCGGCCCAGCAGGCTGAGGTCCTATAAATGGAGTGGGGCTGCTCTCTTTGCTTCGAGATGAGGTCGATGTCTCACTTTGGGTGGGGAGCTGCATATTCTGAAGGGCTAACATGGTAGCCGAAGGTGGAGTAGGTTCGTTGAGGATAGGCTTGGAGAGATAGCGGTGGTTTATCGCGAAATGGGGAGGAGGATCACGCTCCCCTTCCTGGTTGTCCGCCGGTGCATCTTCCAGTTTCCTATTAACTTTTTCTGGCGATTTCGGAGATTTCGGAGATTTTGGGCTCGCATCCAGCACTGATGCGCGCAGCGACTTCTCGGGCGATTTGCTTTCGAGGAAGTTGAGGAACTCGGACTTGGTGTCTGTGTTTTGCATCGACTGCATGCGCTTATGGTAGTTGCCCTTGATCAATGACTTCTCTGGTGATACTGGTTTTGGTGGCATTGGGTTGGTAGTATAGGGCGAAGCCACGTTATCCCGGCACTTCTCCGCAAAGTTCGCCGCGACAGCCTGGACCTTGGGCGAGACATTGGACTTGGTCGTAGGACTCGAGGTTCCCGGGTTAATAGGAAGTGGCGGAGGCGCTCGTTCAGGATCGGAGCTATCCCACCTTTAGTAGTTGAAACAACCAGTGGTCAGTTTTCATCCTCATCCCGTATAAAGATTCGATGGAGTCACTGTTTCTGGATTAGGGTTATACATACATTGGCACTGTCTGGCTTCGCAGGATCATATCCCGGTCACGGAAGTCACGGGAGTCACGGGAGGCATCTCGATTGTGAGGCATGATGACAGCGTATTTTTCTTTGTAGAGCGATAGAGTTTAATGATCAGATTGGTGGTGATGGTGGTGGTATTTTAGGGGTAGTAGAAACGAATCAACGTCTTTTTTTGGTATCGCAACAAAGTGGTCATCAAAGGAATTAATGTCGTAAAGGCATAAAAAGTCGTCAAAAAAAGAAACAAACGAAGACAGCAACAGCAACAACAACAAACAACAGAAAAAAATAACAGAGCCCGAACGAAGCAATCCGGGCGTTAACAAAAACCATACAATGGAAGAGGTATTAAGAGAAACAAGAGTCGAATCGATTGCGACGACTTGAAGGTAAAGAAGACCGCAGCAACCAAAGTGGTCTTTGCAGGGAATAGATTAAGGAAGAAAAGAATTGGAGGTGGACGAAGCGCTGAGCTGCAAGTAGGAGGAGCCAAGTTGATATACAAACTCCCCAAGCAAAACATCGGGTGGAGCTGAACACCCAATCTGCGCTTTCCACATCAGGCCCGCACCGTAGCAACGGATCCGTTGTCCGGTAAACAAACCTGCAGGCGGTGAGTCGATCCGTCGGTTGCGAATTCTTCCGATCTCCGGTTTCACTACGGACGCTAAACTTGTTTAAGACATTATTGCTGAGTCACCGCTTAGTCTCAGCTCGTCGGTTATTTATCCAATCATATCCACGCACACAAACCACAATCGTAAACCCGTCTTTTGCCCTAAGCCACGGTCGCAACCTAAGCGAAAAAAAAGAGGCCGGAGAACCTCACGTCGACTCGACCGACAGTACTACGACAACCACCCCATCGACCTTGCCGCTCACCGGGACTTTCACAATGAAGTGTGCGTTTGAATTGCTCGCCTGCGTTATTATGACCTTGTCGTACAGGTCTCTTTATTTCGATCCAGAAATGCTGACGGGAATGGTTTTACAGTCATGAAAGTGGGCCGTGTGGCCATCATCACCCGTGGCCGTTATGCCGGTAAGAAGGTACGACATAATATTCCTGATCCTGGAGGAACGATATCCGTCGAGACGCTGTGGCATACGAGTTGAAATTGGAATTTTGGAGAAAGAACTGGGATATGTCCAAAATGGGACGGCGGAGATACGAAAACATAAGAGGGAAATGCGGATGGAATACAACGAACGAGTGCTGACAGCGCTTTCCCCCGATTACAGGTCGTCATTGTCCAGCCCCAAGACTCTGGCTCTAAGGCGCACCCCTTCTCCTACGCCATCGTCGCCGGTATCGAGCGCTACCCCCTGAAGGTCACCCGCCGTATGGGCAAGAAGACCCTCGAGAAGCGCAGCCGCGTCAAGCCCTTCATCAAGGTTGTCAACTACAACCACTTGATGCCCACCCGTTACACCCTCGAGCTCGAGGGTCTCAAGGGTACCGTCACCCCCGAGACCTTCAAGGAGGTTTCCCAGCGTGAGGACGCCAAGAAGACCATCAAGAAGGCCCTTGAGGACAGATACACCAGCGGCAAGAACCGGTGGTTCTTCACTCCTCTGCGTACGTGCCCACTTTTTGATATTTCATTGGGATGGTCGATACTGACAGGTGACAGGTTTCTAAACGGGGTTATCGGGGGCGTTATTTGTCATTTGAGCGCGCAAGGTTCCTGGATGAGGCAAACCGAGGGATAAAATTGCATCGATCACATTCGGTTCGGGAGCATGGAATAAAATAAACAGATATACCATAGCTGGAAGCAGAATTGGGAATGTATCGGTGAACAAGTCGCACACTTGGCCATGTTTTTCTTTTAATGAAGGCCGCCATTGCGAACTGGCGTCCGTCGAAATGAATGAAAAAAATACGAACGTTCATAACTCTATGGTGCCCTGCAACTCTGGCGGTTTGTCATTTACTATTCTTCAGTTCTCTTCATGGCCGGACAAACTCGCGAATCGCAAACTAGCCCGGAACCAGCAGGCGATCCGATTGCACCAACTCCTTTATTTACGAACCCCTTGAGTACTCCGTACACCGTGTTACCCTCCAGTCGATATCTCGTTCCGATGTTTGATGGCAAATAGAAGTCTGGGTCAATTCCCGGATCGACATCATCGCTCGGACTTTCGACTCCGAGATCTTCGATATGAGTGTAGACAATTCACCTATCATGCGCAGTAATATTCCGTAGCGGTTAGGTCTAGTGTGTTCTGGAGCAGGCCATTGATCCTAGAGCAACAGCGCTACAGGCAGACTTATCGATGTGGATTATGTACCCTGTCAACATCTCGAGTTACTCCGCACTTGAGAGGAGATGCTTATGTCCTTCCATGGATATACACCAATAAGCCACATTGCGAGATACCCCTTAGATATATGGTCGGGTGTCCATGTACTTCGTAGTTGAGTGTCCGTCACAAGAGGCATCTCTTCAGCCCTACTACTACAGAGCACAAACGTCAAACGATTTCAGGGACAACAGCAGTGCACTACCCCGACCTATACACCATTCCTATCCTTGACCATCCCGGGCACACCGTACGAATCACCATCGAGTACTGCAGGGCATGCATGCATGCATAACTGCCAACACAAACATCAACGCAATATATCGCTATGCACCCCTCGACCCCTCAATTTCACCGGGGAATCGGCATAGAGCATACTAATCTGAAGTTAATAAAAATAATAATAGAACTACACTGAATTGTTTTTGTCTGATGCGGACATATTGCCAATATCAGTGAACTGATATTGGCTGTCATGTTCCATTTGCCGCTCTGTAGAAGGAAGGATCCACAATCACATGCTGCTTTTACTATCTCAGCGAAAATGGCACAATCTGTGTTTCTTGTGCTTCATGAGAGGGGGGGGGGGAATGCAACTCTGAATATTTGCTATAATAGTAATAATAAATCAAGTCATAATTACGCTGGTCTCTTAACTGGGTTTTGTTATCACCTGATTGACGCCATAAAAGTCCTGCACATCATACAACGAAGATAACAGTCGGACCCACTATCACATGCGCTCTATATACCACCCAACTCATATATTATCACCTCCCCAAAACCTGCTCTCCTGTCACTTTTTTCTCGGTTTTCATCTCTTCCTTCTGTCTTTTATCTTTTTTCTGAGCGAATAATTTCCCTAATAAGTAATCTCTTTACTTGGTATGACTTTCGCTCATCGTTCCGTCACTTGTATCTAACTATCTCTCCAGATCTCTATCGACTTGATGCCCCACGCAGAGAAAGCAACCATGGGAGAAGTAACCGTCAACGGCGAGAAGGCCCATTACTCGCAGTTCCTGGACGTAAGTTACTCTTAACAATGCCCATTCCCCATTAATAAAGCAGCATGATGTCTGACTGCCCCTCTTTCTGTGTCTAGCACCTCACCTCCTACCCTATCATCTCCAACTCCATCGCAACCTTCAAGGGCAACAAGTACGGTGCCAAGTCGCTGCACTACGCAGACCAAGGATACACCCGTCTAGCCAAGCCCGTCCTACCTTATTTGTCCATGCCGTATAGCTATGTGTCACCGTACCTGATCAGAGCGGATACTTTGGGCGACAAGGGGCTGTCTCAGATTGACACGCGGTTTCCCATCATCAAGGAGGATACAGACAAGTTGAGGACTACAATTTACGAAGGTGCACAGGGGTCCGTTCGCATTGTGGTCGATGTGAAGGGCCACCTTGTCGAGCTGTATGGGACCGAGTATAAGAAGTGTGGTGGGGACGGATTGGTTGCGAGCGGTAAGGCCTTTATCACCACCGGTCTTATCCTGTCGCAGGAGTCGTTGGCCTATGTTAGCTCTTTGTTGCAGACGAAGAAAGAGCAGGATAAGGATGCTGTGCAAGAAAAGGATAAGTCCAACACTGAGTGATTTCCAGATTACGATGCGTTTTCTTCTTTTTTTTCTTTTTTTTTTCTCTCTGTTCTCTGTTTGATATTATGCCTGTCTCTCGCTGTTTTCTTCTTGTATCCAGTGTTTTCAGTTCTGATATACCTCTCCTTGGCTGCTTAGCTCTTCTGTCTCATAAGTACTAAAACTGCTAATTTACTTTCAGAATGTTATATAATATTTTTTATTTTCAGTGCCTTAATTGACATGCATCATTGCAATAACCGGCCACATTGATGTACACTGGTTCAGACAAGTTGGTGTTACCTTGCCTACAGTCCCTACCTGGATGTCTCTCCCTTCCCGTCGAGCCAACAAGACTCAAGTAGATGGCTCAGATCCCGACGTCAAAGGAAGCTATCTCTTTCAGCCAGTGGGTATATGTTCTGAGTGCACCGTTCAATACAGACGCAAAGCATAGGGGTGTGGTTGGAACAATGATTAAAATTACTTAAAATGGATAGAATGGGTTCCACCACGAAGCGCGTCAAACGCGTATGTGGAGGACCCGTTTCATGAGTATCATCAACCTTTGGACTATCCAGAGTATTTTGCGAGTACACTCCACAGCCTTGCTACAGACCGATTTACTTCTTACAAATCAACTGAGTCGTTTGGATTCTGCGTAGACCACAACAAAAAGACACAATATGCCCCTCGTCCGCAAGCGTCGCGTACGTCCACCTTCTAACCTCAACCCCAAAACCACCCCAATTAAACCCAAACTAACACAAAAATCACAAGCAGAATCCCGACCCCGAAGACACCTACGCCTCATCCCCGGCCGGCCTCTCCACCCAGCAACCCCGCCGCCGCCGCCATGAAACCGAAATCACCCAAGCAGACTCAGAATCCATAGCAGACAGTAGCGATGACTCCGAAGACGATGAAAACGGCGCGATCCACGCGCCAAGCAGCACGGACGTGATGGTGAAGAAACTAGTGCGTCTGGCGCTGGCGAGCGAGTACTCGCGACAGGTTATCCGGCGGACAGATATTAGCGCGAAGGTATTAGGGGAGCAGGGTGCGAGGCAGTTTAAGGCTGTTTTTCAGGGTGCACAGAAGGCGTTACAGGAGAGGTTTGGGATGCAGATGGTGGAGTTGCCGGGGAAGGAGAAGGTTACTATCAGTCAACGGAGGGGTGAGTTTTGTGCATATACCGAATATACTGTGAGAGAGATAGAGGGGAGCTAATACGTGAACAGCCGCGCAAAAGACCGAAAAGCCTTCCTCAAGCAACAAGTCATGGATTCTAAACAACACTCTCCCGTCCCATTACCGCACACCCCAAATCCTCCCTCCAACCAAGGCTCCCATGGAATCCACTTACACCGGTATCTACAGCTTCATAATCGCCGTGATCCTGCTCAACGGCGGCGCGTTACAGGAGTCTAAATTAGAGCGATACCTGAAGCGCACAAACGCAGACACCCACACGCCCATCGACCGTACAGACAAGCTCCTCCAGCGACTCTGCAAGGAAGGCTACCTCATCCGCAATCGGGAGATGGACGGTGGTGAGGAAATCATTGAATATATGGTTGGGCCGCGGGGGAAGATGGAGGTTGGGATTCAGGGTGTTGCGGGGTTGGCGAGGGAGGTATATGGACGGGCTGCGGAGACGGAAGATATGACTGCTTTGGAGAGGGATCGGATGGAGGAGTTCGAGCAGCGGCTGGCGAGGAGTTTGGGGATGAGGAGGTCTGAGAGAACTGCTGAGGTTGAAAATGAGAATGAAGAAGAGGATCAGGGGGGGAGACGGTGACAGGATGATGACGACGAAGAGGACGATTGATTTCTTCAATAATCTTGCTCGGTAATTACTATAATATGTTTGCAATGATACCCCGGATTGGTATATAATCGTTTCTCGGTCAGGAGTGGAATGCTCAAATTCTTGATCTAGTATAAACAAAGGCATATCGGCGAAACGCAATCCAACTCCCTAAAGTATCAGACAAAGAAAATAAATAAAAGGTGGTCGTCAAGGTCGTATACATGTATCCATCTCTATCCCAACACCCCACAGCAGAAAAAAAAAAGAGAAAAGAACAACAAAATAACAGCTTACTCGCTGTCACTCGCACTGTCATGAACCGACCCAGTCTCCGCATCATCCCGAAGACCCTCTACAAGAATGTATTCCGCCTGCTGCAGCGCAGCCCTAGCCTCCTGGTTGTTGTACACCAACTCAATCGGTTTTTGCCCGGCCTTATTCCTAACGCGCGGATCACAGCCTGCTTCGCACATCATTTTGATCATCTCCGTGCCCATTTCGGCTTCCTTCTCGTTGGCATAGCGCACGGCGGTGTGGAGGGGGGTGTCTTGATCGCGGCGGGTGAGGGGATCACATTCAAAATATTGGATGTCGAAAAGGGAGTCCATAGTGTCATCTATACAAGTTCGTATCAGTTAATATCATGTCTAGTCCGGATACCAAAACAGATGAGGGCAACATACAGCTTCCGTACATGGCGCAGATGTGAAGAGCATGGTTCCCCAATGCATCTACTACGCCGTTGAAGAATGCCGCGACCTCCTCATTAGATTTATTCTGCATGCCTTCGAGAACTTGTTCGATTAAATGCGGCTGGTCGCGTCGGCAGGCCTCGACGACCAGTTCGCGGGGAGAGGCACCCTAATCGATCAGTTTGGTAGCCTAAGAGTGGTAGAGTAGGACTACTCACATCGTCCGCCATTTCGATTTTGTTCCGATATTGGTAGTATAGATTCAGCGATATTATTCGATTCGGGTTTGTAAATATAAGCGGGATCCGGGTGTAACGGGGCAAGCTGTCTGTTTGCTAACGGTTAATGTCTTCTCTATAAATAGACCACGTATCATCACAGTAACTTACCTAGAAACTTTCTGAAATCTGCTATTACAGAGTCTTTTCTCTTTCTTTCTTTCTTTCTTTCTTTCTTTCTTTATCGGTATTCCACGTCTCCTGAGCATTCAATGCATAAACGTCGCTCCCCATGCCGCCAGCCGTCGGATCAACAATTTCGCCGTGCCGATAAACATGCCCCGCGATATTTCAGGCGGCGCCAACGGCTGCCTTAGGCGCGCGGCAAGTCTGGCCAACGATAGAGCTGGTCGATAAGGCCTGCAGGAGCTCGTTATCGTCGCAAATTCAAAGCAAAGCATCAGATACCACGGCCTTGGTGCAGGCTTTATGACGAAAAAGAATATTGCTTTGGATTGATCTATCTGCGTGCTGTTAACCCATTCAGTGATTTATAGCGTTCAAAATGCCGTTGACTTGTGGGTATTGCCCCGCGACACAAGAATCATCGAAATCTTTAATTTGAAGGATCAAGCTGACTCTTGCCTCTTCTATAGTCTGCCCCAACTGTAGTAACGTACTAACCATCTCCCGCGCCGATCCGTCCCCCAAGTACCCTCTGGGCGTCAACCGATTCGAATGCCGCACATGTCCCTACCAATATATCCTGAAGAGTGGGTGGTCCGAGAAAACACCTATGAAGCAAAAAGAGGTTGAAGATGTCTTTGGTGGCAAGGAAGAGTTTGCGAACGCAGATAGCATAGGCAGTAAGTGGTGGATGAGCGCATTGCTGGCTGTCTGAATAAAAAGCTTATTCTGTGTACAGCACAATGTCCTGCAGAGAACTGCAATGGAGACCGAGCGTACTTCTTCCAGTTGCAGATTCGGAGTGCAGATGAACCTATGACTACGTTCCTTAAGGTATGTTCTTCTCGGGATCCCATTACATATGTATGCGGATTATGCTGACGAACTGGTTTTCTTGATAGTGCACCACATGCGGAGCAAGATGGCGTGAAAACTGATCCCTTTCCTTCCTTTACTCAACTCTATCTTTACCTCGATACCTCTACTTGCGGCTACCTGATAACAGTGGATATTCGGTACGGAAGACGATCGTATAATAACTCCAGCCTATCTCGAGAGGGAAACGGAGAAAGGGACGGACGGCGCTACTCTTTTTCCTGCCTTTTGACTTGTTGGGATTTATATGCGAGGAGAAAAGTTATTCGATATACGCATGCATATGTACTTCTACGGAGCTTCTACAGAGATAGCATAACAAGATACCCCTCGTTAACCTAGTTGTCAGATTCGTCGCGGCAAAAAAAAATTTATTATTATTTTTTTTTTTTAAAACCGGGCCCGAATAATCACTCTATTCTGAATTGGCGGTAACCATGGGCTTCCTCGGAACACGTTCCAAACATGAGTCACTTCGGGCATGAAAGTCAAAAAAAAAAAAAAAAGCGGCGCAGAAAAGACTCGTAACAGATGTAAGAGTGCAAGGATAAGGATCTTGAGCACAGAGCATCATCACTGAAAAAGGCTAGTGCATGTATGCGGATTTGCACATGCCCTTATAGGTTGATATTTCGATGTATATGTATACAGATTTAATCAGTTCATTAAGAGATACCACTATAGAGTAAACTGTGTTCGTCAAGTCTATGCTGGTAATGCTCTTATCAGAATCCCAAACACTTCTTTTGTTCGCAAAGGGTCGACCACGTACTTTGGGGGCTACTTCCACAGTCCGTACATAGTACTATGTAGATCGCGTATCTCGCCCGCAGAGCTACGAAGCTACCTAGAGGTCCTCGCTGTCCATGCTGCATAATGCTTGGCATAGCGATACCCGTAGAGTCCGCATACTTGCAAGTATATATACGGAACAATTTCAGTTTGGATAATCTCCGGGTGCTTCACGGAGAACTAGAATAGTATCACGCTTGCACCACATGCACCACATCCCAGTCCATACTCGTATTCTACGCGAGTTCGGACCGTTCCAGAGGTCCCCGTACGGAATACAGACCTGAAGCAGCTCCGGGTACAGTCCCGTGACTTCAGAGGCGACCAAGAAAAAAGTGGCAAGCATAAAGAAAAAATTTTCTGAACGTTTGCCATTGGACAGTGGGGCTGGCGGACAACGATTCGGGCATGCCACATAACCAGTTAAACCAATAATGTTTGACAACAGCCGCGGGGTGCTGATGCAAACAAAACCAACAGCCGCCACAGCTGCGTTGATGCCCAGTATTTTCCGGTTTAATACATACGAGTACTTCGGAGTACATACATTCGCGGGTATGTAGAAAAAATTTTTTCTCTGGGCCGTAGTGTGAGGTTGAATAGGAAGAAATGGTATTGGTTGGATGAAGAAGAGATTTTTTTGCCTTCACCATAGTGGAGAGGGTAACCAAGGAATGGAGGGGCAATCCATATTCCCGCCGCCAGTCGCTGTCCGAAAGAGGTTTTTCCGCTCAGAGGTAAAAAAAAAAAAAAAAAAAAAAAAAAAAAAAGATTCTGCGTTGGTCCCGCAGAAGAAGTGGGGCCAGACGCAAAGACTGAGAAAAAAAATTTTCTGCCCCTCCAATGATAAGGGCTGGTTGCCAAGGGTTTGAGCCCGCTTACCTAGTGGACTTTTTCTCGCTTGCCCCTCCATATAAGGATTTCCCCTCCTCGCCCCTCCCACAAAATTTTTTCTTCCTTTCCCTCCCCGTCCGCATCAGTACGTATATCTTCCCTCCTTCCCTCTTTCTCTTCCATCCTTCTTCATCCTCTCTCTAACCTCTCTTGTTGTTCAGTACCTCTACGCGTCGTGCCGTAGTATCTGAGCAGCTTTTTTTTTTAGACCTTTTCAAGTCTCTATTCACAAAAAACCTTCATCATGGGGTAAGCCTCTCACTCCTTCGGCCCATTCCATCACTATCAATGATGGAAAAGCTTTTCCTACATGGACAACATGGCTAATGGATGCTTTTCTGCAACAGTAAGGACGACAAGACTCACCTTAACATCGTCGTTATCGGTCACGTCGACTCCGGTAAGTCGACCACCACCGGTCACTTGATCTACAAGTGCGGTGGTATTGACCAGCGTACCATTGAGAAGTTCGAGAAGGTAAGAATACATGGTCGATATACTGGCTTGAGGATGGACATGGTGCTAATACAGCCCCATAGGAAGCCGCCGAACTCGGTAAGGGTTCCTTCAAGTACGCTTGGGTTCTTGACAAGCTCAAGTCCGAGCGTGAGCGTGGTATCACCATCGATATTGCCCTCTGGAAGTTCCAGACTTCCAAGTATGAGGTCACCGTCATTGGTAAGTTCGATATGTTTCCAACCTCGACCTATAAACATATCTAATGATCCGTATAGATGCCCCCGGTCACCGTGACTTCATCAAGAACATGATCACTGGTACCTCGCAGGCTGACTGCGCTATTCTCATCATTGCCTCCGGTACTGGTGAGTTCGAGGCTGGTATCTCCAAGGATGGCCAGACCCGTGAGCACGCTCTGCTTGCTTTCACCCTCGGTGTTAAGCAGCTCATCGTCGCTCTTAACAAGATGGACACCTGCAAGTGGTCCGAGGAGCGTTACAACGAAATCGTTAAGGAGACCTCGAACTTCATCAAGAAGGTCGGCTACAACCCCAAGGTCGTTCCCTTCGTCCCCATCTCCGGTTTCAACGGTGACAACATGCTTGAGGCCTCCACCAACTGCCCCTGGTACAAGGGTTGGGAGAAGGAGACCAAGTCCGGCAAGGCCACCGGTAAGACTCTCCTTGAGGCCATCGACGCCATCGAGCCCCCCGTCCGTCCCTCCAACAAGCCCCTCCGTCTTCCTCTCCAGGATGTCTACAAGATCTCGGGTATTGGAACTGTGCCTGTCGGCCGTGTCGAGACTGGTGTCATCTCTCCCGGTATGGTCGTTACTTTCGCTCCTTCCAACGTCACCACCGAAGTGAAGTCCGTTGAGATGCACCACCAGCAGCTCAAGGAGGGTGTCCCCGGTGACAACGTTGGTTTCAACGTCAAGAACGTTTCCGTCAAGGAAGTCCGCCGTGGTAACGTCGCCTCCGACTCCAAGAACGACCCTGCTGCCGAGGCTGCCAGCTTCAACGCTCAGGTCATCGTCCTTAACCACCCTGGTCAGGTCGGCGCTGGATACGCCCCCGTCCTGGACTGCCACACCGCCCACATTGCTTGCAAGTTCGCCGAGCTCCTTGAGAAGATCGACCGCCGTACCGGTAAGTCGGTTGAGAACAGCCCCAAGTTCATCAAGTCCGGTGACGCCGCCATCGTCAAGATGGTTCCCTCCAAGCCCATGTGTGTCGAGACCTTCACCGACTACCCCCCTCTCGGTCGTTTCGCCGTCCGTGACATGCGTCAAACCGTCGCTGTCGGTGTCATCAAGGGTGTCGAGAAGTCTGCTGGTGGTGCCTCCAAGGTCACCAAGGCTGCCCAGAAGGCCGGTAAGAAATAAACGGTGTTCGTTTGAGATGAGTGGTTTTTGTGCATGAATGATATCGTTTTTTTGAAATGCGCATGAATTAGACTCGCAGGGTTAAAAAAAGCTCTCAATGAAAATGGCTTACGATTCTTAATTCAAAATGGCTTATGATTCTTAACGTGGTGTTCGTGCTCGTAGTATTTTGTCGAGTGTCCATTTATTTCCGTAGTTCCGTTGTATAAATCAGTGTTATTACAGGCCTCCTGTACCCCTGTAGTACGCACCCCTTCCTACTGGTGGCCTTCGCGGAGACACCAGCAGACTTTTCAAAGCCCTTAGTTGACACCAAACGACATTCAATGGCCACGATCCAGACCATGTCCTATACAAGAAACACAACTTAGGGATGATTCGTCGATGTCCAAGTTTATGCTTTACAAGTTATGTTTCATATGATTGTCTTTATCAACCGAATAACATCCACCGCAGGAATATGCTCCCGATCTTTCGTCGTTCAAAAGGCTCTATTCCCTCTAACGCCCAGTATATCGTGAACATCATCGACGCTCTTCATCGTCTATTGCCTATTTATCTTTGTTTGACCACCACGACTCCATTCGAGATTCTCGTCGGACAGACTAGCAACTTCAGAACTTAGATATGTGACGAACGGCCTCTTTTGTGCCTCGTTTACCCATCGTCTTCGGCATTAATATCGATCATCTCAGAAACCACGCCGTTGGGCGTGGACTTCATATTTCGAGAGCAGAACGATTCCATTCGGAACAGGGATGACAAGCCTATTATCTTCGCTACGAGCATGTTACTGAGTAGTATGTGTTTCTTGAAAAGTTCCCATGCAATTTATAGCTGCGCAAGCGGCGTATACAGATCGCAAACCGCACTCATACTTCTCTTACTCTCCCTCGTAACAACGAGTTCTTTCTTTATTTCTCTCGAAGTTATTGTTCATTTCAGTCATATTTGATCAAGCCTCTTCTCGGCTTCCTTTACGACCTGTCCAACGGTCAACAATGGATATAGCAACTTTGGTTATTTGTGTATATTCGACTTTTCGGCTTGGCTGTCGTGCTGTACACTGGGGCCAACAGAAAAAAAAAATAGCTTTTGCGCTTTTCTCTTTAAAGCGCAAAATGGACAAAACCGAGCGCTTCGAGTGAGATTTTCTGCTCCGTATGCCATCTTCTCATGCTTCTTCATGGGGAGGCTACCTGCGGGTGCTAGAGAATAAGCGTGTCGTTCCCCTGCGTTTCAGATGGGTTTCCGGGGAGTTCGAGAGTTTCCCTACGAGCCAGTGAAGCTCCCGGACGTCATTCCGCTGTCAATCGAGCCAACTTCTCGGTCTTTAAGATCCCTGTGAGCTAGCTCACACCAAAACTTCCAGGTGGGTAAAACGAGTATGAAGTTGTCAAATCAACCTGTCTGCTATTGCTAGATGTGCGTTTGTATAGTTGATCACCTTGTCGATGGACCTGTCACGAGGCTCTTCCCCCGGTGCTCTTGTCCTTCCACTGGATTCGTCCAATTCGGTTCGTTCGTTCTGGTTATGAACATCGTAGTGAGAGAAACTACCATATCATGAGGATGGTGAACATTGTCGGGATAATAGACGGACAATTTATTGGTCTTAGAGATAGCGATGGCCATAAGCGGAGAATAAGACTACTGATCTCTCAAGGGCGGAGTAAACCGAGCCACGCCCACATAGCCCATCGCCATGGATAGAAGAGTTAGAGCTGCTTGGTATGGCAAGTGAGCATGCTTCCTTTGGAGGTCTTGGTGAAAGAGGGTTCGATAGAGGATGATGCTCACAAGTACGGGTTGGGAAAGCACGCTGCGAATTACCAAGACCCAGCCAAGTAAGAGGATATCGGTAAGTCAGAGTACACCGAGAGCCAACCCCCCCCCTTAAGTATAATCATCTGCTGTTCGCAAGTCTTGCTATTTCTCGTTTCTTCCCTTTCGTCAAATGTTGCAACTTTCCAACCCTTAACAAAGTGGATGATGAGCTAGCATAACGAGCGAAGATATCGACCGTGCTGGAAAAGTAATGGATAAAAAGCTATTTAGCTTGGACGAATCTTGTAATGCAGCGTGTTATTGTCGCATCAAAATAAGAATCAATTGAGCAGTCTTATGGAAAGGAAAAGGATCGAGAAACGGGAAATTTAGAAGAGAAAAAAAATTTACTCTCCCCCGAGCCGGAATCGAGCCAGCGACCTTTCGGTTACAATATCCATTACAGCCGAACGTCATATCCAACTAGACCATCAGGGGTTCCGAGTTAATTTTATTTTCTTTTAATAAACTATATAGTTATATTTATTGCACAAAGTTGTAAAACATCAAGCATCATCATTATTTTTTCTATTACTTTCACTATAAAATCTTTCAAAGACATTTCTGCATCAGTACCTCCCTGTTGGAAAAACGGGTATAGTAACCTGCAAAAATAAAAGGAGAGAACCCGAAGAGGGCCCATCATGTAAAGGCTTGCTTCTCTGCGTGTTGTCCCGCAAAAAGAGAGGTGTTCCTGAACACTGAATACTAATCGAGGTCTGGCGTGCAGATAATAGAGGAGGTGAAAACAGTATGGGTACTTCCAACGTCCTTGATAGTGCCGCGAAGCTCGATGCGGGTTTTTTTTTTTTTTTTTTTTTTTTTTTTTTTTTTTTTTT